CTTCAACCATGTTCGATTGGGAATAAAGGAGGAACGCTGCATCGCAGCCTTTTCGGACCAAAACCAGTCGACTCAGCGTCCCAAAGACTACAACATATGGGCCAATCGCGGTCATCCGTGCTTTTATAAGAACGAAATGGCGCTTTTAGTGAGATTTTGCATACAAATCCCCATCTAGTAGGGCGCAGTCACCCAGTTTCGGTGGAAGTGCGCGAGTTCGATTGGGATTCAAGTAGGAAGGGAGCGTCTCAGCTTCCTCGGACCACGACCATTCGACTCAGCACCCCGAAGACTACAACTGGTGAAATTTTAATTTTTGCCTTAACTTCCCCTTCAAGCAGCGATTTTGTTGTGTTGACTGTTGTCGAGCTGCGAGATCAAGGATTTTCTTGTACTTCAATCTTCTTTCATATTTTGAAGGAGTTGATTTTAGGTGTAGTTACTAGCACAATGAACACCCTAGTTGCCCGTGGAAATGCTGTGTTTGCCTTCGGATTTTCAGCAGTCTCAGCTCTTTCGTTAGCTTGCTTTTTGTCAACATGTATGATCAGTTATAATGCAGACGTCACTATTACACCTGGAAAGATAGTTATGTGAGTGAACCAAGACTTTTTGAGCTGTGGAGATTGTGGAGATTGTAGCTTTACATGAGATGAGGGTCCGATGTTTTTTCTCTTAACAGCAAGCAAGTAGCTGGTGGTCCAGGTGGCGTGGATGGCCCTGCTGATTTGGCGTTCATGAAGTTTGGACTTGATGCAGATATCCTCCTTATTCACAGATCCTATGCCAGACTCAAGTGTGTAGAGTCGCTGGATTGAACTGTTATATGGAGAGGGAGGCAATGCATGTTGTCTTGTAGCATAAATAAATTCAGTGCATTTCCCCAGCAAACTGTAGTCAGTTGAAATGTGCTATAAAAAGAAGCCGTCCATAAAATTCGAGAAAAAAATCCAGATACTACAGTACTAGTTTGGTATTAGATAACCCCCATATGTAGGCCATGTGTAGGCCATACGTAGGCCATACGTAGGCCATGTGTAGGCCATATGTAGGCCATATGTAGTCAGTATGTAGGCCATGTGTAGGCCATATGTAGGCCATGTGTAGGCCATACGGTTCAAATGGCCGCAAGATCGGGGCTCTGCCAACGGTGGAGGTTGTAGTAAGGAGCACTGTGTTCAAACGCAGTGCGTCCTCCGCCTTGGGCTTGTCACATGCTGTCAACCAAACAGCATAGTACTAGTTTGTACGTGAAGTGTGTGGGTACAGTGAGGGCAGTGTCGCATCAGCCTGTGTTGATTCACAGGAAGCGCAAGTTTTGAATTCTGAAGAACTCGGTCGCTGCTTTGATGACGGCATATACATTGCAGTTTCGCGCACTCGCGCGCATCTATGCGGGCATGCACACATGCGTGCACACACACATGCGCGCACACACACACACAAGCATAGAACAACGCAGAATACTACTAAATACAATCTACTGGCAAACCTTGTTAGGACGAACTTCAACGGACTGAACACAATTTTGTTTGTCTTATCCGGAGTTCTCCTTATCCAGATCTGACAAAAATTGATATGCATATCATATGGATTGTATTTATGTGAAGGTGCTTGCTGTGGCACATGTAAAGCATTTATTCATAGCATATACCAGCAACAGGTAAGTACAATTATGTGCAATGAAATCATGACAGCATGTCGTCCGCCTTGTAACATGCTATCAATTCGTTTCGCCCGTACAAGAGGCCTCGACTATCGAATAAACTACAGCCAGTGCAGACATGTTCATGTGGACTGAAAGTTCCTACTGCACGCTGGTTTTGTTCAAATCACGCTTGAAATTAGTTCGTCTTCACGAAAGTTGGCCGTACAGGAGTTCGTCGTAAACAAATAATTTTGACTTGATATGATGCCTAGCCAACCATAGGATTGGCCCTAGTTTGTACTAATGGAAAGTTCGCCTTATCAGTGTTCGTCCTAACTGGGTTTGACTGTACTTGAGTTTACGCTACTTCTTGTACTATTAGATCTTGAATTAGTGAATTAGATCTTGATGGAGTTGATGTTGAAACTAATGGATTGGGTGTTTTTGTTTAACATTCAAATGTACATGACAGCATTTTCCTTGACCAGTGACTTATCTGCACATTTCACAGACATTTTTAACTGGAACACCAAGATGCTGTTTGTCTATCTGATGGCAGAGTACAAAACGAGTAATAATGTGAGTGGAATGATGTTCACTGTGCCCGGCAAACTTTTCTTGGCTGAACATCTCAAAGGGTTGTGTGAATAGGTCCTCCAAGCCAGCTGGTGGCAGGCCCGTCCAGTGCAATTTTGTCACTGCCACTGGTGTTCTTTACTTTGTGTTGGAGTGCACGTAAATCATTGTGTGTCCATGTGTCCGTGTGTGTGTGTGTGTGTGTGTGTGTGTGTGTGTGTGTGTGTGTGTGTGTGTGTGTGTGTGTGTGTGTGTGTGTGTGTGTGCAATACTGTCTAACATAGCTGTTCGCTATCATTGCTTCCGCGATGGGCATGTCTGAGGTGTGTGTATGTGTGTACGTGTAGACCAGGTGTGCATTGGGGGTCGATTCACATGACTTCGCCAGTTGTGTGGATTAGACAGTTATCTGGTGCTAGTCTTGATCTGTTTCATTCAGAATCAGATCCGCGATCGTTGCTATAAGAGAAAATCTGTGGGTGCACATCCAGTGCATTTGTAGATTTGCGTGCTTCTCTTGCGATGGGCGTATACATGGTACATGTTGTGTGTGTGTGTGTGTGTGTGTGTGTGTGTGTGTGTGTGTGTGTGTGTGTGTGTGTGTGTGTGTGTGTGTGTGTGTATGTGTGTGTGTGTGTGTGCAAAACTGTAATTTGCAACAGGAAAGATACATTAGCTACATTTGATTTGTTGGTGTGTCTGTGGCCATCTGGCTTTACTACTTTTTTTAAATCTAAATTTAGGCCCTGAGTCAAGTAGTGATTTGGGATAAGAAGATCATGCGTGGAGACAATGCACACGTCCAGCTGGAGAACATGAACACCAAATATCACTTCATTGATGACGGCACAGGACTCAGGTGAGAAGCGAGCAGGGCATGGACTGTAAGCGGGTATGGCACAACCGCGTGTGATGGTGCTAGTAGACTGCTATGTAGCGGTCATACCACTGTAGTACCCAGTACGAGTGGATCCTGATCATTATGGCTTGCTTTGAACATAGCGCTCATTTAAAATTTGGAATTCTCACGAAATCTGTTTACATAGAAAATGTGTAGGACTCCTGCTGCTGAGTCAGCAGCGTATTATTCCAAGTTCACTGTACATGTACTGTACACGAACACAGTGTCCTCCACCTTGTTTCATGCTGTCAATCTAACAATGTACACTACTGTATAACACGTTATCTTCGGTGTAATTTTAATTTTGGTAATTTCAGTAGAGAAATCAGGCACCTAAATTTAAATTACACCTAAAAGGCACTAGAGTATGCACTGTATATGAGGGTAGGCTGGTCACCTAATTCTACATTACACCTGAAACCTGGCAGGTCCCTGGTACCGAAATTTAAATACTGTATAACACCTTTATTTCAGTGTAATTTAAATTTCGGTAACTTCGGTACTGGTCCTGGATCACCTAATTTAACATTACACCTAAATTTTCCGAAATAACAAAAATATGTAAAAATCATGAAAATCACTGTCAAATTAAAAAAATCAACTTGTATACTGGTATACCGGTAGTACATTGTACGTACATAACATGTACCGGTATACATATGTGGAGCCTTTTGGCCTTGCTTGGCGGAGATATTAGTGCAATAGCGTTTTTTTGTTTTTTTTTGTGCCTTGCACACCGAATTTATCCTTACACCGAAAGGTCAGGGGTTGGCTTTTACCGAAATTTTACAACACCGAAAATAAGGTGATATACAGTACACCTAAAATTACATGATATACATGTATACTGGCAAGTTCAGAGTGCATAAACTGTGTGCATAGGGCATGTTGCAATTCTGCACTCTGCACTGTAGCGTACATAGCCATGCTGGGATATTTACAATGTCCGGACAATTAAAAAACTACCCCGCCAATTTGGTCTCCGGGTTATCAGTGTTCCATACGGGGTTTTTTGTGGTGCATGTACCGGGTTATGCCATAGGTATTGCAGTGTTTTCAGGAGAGCTTTGGAGTATTTTCTCTACACTATACATGTACTTGAAGTATGACTATGGTATGTATGACTATGTACTGCAACACTGAAAATGATGGTGATTGTGTGGAGTTGCTGAAATGTTGGTTCTTGAATGACCGCTGATTTGTTTTGGTGCAGGGGTAACGACAACGTGACGCTCGTGCTGCAGTGGAATGTCATACCCAACACTGGCTCACTGCCATTCATATCTGGTGGTGCTCAGCGCATGCACCTACCCTCGTCCTATGTGAAGTAATCCATCACCAGCTCCATCAGTTTAGACCTCTATCCGAATCATTTCACCTGTACATAGCAGCAATTATCTGGGTTTTTAGTAAATTTGTACATCTTCCCATCATCCTTACTACTGCGTAACTATCACTTTTAGCACGCAAGCATGGAACACTGATCTCTTCTTCTTTTTTCTCGTCAAGAAAGAGCTCGCTGTGTTATTGAGGAACTGCATGACAACATGATTGTACTCATTCCAACCTGACAATGTGACATGTTTGCTGTGCCATGTGAGTAGTATTGAGAGCACAGCACTGGGTTGTTGTGCCCGCACATTTTTCGGGAGCGTTTGCTATGCATTCAACGTAGAAGTGACTGTGAAGGGAGTCGTATACCACACTGTATCCTGGTTGGCACCATGCGCACTGACGGTGCAGATCATGTTGACAGCATGATTCACAATACGGTCAACTCCGCTTCTAACAAACTGGGACGTAGCGAATTTCCTGATTACATCTTAAGCCAGTGTCCCTGTTTGAACCCATACAAACTTGACCCTTGTTTGGTAGAGAACTATCTCCGCATTCATAAGTAAGTTGTGATGGCGTACCTGTCATATCTTGGCAAGCATGTAAACCAAGTGCAGCCACTCACAGGCAACATGCAAGGTACTGTATTCTGACATGTTGCTTGTATAGAGTGAGAGCATTTCTGCTGCATTCAACTTTGCGTATAACGACACTCGGCGGGGCATCAAAAAAGTGTCCTATACCCAAAGTCTCATTATACCGGTATGTGTATGACAGTTAGATGGGACTTTGCTGTGGGCATGGAAATTCTGTCATTTAATACCGGTATTCGCGAAGTGTCATTACATCTGCAGTCGTTATTAGCGAAGTGGACTATAATGAACTTATTCTTCTGCACATTGGGTGTACAGTCAACTTCGCTAATAACGACTGCGGATATAACGACAATCCGCGAATAACGACAGAATTTCCATGCCCAGAGCAAAGTCCCATCCGGCCCACTGGAATACATTATAATGAGACTTCGGGTATAACGACACTTCGCGAATAAGGACACCTTTTTGATGCCCCGCCGAGTGTCGTTATAAGCGAAGTTGACTGTAGTTATATCCAGTCAACTGCACAACAGTCTACTTTCTGCGATGCACAGCATGAGACACCTGTGATCGTGACCGCGAGACGCGATTCAAAATCGTTTTGGTGTCGGCAAGTCGTACACGTTGAACTTTGGGCAACTTCTGCGGCAGTGGCCTTGTGACATTACGCTGCAGGAATTTCTTTGTCACACGTCCCATCGCAGAAAGTGATATCGTGAATGGTGGCTAATGTAGGCACAGTGTATGTTGACCATGCAGATCATACTTGCCAACGCATAGCATATTTCTCGGAGGTGCAGTCTTGTAGTTGTGCACGTCTACACTCCATGCTGCCTTATAAAGCCGAACGTTGTCAATATCGCACCCAAAAATAGCATTACTGCCATCAGTGATTAGAAAAGAGTATAAAAGCAGATACAGTCGTCCCTCTCTAATCCGGCACTTGTTTATCCAGCACCCTTGCAAACCAGCACACTTTCTGGCAAAACGGATTTTTTAAGTTCATTTTCTACGCTTTAATCCGGCACTTGAATTCCGCCTCCAGCAGCGATTTTCTGCAACAAATCACTCAAACTGTACATAATTCGATTTTCTAATCCAGCAGTTGTACATCGCATACTGTCAAGGAGCATTGTAACATACACTTGGGAATATCCTATGCCAGTGCATAGGATATTCCCGGCAAGTGTATGTTAAAGGCATGCATTCCACAAAGCACTTGGATTGACACAGAATATCCCTACGTTTTGACGTACGACACTAACATGTATGTTAATAGGTGGGCCGGGTTGGAGGGCAGGATTTGATAATCCAGCACCCTTGTTTATCCAGCAGAAAATGCCGTTGCAAAAGGCGCCGGATTAGAGAGGGACGACTGTAATAAAAAATAAATTATACTTCTTTTGAAGTATATGAAATGAAATGCCCACTTGAAGGACTCCAAAATGGGAACCAAATGATAGAATGGTATCAAAGCATTGTACACACTCCACTAGAAGTCTCATGGTGCCATCAGAAGAAGGACAACGCACATATACCCACACGGTGCCAGAGTGGCTTATACACCTGTGCCTTTGCTGAATATATCCAAGTCTTCCATGTTAAAGTTGACACGCCACCTCTTTCCAGCATCTTGCCTCCGAGCTGCAACGTTGCCATGCGTCTCCTCTTCTCGGCCAATCTGAATACACTGTTGACGGATCAAGTTGCTGTTTGGGTGCAGAAACCACTTTCTCAGCGTCATCTTGTCAACAGCACTGAGTTCGTGGCGTTTGGAACAAATTAATCTCCAGAAGTCCAGTGCACGGACAATGTGTTTGCCAGCTACACTGCCACCGAACGCGCACACCAACTCATCAGCAAGTAGGTTGCGCCTATGCAGCTCTTCCAAGATGTCAGCATTGATCATGGATGGTAACTTGGCATGCTCAAATAGGTAGAGTAGTTGTGTGGTGGAGAAAGTACCAATGTGTAAGAAGCCGATACATGTCTCTGCTAAGTTACCTAATCTCTCAGTCAGGTCTGCTGATGTGTAAGCAATTCTAACAGCTTCAACCACTAGCTCCTGTGGCGTACGTCGACCGGTGTTTGCGAAGAAACTGTGCTCTGTGATGAACTCCTGTACATTTTTGATGTAGTCCACGTTCTGTCTCCTGAAAAATTCTTCGGCTGTGGCTGGGTTTCCAGCTGCAAAACTTCTGGAACGAACACATATCCGAGTTCTTGCCAACCTGCTCCTGGTCAGATGAATAACACTATATCTGGCACAGCATCTCCTCAGAATAGATGTGGGCAGCATCACCTCCACGAACTCTAGATCAAGATTCTCTCATAATTGTATAGAAAAATAATAATTGATGACTTTGAGAAAACACCACCTACAGGGATTTCTTCCCGGTGACCAACACCAGAGAGAGTGTAATGGCTACATGTATACACAATATAAATACTCTTCGTAAGCAACCAATCACTATTTTTTATTAAAATGAAAGCAATTTACGTATGCGGCGAGCTGCGAGGGAAACAATGAAAAAATCAAAGTGATGAAAGTAAAATTCTTTTCACATGTTCATCCAAGATTTTGAATGGCATGCGCGCTCATGAGTGAAACATGACTTGACAGTTCCCAAGTAGGGATCTCAGCGCGTGAACTGCGCAGCCAATCTGCGCAGGTGAGATTTTCGATCCCAAACGCGTCCAGTGCAGAAATCGTGGAAAAGAACATTTTTTTCGAAATAAATCAAGTTGAAGAAGACAGTAGAAATGGCTGAATATTGCGTCCAGGAAAGCACGTTCTACGGCCATTTCCAAGCTACCTATCTCACAGACACTCTCTCAGAGGAATTATGGAGGGTCAAAGAGCACAATCTTTCACTCTTGGACGCAGCGTGAACACCTCTTCTACTGAGCGCGATGTCTTCTCTCTGAGTGATAATGGCGGCGATGTTCGCGATGGCTGATGCACTGAAAATCAAAGTTAGGACAATCTAACCGGAGAAAACGTCTGAATTTTTGACTGAATCCTCTCTGAAGTGGGTTCTTGCCGCATGGAAAATTATAGGAAAATCGACCGGGGCAATATCGCCTTGGCCACGCTGTCCTTCGGCGGGAATTACAAAGTATGTTCGAACGACGATGAAGATGAAGATTCCGCTAGTGTCCACCGCGTCCCCTAGTGTCGAAAATCGACCGTCGCCATTTTTCTGCTGTGTCCGCGAGCTGCACTCAAAACTCGATGACGCAATGTATGCGCAAACACCCTGCGCACTGCACGCGCTGAGATCCCTATCCCAAGCCAAGGTGAAAATGAGAAAAAAAGTTATGGAGGGCGCACTCGGAGTTGAACCAAGGACCTCTCGATCTGCAGTCGAATGCTCTACCACTGAGCTATACGCCCTTCGACGATATCACTGAGTTTGTTGCACACTACAAACATCACAATCATGTGAGATCCATTATCACTTGCTTCGCGACTCCGTGCAGAGTGCAGGTTTGTTTTTGAAGAGGCAAGACATCTCTTCAAGTTCAACCGTTTTTGATTGATTCTCTTGCCCTACTGTCTTGTAGTCTTGGCAGTGTGTAGCCTGTTTAGTTGTCAAGTAACTTGGTTGAGTGTTGCATACAGGTCAGGACTCGATCAAAAATTAGGTGAAAGTTAGCTCACCACTCACGTATTCGCACCCAAAGTCCCCTGCTCGAGGTTCAAATTATCAGACAGTTACGTGGGAACCGTATTGACTGAAATTGGTCCTGGCAGATTTGAAGTAAGAAATATTACATTATCAGAATTCTATGTGTGTGTATTACCAAGAGCAAGAGTACATAAACTGGTTTATGTACTCTTGCCAAGAGTATTATACTTATAAGCTGCAACTTTTTGAAAAAAAATTCAATTATGATCAGGGAGTAATAAAATGTTAATACTATTTTGCTAATCCCTGATTATAATCATACAAAGCGATCAAATCCATAACTACATGTCATATACAAATCAAGGTTTATGTAAAGTAGGGGTGAAACGATTATACCGAATACTCGAAATAGAATTCGTTACACGTTAACGAGTCGATTATTCAAAAGGTTTCGACTACTCGATTGTGCATACAGTAAACATGATTATACACTTACACAAGAGAGATTAGAAGCTGTGTCGCAACTCTGAGTTTCACGTATTACTACAATACACTACTTGATTACGTAATTATACACATTATGATTGTAGATCGGCCGATGTGCGAGAAAAAATTCTCTTCTCCACAGGATCAATTTCAAAATTCTATATTTTCGCATTTTCAGCTTCTAATAATACTGCTTTTATCTGTGGAAGAAATAATCCAAAAATAACCGATAACCGATCGATAAAGGTTTAGGTTATTCGGTAGTCAAAAAGTGTAATCGTTTCACCCCTAATGTAAAGTAAAAGGAGACAAGACCACCACTGCTAGTTCATTGCTACTGTTGAGTGTAAATGGCGATACTCCTGCGTTATCAGATTTCCGCTCATCCATGCAAAAAGTGTGCACGCAGCCATACCACGACACAAGAACAACAATACTTCATGGATTTGAAGTTTAAACGTCGTTTTCTTGTAACTTCCATCAGAAATCTTCATCACAATTGGATATTATGGACTACAACAAAACATTATAATTATAATACCCAGAGGTAGAAATGTTTAGGCTAAAGAAACAAAAACAGAAAGCAGTGGCAAAAATAGCACTAAAACAACAGTTGCGAATTCAGAGCCAGCGGTGTAAAATATACCGAGTGTGTTACTAGTGTGTGTGTGTGTGTGTGTGTGTGTGTGTGTGTGTGTGTGTGTGTGTGTGTGTGTGTGTGTGCATGCGCGCGCACGCGCGCGCGTGTGTGTGTGTGTGTGTGTAGTGTCAGGGGAAGAGTTTGAGTGTTGTAACAAAAAAACTTGCTGCTTGCATAAGTCTGGCTTTTGGTTGCAGATGTACATTATTGCCTCCAACACGGGAAGTAACCGAAAACTACTAGTATTGCACAATACACTAAAGCAGGAGTCATCAAATACCTTCAAACACGAAGGACTGGACAACAAATGATGGTAATTAATTGCAGACTTACGGGAACTAATAAACACAGCATGATCCACGTCCAGCTCGTCAGCACCGTCTCATAATCTCATAATGTCATAATGTCATAATGTCACAATGTTTTCTTGTACTGTAAGACATGTAAATCTAACGAGGAAGGAAATCTAACGTTTTAATGAGTTACGTTCCTTCATTATAATAAGTTCTGTTGAGGGTGTGTGTTATGTGCGGATATGCCTGAAGACTGCAAGATCGTCAACGTATCTTCTCGTTAGCCTATGAATTTTGGACAATCGTTTAATTTTTCGACTCGGTATAATAACATGTTTTACAGTAGTCCATAAGATCCAATGGTGATGAAGATTTCTGATGGAAGTCACAAGAAAACGCCGTTTAAACGAGGGCCTTTATCCTGTGTAGCACATGCACACTGTTTGGGTTTTGAAGCACACACTCACTGTACCGTATTCCGTACCACGTCGGTGACATTAAAAGAAACCCTTTGGTAGAAAAAGAACAACGGTATTCCTCGTAATTTCCTTTACTGTTCTCGTTGTTCAGCTTTTGAAGCGCTTGCTGGCCGAGCTGAGGTGTTTTCGTCAGATCTTCTGTTTGTTTCCTGTCCTTTGACTGTAAGTAGATGATTCTTGTATTATATCTCTTAGTTTTTTTTCTGGGTTCATAGTTCACTTGGTTCACTGGGCTCATGATCCGTATTCATGCACCTTGGCACTTTGACCTTTTTTTTACCATTCCGGAACCGGGTAGACCGCGCGCCGTGTGTCAGCTTGTCCGTCGCCGTACGTAGCAATGCGGATTTACGTGTAGTGCATCATACTAGCACCTGCATTTTTTCTTTCAACGCCAAGCGACTTGCGCAGGCGGCCATGGCTTACTTGGTCATTGTTCACCTGAGCCCCATCATAGTTCTACCTGTACAGTCAACTTCGCTATTAACGACTGCGGATATAACGACAATTCGCGAATAGTGACAGAATTTCCATGCCCAGAGCAAAGTCTCATCTAACTGTAATACATGGAAAGAGACTTCGGGTGTAAGGACACTTCGGGAATATAAGGACACTTTTCTGATGCCCCGCCGAGTGTCGTTATACGCAAAGTTGACTGTACATCAAATGAAGTGTACATGCACTGGTATTGAGTTTCTTGCATTACTCACTGAACGTTGCCCTCGAACACGGTCCTTTTTCATATTATTAGGGCGGAGAGGGGGGTTGTACTGGTGTTATGCTGGAGTGTAGACCACACACTCGGACTCCTGAAAAATACGCACCCTGTCTAATTTCTTAGCTGGACACACAGCATTTCATTGAAGTGGTATCGCATGTCACTATGCATGGAGATGCAGGTCGAAACACGCGAGATGACTCCCCCAAGAACATACTGAACCCCCTCCCCTCACATACAACTTCGAATGCTGTTCGTTTCGCAGGCTTCTGCGAACTTTTGCAATGGTCCCAAAAGCAAAAAACTGGGTTTTATCCTAAATTCAGCTGAATTTGAAAAAACCCATAGCATTGTGCCAGAACCGCAAACCACTCATCTTCAGAAAAATTAGGCCAATAGCCGTGGGAAACACAGAAGTAAAAAGAAGCAACTAATCAAAAAGTTTGCACAAACCGTTCACAACTTTCCCTCAAACTTATAAATATTCTATCCCAAAGTCAAACTACCAAAAATTCTCTCGGTTGTCTCATTCCTGTCTTTGCTTAGCGGTTGTATTACTATTGATTTGATGACTGTGATGATGTGTTCCAAACACGGTTGTTCAGATGGCTCCTCTCTCCCAATCAAAGAGGGCCACTACTGCCAGAGTGCAACGACTGTGGAAGTCAACGGCCTCCAAGATAGAGAAACTGAACCAGCTTGGTTGCCATGGCGGAGTGATGGTGCGGATAAAGGGCAAGGTTTTAGCAGCTGGATCCCTGGGGCCCAGCATGCTGCAACACCGCCAAACCATAAGCGCTGCAGAAAATCTTCCTCTGGCGTCCCCAGTGTTTTCTCCTCTGCCTGGCAAGCTGGAGGACATGACGGAAAGAACGCTGCGGAGGTGGGTCGCCAACTATGTGCGGACATCTCTTGGTCGCAGACAACCGCGGTACGTGCAGTACAGGCTCATTGTCCTTACAACCATGTGACATGATGCAGTTGTATGCAGTGTACTTTGTTGTATACGGGACGTGTTCTTGTATACATTGTCACGATTGTGTGTTGGGGAAGATCTTTTTCCACTGCCTGTAGGGATTATAGATGAGTGGTGTGCACCACAATTCATGGTCATTCTGTTTTGTTTTCTAGATGGGGTGATAAGGAAAATGCACCTGTTTGGTGGCCGCACGACGTTCTTCCCTACAAGAATGTGTCAACGGACTCCAGGACTGACAAAACAGCGAGATCATTTCGCCAGTGTTTGCAGCTGTGCCTACAAGCCTGCTGTGAGCACCATGGCATCCGCACGGACACTGGCTGTTCCAGTAAGTTGGCACTGGTCTGTTAAAAATGAAAAAGTGATTTAAAAATTAACGTAGATGAAGTTGAAAGTGACAATATGCAGATATCTGCTAAGCAGCAGGCGTATAACAAGAGAGCTTGGAAGCTCAGGGCCCTACGCTATGCTTTGTTGCCTAGCTCATCGTGCATGTTGTTAGAACTGTTTAATTAGCTACATCATTGTATTGCAAAAACGTTTCAATGAGTTACTGAAGTAACATCTTCTGCATAGCTACGAGACCGGCGCTGACTCTGCCGATCACGGGCGTTCTGGAGTCGACAGGATGTCTGTTCTGACGTTTCCTGGGATCGGCGCTGACTGATTGATTGATTGATTGATATTATTTTACTTCGCAAGTTCAAACGGGTTCCTGGCCCAGTTATATGAAAGCGAAGGATAGAATTTGCCAAAATCCTAATGAGCAACAGCATAGGCAATATTATCATAGAAGTGGAGTACTATGCGAGCGAGAATACTGAGAAGAAAAGGAACATGTCAAAACCTGACGAAACACAACCTATTCCAGGCATACATAAGGAAGGCAGGCTAGCTTAAAATCTTGCAATGTGGATACGGTGCGCACCTCTCTAGGCAAACTGTTCCACAGCAATGCTCCTGCGGTGGCGAATCTCGTTTGGCCACACCGACTGCGAGCTGGCTGGCTGAGCAGACCATTGGCATGCTGATGGCGCGTACTTCTGCCGCTGCATGCTGCTGATTTGAGAAGCTGGGCTAGAGCAAGGCTAGTGGAGTCATTTAGACACCGCCAGATGAAGATCAGGACTCTGCCGATCACGGGCGTTCTGGAGTCGACGGGATGTCTGTCCTGACGTTTGCTGGAACCGGCGCTGACTCTGCCGATCACGGGCGTTCTGGAGTCGACGGGATCTCTCTTCCGACGTTTCCTGTGACCAGCGCTAACTCGCCCGTTCACGCTTATTATTGTTCTGGAGTCGACGGGATCTCTCTTCCGACGTTTCCTGTGACCGGCGCTGACTCGCCCGTTCACGCTTATTTTGGAGACGACGGGATCTCTCTTCCAAAGTATGTTTTTGCTGACGCATCCTATCACCTATTCGGCAACTAACGTCCATTCTAATTGCATTTCCTCCTCGTCTCCCTATTTCTTTCCAGAAAATCTCCCTATACATGAGGGAGTCGTATACATAATACGACGAATATTGTGGTCAGCTGTTTGTGGCCAGCTGTGCTTGATGGTACGGTACGGTATGGGACAGATACGGGAGCCAGCAAATATTGTGGCCAGCTGTGTTTGATGGCACGGTACGGTACGGGAGAGATACGGGATAGAGCCAACGTGACACAAACAAACAAACAAACAAACACCAAATTAAAGCTGTGTGGACCCTGGCTAGCGCCAGACGTTACTGAAGTTACGTCTTCTGCATAGCTACGGGAACGAGAGAGCTTGGAAGCTCAGGGCCCTACGCTATGCTTTTTTGCCTTGATGACCTAGACAAAAAAAAGCATAGGGATGTTATAAATTCTTTAAAAAATTCCTTTTTTTAAGACATAACCTGGGATTCGAACCCGCACTATCGCGCGCCCTGCATGCATCCCCCGATACACTTCGCATACATACTACAGTGCATTTCAAAACTATAGACGCGTAGGGTTTTTGAAATATTTCAAATTTGGCTGGAACCTTTTGAGAATAGCTTTCGGAATATTGCTCAGGACCGCTCCACAATTGCTCTCATTATAGTTTCTAAACGATTGGATAACAGACGCCCAATTTGGAAAAATTTATGCACAAAGTGATCACAGATTTTATGTGGTATAGATCCTGGCATAACGGTTTTTGCCTAGGTACGCGTCTATAGTTTTGAAATGGACTGTAATTCTTCCAAGTAATTAGTTGCTTCACGTTATGATCTTGCATTTGAAAGCCCTATTTGAATATGCATTGTGGCCAGCTGTCTTTGATGGTACGGTACGGTACGGGATAGGTACGGGACAGGTACGATCGAGGGTAATACGACACCGTCTACCGCCTTGATGACGGCAAAAAAAGCATAGGGATGTTATAAATTTTTCAATTCTCCTTTTTTAAGGCATATCCTGGGATTCGAACCCGCACTATCGCCCTACATGCATTCCCCCATACACTTCGCATTCATACCCATTCTTCCAAGTTGCTTCACGTTATGATCTTGCGTTTGAAAGCCCTATTTGAGTATTGCGGCCAGCTGTATGTGGCCAGCTGTGTTTGATGGTACGGTACGGTACGGGACAGATACGGGATAGCGCCAGGCGTGACACAAACACATAAACAAACACACAAATACCAAATTAAAGCTGTGTGGACCCTGGCTAGCGCCAGACGTTACTGAAGTAACGTCTTCTGCATATCTACGGGAATAAAATTAATAATATTTAATGCTCGGATGTTGAGCCATAAATAAATGTGTCAGGACGTCGAATGTCTCAGTACTCTGTCAGTTTTGTGCCTAGTTATTGCACTTTCTGACTGTATAAAGTATCATGTTACAGTGATGGAGAGTTACTCTTAACTCGTATCCATAATGTCTTTTTTCCTTTCTACAATATTTAATGCGTTACTTATTATTTGTTGTACAGAAGCGCAACAATCACGTCTTCAGACGGTAGGAACCGAAATGGCGACCTGTGCATCGCGGATATCTGCTGCCACCCGCGAGCTGCTGAAGATTGGTGACCTTCTCCGCTTCAAGGAGGTCAATGTGGCTGGTAGTGACATTTTCACGGAGCTTGGCCAGCTCATGCGCCTTGCTTCTGACCTTCAGGTAAGTAGGTCTTATGGCAGTTTCATTCTTAGGAGAATGTCAAGAGAACGTGTTACGTTAGCTGCAGCTTGCACACGCCACACTCTGTCCCGGTCGTCCGTTAAGCCCATGATCTTGTGCGTGATATTATGTCTGCTCTATACTTCTTGAAGAAGAGGTTGGTGCGACTTCGGCAATATTATGCTTTTAGGAGTTTTGGAATGTTTTTATTTTATTTCGGCCCGTGGTGTCACCTACTTTAGCATGGAATACATGGTGTCACCTACTTTAGCATGGAATTGCAGAATTTTTAGAGTCATCACCTAGTCGATATTCTTCACGGTTCTGCCTTCCAGTGTCCATTTTTCTGTCGTGTTATCTTTTCTTTCTTTTTCTTTTTTCTTTTGTAGACTTCATACGCAGGGCCTTCTGCACCAGAGGCACTAGAGCCTGTGCTGGAGAGAATTGAGCAAGGTAATTGTAAAGGTCAACCGTGCTGGTTCAATAAAATTCCAGAAGCCGTGCAGGCAAAATGAGGCATTTTCCAGTACTCCTCACTTAGTAGACTCTTCAACATCCATCTTGTTAGCTTCTTTGTCTCGTTGTGTGTTTTAGTTTGCCATTTTTGCACTGCATCCAGGAGTGAATGAGATCCCGATTACAACGCCGGCTGATTTGACTGTGTTATTATCGTGGCTTTGTCTGTGTTATGATCGTATGCAGTTGGACTCCAAGTTGAACTAAATGGTGATGCACATGCAGGTGGACTCCAAGTTGAAGTAAATGGTGATGCACATGCAGGTGTAGGTGGACCTGAACTGGATATTGATGCCAGTATCATGGATGATAACTAAAGCCATAGCTCCAGCGATAACATTTAAGGATGCTATCCTTTTTTTGGGAGTGTTTGTTGCATAGAAGATGTTCGGTTTTTATCTTCACCCATCACTCATGCTATTGCTTCATGGACCCCGACCCATGCATCACTCATGCTATTGCTTCATGGACCGACCCGTGCATCATTCATGCTGTTGCTTCATGGACCGACCCGTGCTTGGAAAACGGTACAGTGCTTGATTAGTTTTTCCTTCAACAAGTTAATTGTCGCAGTCAAACTGGAGGGACTTCATGTTGCATGTTTTTGAGAAATGGCATTGAAATTAGTGACGCAAGTAATCGGCGGTTTGCAGAATCTTGTATTTTTTAAGTGCTATCAGGGAGTCATATCCTAATTACTTATACGACTCACTCGCTGATTTATGTTGTTCATCTAGTGTAATAGCTCTCGTGAAAATCCATAACCAGCTTGCCTTACAGTGAATTATTATTTATCTGCCTGTAATCATGGTAATTGTTGTGTACAGATTGGATGTAGCGTAGTCCATGTAAAGTTAGTTGCAACTTGATACTGTAGTGTCCTTTACAAGCTAGTAGAAATGGACACTACATTGTAGAGATCAACACAGCCACATTCACGCAGCATGGTCACTAACGCTGTAGTTATTTTCCCTAGCTCCATCACAACCATATTGGCGCATGCACCGAAGTCACAACACGCCACTGCACGAACCATGGTACGAGGCACAAGTAAGTTGTGAAGGTCATGCAGCTGCTTGGAAAGAAAATTGACTCTCTATATATAAGTACTTAAGTAGTACCGTAATTATTCAATGCACAGTTGCCGCAGTAAAAAATTTAAAATCAACAGGCGGGGAGAAGATGATTGCTAATGGTAACTATGATGATGATGATGATGAGTATGATGATAAAGGGGTAATGGAATAATGCGGAGTAGTGCAGTACATAATTACACTGATCTAGTTCACAGACTGTCAGTTCATGCTAACCGTTCTGCATCTACACCGTGTAAGCGCTGAGCATCCGCTCATCAGCAGACTTAGCACTGGGTAGCGTAATGCGACTGCAAGTGTAGATGATACAAAGGCAAGCGGAGTACTGCTTATAGCTTAGTGTCATTGTGTACCCAGTATTTCTAATACATGATGATGTACAGGAATATCATGGAAGCAGAAATGAAACCATTAATGCAAGAGCTTGAGAAAGAAAAATGAAGCAATTCGATGCAAGACAACAATTACCAAACACAGGCATGTAACGTTATGCTAACCAGCATCTAAATGTGCGGTCGTATTATTTATGTATATGTGAATCAGCTTTCTGCTAACCAAATGAACAGAAAGAGATATCTGCAGGTATGGCCACGACTTCAGCAGTCGGATTGAGCTGCTCATCATAATCGAACAGCTGATACAATGCATTGCGCTCTGTCAGCCTACACTTGCACTATCTCTCATTATTACACTATTGTTGCTGCTAATGATACAATGTACAAAGTATAAAGCTTGCTGCTTAACTAGCTCACTTTACAGAACCGGGAAATTATCTATTTTTTAACAGTAAGTAACCAATAGAGGTCGAACTTGATCATAACTGACACAGTTAACCACCTGTCAAAGCAGGCACCCCATTGATCGAGGCATGTCAACAAAGAGAGTGAAGCTTTACAAAAGCCAGAAGTGGTGACCTATGCTGGAAAGCATGGCCACCTGGGGGGTTTCAAATTAGATGCATGGGGAAATATTACTCTACAGCTAAGCTAGAAGTCGGTTACTTCTGTCAATTGCATGTCCGATCATCATTCAACTACTGCAAGTCTAACGTAACATTATTTAGCTGCCGGTTGGGTTTAGAAGACACTGCTGGCAGAAGCCGCAGTGCCCTGGTTTGAAGTGTTGATGTATGCTGCTGCAGCATGCTGCTGTTGACGCAGGCTGCTGCTGCGGTTGCACAGGCCGCCGTCTAGAGAGACAAATTGGTCAACAAGGTTCCTTCCCGTTGTCGATTGAGGAAAGGCTGAGAACGGAATGTTCATCAGGTCACTCACGCTGGATGGTCCAAAGTCGGCTGAAACCATGGCGAAGCCGGGCAGTTTGTCCATGCTGCAAAACAATGGCAGATCCGGCGGCGGCTGTTGAGCTGAGACTGCTGCTGGGTGTGCAGCAGTGGCGAGGGGCGGTGAAGATGATCCGGTGTCAAAGCTGGCATTGGACAGCGGTGAGAACGCTGCACACAAGCTGTCCGCAATGGATACTGATGAGCCAGTGAAATCCAACGACGGAACGCCTGAGTCCATGCTACAGAGCAAACTCTCTGGAGACTGTGGACAGGAGGATGATGAAGTCATGGAAGCTGATGTGGGAGAGGGCAGCTCAAACATGTCTATACTGGAGAAGGGAACTCCCTGCTTGGCATCATAGCTGGACTCTCTCAGGCCTTGGAATTGCTGCAGGCGCTCATCGAAGACAGCCTGTAGCAACTGCTGCTGCCGCTGCTGCTGTTGCAGGATGAGCTGGTTGGCACTTGCATCTAGAATTGGAAGCGATGTAGCAGGCATGTTATCAAGACTGGAACAACTTGTGGCTGTGCTCCAATTGCACAGGTTGTCAATGTCAAAGGCACGAGAGCTGTTAGTACTGCTGGCTGTGACAGAGGCAACAGCAGCAGCAGCAGCAGTACCCATAGTAGCGTTGCTACAATCTGGCAGAGCAGTTTGACCGCCCACTGTCAACTGTGTGGCATTCTCAACCTTTTCCTGCAGAACCTGCCAGGCTCGGACTAGAGATTGATCTTGCATGCCGTCCAGAATGCTGTTGGTCTGGCGAGGCTGTGGCTGCTGCTGCTGCTGCTTCTTTCCACTGCCCGGGTTCTTGGGGCCTTTGGCTGCAGCTGCGCCGTTTGTCTCTGATGCCTTCTGTGGGCGGCTAGCTGGGTTCGATGATTTGACTCGTTTCTCTACACAGCACGGACCATGAAAAAGAATGCAGATAAGTTATGCACGTGTGTTGTACATTATATAGCATTGCTGTTCAGAAGCAAAAGTAGCAAAAGGCAAGCACACAAACAGAATAGCAGAACACGTATGCATGTATGTGCGTGCGTGCGTACGTTTAAAACACAACAACTCACCATCACCATCGGGCATGCGGCCGTCATCACCATTGGCGACATCTCGGGTTCGCTTCACCGGCTTGGTGTAAGGATAGGCGTTGCTTGTTTTAGGGACATGCTTTGCTTTAGGGACGGTCTTTGCTTTCGGCACATTCAATACCTCGGTGAACACTGCAAAGAGGAGCAGAGTGGTCCATGCACATTGTCAGTCCACGGATACACACCTCACTAGTCTAATCACTTTTTTTTTTTTTTTTTTTTACTGAATACCACAGTACCATCAGATGCTGCACAGCGGGGGCGGTGGCATATTGGATGGAAGTGGGGGCGGGGCAAAAGTAACTCCTCCGACCAAAGGTCTCGGAATCATCGTTACTCCTGTGCGCCGATACATAGGAGAAAAGAAACATGTGCATCCAAGAGGGAAGCACCGGCTTTGCAAACGATAATGGGGAGAATTTGAGATTGAGATAGGACAAAACAATAGTAAAAGCAGTGCACCGTAGGAAGATGGAGTGAACTGATAATCGGATTTTAAGGCTGAGCGAAGGGGATCAAAGAGGGGTAGAAGGGAGCTGGAGTGCGGTCAGTATAATTAGGCTGGTGTGTTGGCAGAGATCATAGCCTGTCTGTGGCCCACTCCCACTTGCTGCGCCGCAAGTGGTCGTTGACGTTTTTCTTGAACGTGTGCATACCTCTACATTGTCAGTCCACGGATACACACCTCACTAGTCTAATCACATTGTCAGTCCACGGATACATACCTCACTAGTCTAATCATAGGTACACACCACAATGGGAGCATCCTGATTCTAAACTTTGTTTAAAAAAAAAGAGACTTACATTCCGAGTCGGAAAACGAGCGAGTCCAGGGACCTGATGGGTAGTTGAAGCGGGTGGCGTCCTTCCAGTTTAGTGGCGCATCGGAACAGGGAGACTTTTCTGTGTGGATCACGGCATCCATCAACACCTCACTGCCAATCAGCTGCGGTGGTGGTGTTGGCATTGTCAACTTCACACAACAGTGCTGCACAGGCACACAGGCACACAGGCAGAATAATACAATACTATATTGTGCAAGTTGTGGAGGAAATGAGGAGCAGTTTCACCAAGTCACAAAAGCCGGATAAAGCAAAAGATGTGATCGATAGATAGCGATCAGTGTGATCGATAGTGATCAATGTGATTGAGGTAATCGATCTGAAACACAGTAGCCACACACTCACACAGTGCTGCAGATGATTGCTACTTACATGGCCACAGAGCCAGCTGAAATCCTTAGCTGCTAGCATTGACTTCCATACCTGACCATCTACATGCACACATACATACAAGCACACGCACGTACACACACACACACACACACACACACACACACACACACACACACACACACACACACAAGAAAGCAAGATAGGTTCATGAGCCGCCTACTAGTATCCCGTGATGTCTACTAGGAACACACAGTAACAGGACCCGTTCACAATATCGGATTTCACTTGTTTAATACCACCATCAAGAGTACAGTCATAACAAGAGAGTGCAACCCCAGTTGGTTTGGCCCACGGCCGAATTTGTTGTTGACGTTAGCTTCTCTGGAGATCTTGAGCCATAACGTACGAGGCATGAGAATGGAGAGCCAGCCATAGCCCAACTATTCCAAAGAGAACTATCCTTAGCTGAACTTCCTCTGGTAAAACTATCCGTTGCATATCTCTTCCAAGCCATTTAGTTAACACAAACCTGTTGGCCTATCAACTGAGCTAACCAAGTAACCAACATGCACAGTGCAATGGAAGCCACACACCAAGAACTCGGGATCAAACACTAAAAAAGCTGACCAGTAACCTTTCAGACTGTCTACGCTACAGCAACACAACACCATGTACATGCCGTGAAGTACATGCCGGGGACATACGGGGACATACCAGGTAGGCGTTGGAAGACACGGAACCGCGTATCTACAATGGCAGACAAAATCAGAAACAGTCAAGAAAGTGAGTCAACGCCAAGCCTGATGATAACAAGTCTTGGCTTATTCATTGCCTTCACCGTGTTGCAGAGCGCAGGCGCTAGCGTACGAGTTTTTGTGCTGACCATAATCACATGAGATGCCAGGACACCTGCAGAACTTCAGCGGCATTCAGTTTTGTCATCTCGGCTGAATTTCCTCTCATTCCCATCCCTTGTTCTCACGTCTAGACAGAACAGCTCTAGAGCCTTCCCAAAAACAATGCAACCCCTCTTTCTCCAATAGCCCACGCTATAGTCCCCCTGGTCCCCTGGTCATCTTCTCATGAGGGTCTTGCAGCAGCTGACTTACTCGACGCAAAGTCCTTGCCGAACACATACAGCTCTGGCTGCGACTGGGGCTTCTTGGCAGCATCCGTGTCCTCGATGATCAGTGACTGGCTGGCAGACAAGATTTGAGTGACGTGTGGATTCTGCACCAACTGCGTTGAGCTCACTGGCATGGCACAAAGGCAAACGCAACACAGCAAGACCAGCACCATCAGTGTGTAGATTCTAGTTCACCAGGAAATGCCAACCATCCTCAAGCTTATATGTGTATACAAAAACACACACACACAACACTAGGAGTTTTAAAATGAGAAAGCCAGCGGCACTGCTCAATGCTTACCGCATTTGATGGATTCTGACATTGAGACCAAGTAAGATCCATCGCCATTCTCAATATTTGCAACGACACACAGCCGAAAGTAATTGTTGTGGCTTGGCGAGATCTCGGGCTTGGCTTTGTTATGTTTTCCACGGCTTACAGGACCGCGTGGTGGCTTGCTGCAGCTTGAAGACTCGTCTAACAAGCTGCTTCCTTGCTCCGCAGTGATTCCTAGTTTTTCAGTGTCAAGCAACTCTTGGCGAAGGCGCACGATTCCAACATGCTTCAGTCTGCCAGTGACGTACACATGAGATAAGAAACCATAAGCAAGACAAACAATTGAAGCAAACTATATCAGTCATAGAGATATGGTGCAAGTAAGCACATGTTTACCTTACTTTCAAATACATTCGGTCACACGAGAGAGAGAGAGAGAGAGAGAGAGAGAGAGAGAGAGAGAGAGAGAGAGAGAGAGAGAGAGAGAGAGAGAGAGAGAGAGAGAGAGAGAGAGAGAGAGAGAGAGAGAGAGAGAGAGAGAGAGAGAGAGAGACTAGTCCAAAACTTACGGGCACACAAAGTTGTCCTCGGCACGGACCTTCAAACGCAGAGCATGCGTCTTGTCGTCCAACTGCACCGCCTGGCATGACGCTGGAGCATCTCGGCCAGCCGTCAAGCAATAGAAGAAAGGGTGACGACGACCATCCGGCAGGCACACATACACCACTAGGTCAATCTCAGGAGGGCACTGTGCTTGCTCAAGGAGACCACGTAGCTGCAATTTAGAGGAAGATCACCAAGTGCGGCACAAAGTATTACTACTGCGCTGAAACCGGCAAATCAGTCCCGTGAGTAGGACAACTTCATGAAAACCTGGTAACCTTGTCTTTGCTTAGTGACTCTGAGAATGTGTACTGATGGGGGGGGGGAGAGAATGTGTGCTGATGGGGGGGGGGGGGGGGGAGAGAATGTGTGCTGATGGGGGGGGGGGGGGGAAGAGAATGTGTGCTGATGGGGGGGGGGGGGGGAGAGAATGTGTGCTGATGGGGGGGGGGGGGGGGAGAATGTGTGCTGATGTGGGGGGGGGGGGAGAGAATGTGTGCTGAGTGACTCGGAGGGGGGGGGGGGATGTGTGCTGAGTGGAGGGGGGGGGAGAGAGAGAGAGAGAGAGAGAGAGAGAGAGAGAGAGAGAGAGAGAGAGAGAGAGAGAGAGAGAGAGAGAGAGAGAGAGAGAGAGAGAGAGAGAGAGAGAGAGAGAGAGAGAGAGAGAGAGAGAGAGAGAGAGAGAGAGAGAGAGAGAGAGAGAGAGAGAGAGAGAGAGAGAGAGAGAGAGAGAGAGAGAGAGAGAGAGAGAGAGAGAGAGAGAATATGTGCTGAGGGAGGGGGGAGAGAGAGGGAGAATGTGTGCTGAGGGAGGGGGTTAGCAGTGGGGTTGGTGCAGCGCGTTGGGCTGTGTAGAAATGATGCAACTGATCTCGACGTCTGCAAAGGTTTCAAGTGCATCACTGTACCTGTATGGTGGGCACACCTCGCTCTCGGCCTTCAATGGCACCTCGGCAGTTGCCACGCTTTGATAGTTCTTTAGGGTATCTGGCTCGATGGTACTGCAGCAATGCATACACAACATCAAAATGCCAACACACATTCACACAATGACATTACTGACCAGATCTGGAGATTCTACGACAAATCAAGTGAACCTTGCAACAAAGTTGCTTGGACAAGAGCTCAGCATAATGCATGCAACCCGCACTCCTGTAAGTCACCAACTATTGGGCTGATTCGGCTATTTCCGGCCTTCTACTAGGCACTAACAGTACTGGTTCGTATTACACAGGCTGAAATATCGATGAGGTCAACATAGACGACTTGCCAAACTCCTGTCATGGGCCTGCGCTGGCTGGCAGTAAACATGCTGAGCAGGCGGGAGCAAGTGCAGCAGTTCGGAGCGACTTATCAGTTGAGGTTGCATCTGAAACGTAGGACAAGTTAGTTGGAGTTTGTGTTCGTGTTTTTCGTGTTTTTCATATTTTTAGTTGTCCATATCACGAAGTATTTTGCAAGTAGTTCCCCTTCCATTGCAAAATACAATCATGCATGTGGACAAATAAACAGTGTTCACGGCACGTCCTTCTTGTTGCTGTACAAAAGGTATCATAGATTTTCAAGGAAATATCATGAATACTCTTTATAACTTCCCTCAAAAGGTTAAAAGTACCTATTTTGTAGTATTAGCGCAGTGTCGACACCATAATAATACAACTCTGCCATGCGCTAGTCTGTTTATATGAGCTTTTCGTGGCCCGCCTATCTATCCCGCCTCACCGGGCCAGCCCACTTGACATGTAAACGCACAACATATTTTGTGTGGATTTGTGTACAAGCCCGAGATCTCAGTGGCCTGTTGACCATCAGATCTCAGTGACAGGCGGGCAGGCCCGCCTGTTGACCAGCCCGGGCTGGAGCTGCACAGAATCTTAATCACCCCCTTACACTAACCGGGGAGGAAAGGGTGAATGTTACAATTTAGTCAAAACTCACCTCACTTGGTTGTTCCGACCAGACCAGCTCCACACTGCTGAGATCAAATCCAGCCGAAGCACCATTCTGCACAGCACTGATGTCCGCTGGCTTGCGGAACAGGCACGGTGGGCAGCCAGTTCCCACGCCCTTGTCGCTGCTGAGCGGCACAATACCAAGCGATGGAGTGCTGCTGCCAGTGCTGCCGCCGCAACCAGAGTCAGACTCACTGTCACTCTCTGAGTTAGATGCTACCGCTCGGCTCATCTTTGCTGCTCGTGTTCACCCACAAACTGATTCTATCTTGGTACAAACTACACAGGTTCAACTTGACTTGAAACGAGGACGCGACTGCTTAGTTGTAGGTGGGCTAGTCCTGGACAAAAAACCAGGGAGCAAAACGTTCACAAACCAATGCTCAGCGCAACCAACAGTATCTCAAACGTTCACATCTTAGTTAGCAGCGTGTAATGCCTACTAATGGGAGGAGAACAGGAAGTGTATGGCTTATGCACGCCAGGATGTACACGGGTATGTACACCCGCATAAGAAGTGGTCACCAGTCAGTCATTCCCTCAACACCTAACAGCACAATATCCACATGATCAGTTTTGCAGTTTGCAGTGAGTCTGCTTTAGGATGTGACAGTGACAGGATTCCAGTATGACACATAATTATCAGTACCGGTCAACACAAGCATCAAAATCATGAAGTCAATGGAGGCATGATCTTGCACTCAATGGACCCTGCAACAGTATGTAGTGGAACATTCCTTGTCACTCGAAACTCAAAGTACTTTCAATAGAGCGTGGGTGGAGGAATTGAAGTACTTTCTCATTTTGGCAAAACTGCATCCTTCTGCTGGACTCTGACATCAGCATCCATTCTAACTGACACAATAGAATAAGCCAAGCATCCGCTCACGATCTCCCATGCAAGGATATTAGATTCCATGCCTTGCCTGTTTGAACTGTGATTGGCCTATGACTATGTCCTACAAGACAAGCTGTTACCGCGGCCTACTAGTGCCCCATGTATATGTATGAGAGTCTGGTACTCTGGTCTTCAAAATCTCTGCAACAGTTACCCACTGAGAGATTCTGCCAAGTGGGGTTGAGCACCAGCCCTCAGGCCTTGGCAATTAGTGGGAGGATATGGCGCCTGTACCACTAGTGCAGTGCACTCCTAGGCTAGGGCCTACTGATCAGCAAACTACTATAGAGGCTAACTAGGCTATAGAGCCGGGGACATGCAATCTTGCACAGTCAGCCCGCATTGGACTGAACTAGTGGCTACTTGGAACCTCATTATTGGCCCATCTCAAACACACACTGGCGGAAGGGCACACACACACACACCGCTGTTACACTACTCTCCAGCTCCAGTTGCTTCTTCAAAACTGAGGTCACAGGTTTATGCTGCCAATTACTGCCAATGGATAGCTGAGGGCAAACAAGGAGATACCTGCATAGAGTTTGGGCCATGCCGCGTACAGCAGTACTAGATGTGCATATGACTTGTTGTAATATGCAGATCGGATTGCGGCACCTGATTGGAGTGGCCAGAGGAACATACAGGTCATTGTACACCAACAATGCCAAATCACCAGCACATCACTCAGCACTGAACCCTATTACTCAAATTCAGTTCTGAAGTTAGAAGAGCAAAGTCCTTACAAGCCACTCCCTCTGAAAGCCTTTCCTTGAGGACCAGTACACCAAAATAAAAACAACTTGCGTTCCTGAAATCTACAAAAAGTCTTTCATCCAAGATGTTGAGAGTGGCCAGCTCTCAACACAGCACTTAGCACACCACACGGGGTACAGTGTGATTCTAATGCCATGGGCGGGTTGTCTACCAAGTCAGTGTTCAATCATGTACAATCCTATGATCATTGAAGACAAGATATCAGTGTGCTGGGCATCTGGCTCAAGTCAATGGAGAACTGTGATATACATGTACATGTACTACACGCCATTCATCTGCACAACTCACAAGCCTGAAGCCTAGAGTCACAAATCACTAGTTAGCTCAACCCACCTAGGCCATAGGACCAACAACACTCCAGCCTCATTCATGATGAGAACTAGTAGTGACGTGTGCTAGTAGTCAGTGCTAGCAGCCTACTACTACTACTAGTAGTATGCAGACTGTAGTGTGGGCCATAGCCTCATAGCCAGTTGCTGGACTGGTACAGACAGTACACCAGCACATCATGACTACAACGTCATGTAGTAATTGCAACTGCCACAATCACAGTCATGGCCAGTGACTCCAGTCCATACACCATGGAGTGCCCTTCATTGGGCTTCAAAGGCAATGCCACTTTGAGGACCACATTGAGGACCAATTAAATTTCAAGAGCAGATGGTCCATTTTCCGGGATTGGCAAGCATGATTGTTGTTGTTTGAGCTAGGTAAGAATGTATAGGTAAGAATGTATAGGTAAGAATGTATGGTCATGGATATGTCCACAGCATGCACTGCATGCAGGACAGTGAGACAAATCAAGCACGTGACTACTCAATTACGGGGGACCAGCACCAAATCAGTGTAGTTTTCACGTGGCTTTGCTGGGACACCATCATGCACCAGTATGGCACTAGCACACCCCATTTTCCACTGACTGTGCATGGGTGTGCAGGTCAGTGATCATGGTACTAGTACTGAAAATACATGCCTCCCTCCACCAATCATGCCACACTGGTAAGTGACCATACACTGTAGTGTAGTACAGGCACTGCAGTATGTACAGGTAGTGCAGTATGTACAATGGATATCCATCATGACCAATTGCACCATGGGGTTGGTCTTTTCCCTGACTCATTGTTTCAACCCCATAGGCTTATGAAGTAAAGACAAGTATGCCTGCCTTCCCAGTGCCTTGGCTCTATCACGTGGGAGTGCTACTACTGCCAGTACTGCACTGGTTTATCAAACAAAAGACTCCAAAACAAGTACAGGAACGTGCACCCACACAAATTCTTCCTATGTTCAGCGTGAACATATTAAACGACCATGAATGACATGCACCAGCCATCCTACACATATGCGGCTGTGCACGGCCCTAGAAGGGGGACCAGCTACGTCACTAAAGTATCAATGATTCCAATCCAGGGTAGTGTTTCAAGGTCAGGACGGCATGCATTGATTCAAGTGAGAATACTGAGCACTAGCAGCCTGAGGATGAGGTCCAGTGAGGATCTGAGAGATTTGAGCACTGAGTCTGTGCTGCTGCTCATTGAGGAGGAGGAGGAGGAGGAGGAGGAGAAGTCAATGACTTCTTTATGTGATCATGCTGATGTGGGCAACGCCTTGGAGGGAGCATGAATGGACAAATCTCCAGACATAACACCCCCCCCCCCCCACACACACACACAGGGACAAACCATTCATCCAGTAGGTACATGTATGATCTGCTTCAGCTGCTCTTAGTATACTAGTACGACTTACTAGTATGCACACGTCCTGGCAGAAATCATCACATCACTCATCAGGATCATGGGTGCAGGTTTCTTTTACCAATGATTAATATGTTACTACAGTCGACCTACCCTTATAACGATAACCTCTATAACGATATTACCCTTATAACGATATTTTTCTGCCAAACCAAATCACTCCATTCACTTGTGTATACAATGCCTTACCTCTATAACAATATTGCTATAACGATATTACCCCTATAACGATATAAAATGGGCTGACCAATCGACATTTTCCATTTTATAACAATATCTAGCAAGGAATATGTAGAGCCTACTACCCAGGTAGGGCAAGCTTCACTTGATAAGTCGTTGGGACATGGCGAAATGCAATGGGGTACCAGTGGGCACCTTGCTGTGCACATACATGTAATGTGCATGTACGTCAGTTTTTTATGCTATGAAGAGTGTAAAAAATGAACAAAATCCATGCATTATGACGTATGTGTATGAAATGAGCCAGTTACCCCTATAACAATATTACCCTTATAACAATATTTCTTGGTCTGACGCAAATATCGTTATAAGGGTAGGTCGACTGTACATGACTGTAACTAATTACTTGTTGTTCCACATACCTGCATACGTCATACATGTAGCATTGCCTACTGCCAGCACTTCCTATTGCCTATTGCCAGTATTGCCTATTGCTACAATGACGTACTAGTATGTACAATGTACTTCCTTGTTCTAGATAGGCATAGATGGTGCTGCTAACTAAGGGACTCTCCTCTAAACCTAGATAACTAATAATTATTATTACTTACTTGACTAAATCAACCAACCCAGCCATGGCATGAGCCAGTACACATCTATCACTGTAGCGTATCAGTGTCATGCACTGTGACTCAGTTAGTCAGTAGAAATCTTCCCTGATCTGTTCTCAGCATACAGCGCTTCAGCCCAAGCTATTTTGCTTCACTCCTCCACATCATGGCACATGCATCATGTCCTCTGCATCAAGTGCTTCACATTCAACCCATGGCCCACTGCAGTAGTCAAGTAACAGTTGTGGTTAGTTGCTTGTGTGGCAAGAGCGGCCCCTTTCTCTTCTCAGGAACACAATGGCTGTACATACAGAGTTTGACTTTCACCTTCGCACCTGCCAGTGCCACCTGGCGTGCTGTCCAGAAAGAACATACTATTACTAGAGCTGAAGTACTAGAATGCTCCCTCCACAACCCCCTGTGACCCTGGAATGCGGAGAATGCACGGGAAGTGACCTTGCCAAGACACGACCATGCAGCAAAGCACAAGGAAAAGCCTGCCACATCAAGCCTTCCTTTGCATTTCGAACAGCATGACAACCTTGGTATGGCGCTAGCGGGGCCGGAAGAAACCCAAGTCAACGAGAGTGCATGCGTGGTCATTCGTTCCGGAGCAAACCCCAGTCCGAGATGTCCGCTTTCTCTGCTGCTGATTGCCACCCAACGTAGAAAGAGAGCATAGGGATCGCGTGGCATTGTGGGTCTGCAGTGGGATTGCTAAACTTTAGCTGTTGTCGCAAACCATACAAATTAGGTCAGTCCCATATCAACGGCAAAGATTCTGGCTAGTTCTGGCTGGACAATAATCATATTTTATCATGTACATCTACGATACGTGCAGCAGAGGAAAGGGTGCGCTCCTGTTGTCCGGTCCGAGAGCCTCAGGTCAGAGAACGACAGAGCTGAAGTGCTACATTCCTCCAAACCCATATTGGGCGTATCTACCTCGTAAAGCGCAGCACAAAAGTGGCAAACTAAAGCGTGCAAATAAAAACAGCAACGAACAAGCAGTTTACTTACCTTCTGTTCGCTGTATTACTAGTATGTCCGCTGCTGCAGCTTCTGCTGTTGTAGACTGTCGGAGGACAGCGCGACAGCCAGTATCGGATAAACCGCTCAGCCAGGCAGGCTGGGAACGCAACACCCGCCAAACAACTGGAGCTTGAGACTTCTTGGAGTGCGTTTCCGCCTCGACTGCGGTATTCACCCTGTGGATGCGCGTCCGACGAAAGTGCAAGCGGAGGAGGACACGTACGAAATGTGAACAAGGCAAGAACAAGGACAGCACAGGCTGTCAGCTCAGAACGGAACACAGCACTTTCGGAACCAGAGCTTACGCAGATGAACTTCTAGTACTCCGACGTTTGAACTGAATCGAAAAGCGTCCGCACCCAAACGAGGTTGACTCACTCTGGAGCGTCCGAATCTCGCATCCTGCTAAATGTACCTACCGGCGACAGTACATTCTTGGAATCTTGCTACGCTTTGTGATTGATCACGCGCTCGACACTGCACGTAGCTGCCGAGTTGCCTAGTATAGTGTCACTGCACTTGTCGTGACTATACTGTTCAAGATAGATCTTCGCCCGAGCAGCCAGCTTCCGCGGCGGCGAATCCGCGCCTGCAGTAGCGTAGACCAGGCTACCACATGTGCACAGTCAGTACAGTAGATCTACCAGATGTACCATGATGTACGATCGTACTGATGACTGCAGTGTTTAAAGGGGAAGTATACCCTAAAATCAAATTTTCACCAGTTGTAGTCTTCTGGGTGCTGAGTCGAATGGTCTTGGTCCGAGGAAGCTGCGACGCTCCCTTCCTACTTGAATCCCAATCGAACTCGCGCACTTCCACCGAAACTGGGTGACTGCGCCCTACTAGATGGGGATTTGTATGCAAAATGTCACTAAAAGCGCCATTTCGTTCTTACAAAAGCACGGATGACCGCGATTGGCCCATATGTTGTAATCTTTTGGACGCTGAGTCGACTGGTTTTGGTCCGAAAAGGCTGCGATGCAGCGTTCCTCCTTTATTCCCAATCGAACATGGTTGAACAAGCGGTCACGTGCTCCTGGGTGCCCAAATCACCTGGTCACCGCGCCAGCAGGCGACAACTTTCACACCAAGGTTCAACTCGAGTTCAACTCGAGTGACAGGACTGCACCCAAAAAAGGTCAAACAGGCTAGTAAGTTGTACCCTGCAGGCACGGTGACCAGGTGACTGGTGTACGCAGGAGCACGTGACCGCTTGTTCAACCATGTTCGATTGGGAATAAAGGAGGAACGCTGCATCGCAGCCTTTTCGGACCAAAACCAGTCGACTCAGCGTCCAAAAGACTACAACATATGGGCCAATCGCGATCATCCGTGCTTTTATAAGAACGAAATGGCGCTTTTAGTGACATTTTGCATACAAATCCCCATCTAGTAGGGCGCAGTCACCCAGTTTCGGTGGAAGTGCGCGAGTTCGATTGGGATTCAAGTAGGAAGGGAGCGTCTCAGCTTCCTCGGACCAAGACCATTCGACTCAGCACCCCGAAGACTACAACTGGTGAAAATTTGATTTTAGGGTATACTTCCCCTTTAAATATAGTAACTAGTAAGAAGTACCTCGTCTAGTACCATGCATGCCCCCTGCCCTAGCGAGTAGCGCTACTCCGAGTAGTAGATCTACTCGGTACTCCGCTAGCCCTCTCACAGTCTCAGTCTCAGCTCTCTTCTACAGACCCTCAGTAGTTCTACTACCAAGTACCATACTCCTGTAGACTGTAGTAGATCTACTCTCACAGTCTCACTCTCAGTCGTGTAGATCGACGACCCAGGTAACTGGTTACTGTATGATGTAGGGTCCTAGGGAGACAGACAGCACCACTATACCATGTATACGGGCACTACTGGCTGCCGTACTCGGTACTGGCACTATACCATTAAAGCTAGGCGGACGGTCTTTTGACTTTGCAGGTTTTGCGACCATTGTCATCATGATCATTGACCAGGCATCATCGATCATGATCAAGGAGGCCTGGCTAAGGCGCCAGAAGCATTCAGAAACCGGATAATAATTATCAGGTTTCTGAATGCTTCTGCTTGAATCCTGATGCTCGTCATCCCTTTCTGCGTAGGCGTAGAAACGACGTGCAGTGTTTTGAACGTGTGCACTGGATCGATCGTAGATTTACGCGTCGATCCAGGTGGCCGTGGCGAGCGGCGGTCACCAGACTCACCACTACATACACCATGTACACAGATAGAGAGAGATTAGCCTCAGATTACAGTGCGATACAGACAGTGCAGTTGCGTACATGAGCTAGCCGCTACTGCCAGTACTGCACTACTGAGTACTGGCAGTGGTCATGGTGGTACTACTGGCAGTACTGCCTACTGGCGCCAGCGCAATGGAAAAAATCATGTATGATGTAGCTTGTCATCAATATCAATGTCATGCGGATCTACTGTACGAGTACATGTCGTTTCTTTGGCTTTCGAGGAAAAACCTGACAAGACTCGAGAGTGGCAGTGCCCTCTACTACGCTCTACACGACTACAGCACACACTGTACCTCGTTTGGCTCTAAATTTAGCTTGGCCTTCAATAGTGGTAGCGTTTCATTGACTCAGTAACACTAACTACAAGTCACTTACTTACAAAGTTACAGAACCTTTTCTTTTCCTACGCACAGGGACAAGAAAGCAAAAGATGTCATGACGTAGGGAAGTACCGTATTATCTCTAATATAAGCACAGTCTCCAATAATAGCACGTCTCCAATAATAGAACACCTTTGGGCGGCATTCAAAAAATAAAGTGCTCAGTCTCCATTATAAGCACACTGTGTAAATTCATTATCTGTACCGGCGAAAAAAACCCTGAAATGTGTGTGTCTGACATGAATTTGGCATGGCAACAAGCCTCTGAAATGAGGTTGAAATAATAATGGAACAGTCTCCAATAAAGGAACGTCTCCAATAATAGCACGGGGCGGAGGTACATTGAAAAAATAAAGGACCGTGCTTATATTAGAGATAATACGGTACATGTACTGTACAAGCAGAATTAATTTCGTCTTTTTCGTCCAAGGAGCTTTTGGACTAAATAGTAAATTAAATGCCAGACTAATATCGATTTGTCCAGCTTTTCAATACACTTTTATGATCTATGGTCCAGTATGGACGAAATATTAGTTAGGGGTCGTCCACAAATATCGATGTTTTTTTAGAGAAGATATTCGTTCGTTTTTTGGGGGGGGAGGGGGTTTGGGCCCTGTTCGTCTCGTCTTTGCAGAAAAAATATCGAACTCTATCTATGGACGGGCGCTGTTCGAACATGTAGTTTATGACCTACACAAAGTGAAAGTCAACCTCGTGAGCATAGCCATGGCAAGGTTGTGCGACCGTGGCAACGTAAACCTAGGTGTATATATGGTGACATTAGAGCGGCAGCTGGTCACGTTTCATGAGGAAAATGAACTTCATTAAAAATATCGAACCTTGCATAAACATGTGTATGTTCGTTTTTTTTTGTGTATGTTCGTTCTGGGGAGAAATGAACAAATATCGTCTTTTAAAAAAAACATCGATATTTACGGACGGCCCAAGCCGGTAGACCAGGTAGACTGCGGTAGACGGGCTCTGGTGGGGGGGGGGGGGGGTGTTACAGCTACTAACGTAACGTTAGTAACCATGGTAACACACTACATGACTGTAAGTGTAACTAACTTACATCGCAACTTGCGATTACAGTCAGGTAGTATGTTACCATGGTCACGCACGGTACCCGTGGCACAAAACGCAGTCATGCAAAAAAATTAAACGCAAAACTGACGTACACACACACACACGCGCGCGCCAGTCACCTGCCCTGCCCTGTTGAGCCACCCCAACACGGGTCATCGTGTGCCGGGGAGAGAGAGAGAGAGAGAGAGAGAGAGAGAGAGAGAGAGAGAGAGAGAGAGAGAGAGAGAGAGAGAGAGAGAGAGAGAGAGAGAGAGAGAGAGAGAGAGAGAGAGAGAGAGAGAGAGAGAGAGAGAGAGAGAGAGAGAGAGAGAGAGAGAGAGAGAGAGAGAGAGAGAGAGAGAGAGAGAGAGAGAGAGAGAGAGAGAGAGAGAGAGAGAGAGAGAGAGAGAGAGAGAGAGAGAGAGAGAGAGAGAGAGAGAGAGAGAGAGAGAGAGAGAGAGAGAGCCGTCCCATGACGCTCCCGGCGATGAATCCAGAGTACGTCCGGTTCGGACTCCTGGGAGATTGCAACCACGTAGTAAGACGGCCGGGCGAGTAATTGAGCAGCATGCCCTGAACTGCATGGATGCAGCCATCACAAGACTCCGAATGTACCATGATGTAAAGTGTGCACCGCTAACTACTTCCATGGTGCTTGTTGGAAATGACTCATGAGAAAATACAATCGTAGCATGCCAGACCACCATGCAGGACTCCACAGGCACCTGCCTCAGTGATCACATGCATTGGCATGATCCATGCTGCCGCTGTCTGCTTAGCACATTTCGGACTGGCATGCGTCCTGGAGGCATGCGAAAGTCCTCTTGCACTCCATGTGGTTGGCAACAGTCAGCAGGTTAGCCGTACCTGATCGCTCGGCTACACACAGGGACTGATGTCCATCGACACACATTCACCCGTGTATACGCATGCATGCATGCGCGCACACACACACACCCCCCCACACACACACACACGCACACACAGACCATTGGACGCCCATCGCCGGAGGCGATGATAGCGATGCTACAGCAGAAGCCATAGCGACTTGTCCTGAGATTGCACCATTCAACAGCTTGCAAGGCTGAAGAATTGGCCGCCACTATTCAGCCTGGTCTACACCACACAGGTAAGAAGTGGCTCAGACACACACACACACACACACACACACACACACACACACACACACACACACACACACACACACACACACACACACACACACACACACACACACACACACACACACACACACACACACACACACACACACACACACACACACACACACACACACACACACACACACACACACACACACACACACACACACACACACACACACACACACACACACACACACACACACACACACACACACACACACACACACACACACACACACACACACACACACACACACACACACACACACACACACACACACACACACACACACACACACACACACACACACACACACACACACACACACACACACACACACACACACACACACACACACACACACACACACACACACACACACACACACACACACACACACACACACACACACACACACACACACACACACACACACACACACACACACACATACACACATACACACACCTACACACGCACACACAGACACACATACACACACACGCACACACACCTTGAACCTTGAACGCCCATTGCCGTAGCAATGATAGCGATGGCTTCCTCACGCTGAGGCTCTAAACTCGAAATCTGCAGTATGGCGCATGCCGCTTGAGGTCACCAGGACGACGGAACACTCTGTCACAGCGGTAGTTGGGGCACGGGATGTCTGGGGCTTCCTTCTCGACCCTCTGTCGACAACACTGAAACCAGGTGGACCTCTCCTGCGCTGTGTCATACCAGTCCGCATCAGACAAACCGATGACAGCAAAGTCCGAGGACACAACATCCCGCCAACGCTTCTTGGGGCCATGTTGCGGGCGTTTGCAGGGCAGTTCGCCGAACAGCATCTGCTTGGGCAGCCGGGTCTCCTTCATCCGTGCAACATGACCAAGCCACCGCAAGTGGTGCTTCCTGATCACATCGGCCATGTCGACGTCCACTCCTGCCAGCTCACTCAGCGATGCTGACAACAATCTCTCCTCCCATTGCTCACGACGAGAGATACCGAGAATTGTGGGAATACACTGATGGTGGAAGGTGTTGAGTTGGCGAATATGACCCGCTTTGATGGGCCATGTCTCCGCACCGTAGAGAAGAGCAGGAAGGACAATAGCATGATACACCAGCCGCTTGGTGTGGACCGAGAGATGTACGCACTGAAATATCGGAGACCTGAGCACGCCGAACAGCCGGGACCCCTGCGCCAAACGAGCAGCGAGGTCCGCATCCACCGTTCCGTCAGCAGAGAGTACGCTGCCAAGGTACCGGAACCCGTCCACCATGTCAATCCTGCTGTCACCACCGAGTTGAACGGCATCAACTGATGTTGGTTGACCCACCGCCATGCCCTTCGTCTTTCTGATGCTGACGCATGACGGTCAGTCCCTATCCCATATGCGGCACACAAGATGAACTCGGACGTCATGCATTCAAATCTCTCTCTGGTGGTAGGGATCTCAGCGCGTGCAGTGCGCAGGGTGTTTGCGCATACATTGCGTCATCGAGTTTTGAGTGCAGCTCGCGGACACAGCAGAAAAATGGCGACGGTCGATTTTCGACACTAGGGGACGCGGTGGACACTAGCGGAATCTTCATCTTCATCGTCGTTCGAACATACTTTGTAATTCCCGCCGAAGGACAGCGTGGCCAAGGCGATATTGCCCCGGTCGATTTTCCTATAATTTTCCATGCGGCAAGAACCCACTTCAGAGAGGATTCAGTCAAAAATTCAGACGTTTTCTCCGGTTAGATTGTCCTAACTTTGATTTTCAGTGCATCAGCCATCGCGAACATCGCCGCCATTATCACTCAGAGAGAAGACATCGCGCTCAGTAGAAGAGGTGTTCACGCTGCGTCCAAGAGTGAAAGATTGTGCTCTTTGACCCTCCATAATTCCTCTGAGAGAGTGTCTGTGAGATAGGTAGCTTGGAAATGGCCGTAGAACGTGCTTTCCTGGACGCAATATTCAGCCATTTCTACTGTCTTCTTCAACTTGATTTATTTCGAAAAAAATGTTCTTTTCCACGATTTCTGCACTGGACGCGTTTGGGATCGAAAATCTCACCTGCGCAGATTGGCTGCGCAGTTCACGCGCTGAGATCCCTACTGGTGGTTGCATAGTCTAGCTAGTGTTGAAACGAATAATCGAATAATTTAGAATATTCGTGGGGTGAACGAATAATCGAATAGTCGTAGGAAATATCAGAAATGGAAAAAAAACAAAAAAACAAAAACGATCTTTGCTCAGTGCTGACCCTACTGATATTTGCACTGCGTAGATCTGCTCGCAGTATTCCTTCTCAATCTCGTCTCCTCCAAGTTTTAATCTCCTATCGGTATCTAGTAATACTTCTGTTCTTTCCATACGAGGGAAACATGGATGCAGTGAATGTGATTTTCGGTCTTTGACCACTTTCGACCAAGAGTCAAGACCCTATGCAGAGTTGGATCAGGCGTTGCACACTCTGGGGGTTATGTACTCTTGGCGGTACAGGTTAACCGGTTTTGCACCTCCACATAACAAAATCCGATATTATAATAAATCACCAAATAAATTCAAAAAAAACTACTTAAAAAGTGCTGAAAAAGTGTTGAAAAATGCCACCATGCGTATGATAGAATATAGATTATTCGTTCAATGGATGGCGAAATTATTCGATAGATTATTCGTTCGAAGAATCCGTGTTCGGTTTAAACTTTATTGCATACAATGCTGCATCATCGGCGAACTGGGTCACCCTCGTCGCGGATAACCGGGACTTTGCCGTGCGGTCCACAGCCACCTTGCGCCCGTTTCTGAACAGCAGGTCAACTCCAGCGTCTGGACAACGTGCGCGCCAGTCCGCAACCACCACACTGAAATACAGGTTGAAGAGGGTGGGTGCTAGGGTACAGCTTGACGCAGCCCATTAGTCACAGAGATGTTGTCAGAAAGGTTACCGTTGACTCGCACCTTCGCAATCATACCCTCATGAAAGGACTTGATGAGTCCCAACATAACCGGCGGAACACCCAGCCTATCCAGCGCTTTGCGGGGGATGGAGTCACACACACACACACACACACACACACACACACACACACACACACACACACACACACACACACACACACACACACACACACACACACACACACACACACACACACATACACGCACACACATACCCGTGTACCCGGACGGTAATACTGTTCTCAAACGTTTTCGTAGCATTGCACTACGGGTGAGCCAACGATAATTAAAATTTCCACTCCCACGTACATGGAAATCCGTAGCTAATCCGCAGCTAATATTGTTTTACTTGTATAAATATTGTTGAAAAATAAATGGACAGAGGAAGAAGGGGGTAGACTCCGGAAATAGCCAGGGCAACGCGTAGTTTGCTGAACACAAATCTCCTTCTAGAATACGACAGAGTTTAAATAAATGTTTCAGTTCAATAAATTAAAAATACTTGCGCAGAGCAGCAGCACACACATGCACACACATGCACACACATGCACACACATGCACACACACACACACACACACACACACACACACACACACACACACACACACACACACACACACACACACACACAATGTGCACACACATACACACACACACATGCACACACACACACACGTGCACACACACACACGTGCGGAAGCGCAGCACGATGTACAGCATAGCACCGACCAGCGGTGCGGCACCCAGCTACACACAATATTCTGTCGAACCTTGAAAAAATCTCCAGAAAAAGACTAACTTTAGAAATGATCAGCTGCGTCGTGTTTGACCATTGCCTGGTAGAGAGAACTCTTCTTCAGACGTATCTTCAAGCATAGCATCCGCTTTCGAGATGGACAATGGTGACATGCCGTGGCCTCTCTTGCCGAACTTTGATGCAGCGCTTTTTGAACGCGTCGAGTACGGGGCCTCATCTTGCAGGACAGCTGCTTCCATTTCCAGGGGGTCAAGACGCTTGAATCCCTGCCTGGACGGAGTACGCCGTGCTCTCGGCCATAGGACAGCCAGCGCAAAGACAATGAGGATGGCGAAGAACAGAACAATACTGAGTGTTAAAATGAACATCTGCTTGGACAAGCCCATGACGCGCTGCACGTCCAGTACGATTTGAAGTGAATCTACACTCGTGTTCTGTACGGTAATAGTGCGTTGCAGTAGTCGAGAAGAGGCACTAGGCAAACGAGCCAGGGAAGGATCGGCAACAAGATGATGCGTCTTCGGACCAGTGGCACCAGTGAGTAACCAGAACACACCACTACTATCGCTGTGTGTGCAATGGCTACCCTCACAAACGCTCACACCTGAAATAGCCTCACCAGCAGTGGAGATAATGTGTCCACCAATGCCGACAGCCGTAGAGCGTACAACAGAAAGCCATGCTTGAGACAGTGCCTGGAAATGGTCCAGTGACGAACAGAATGCCTTTGATACGGTACAGCATCGGGTGGGCAAGACAACAACTGCAGCGGGAGACTTCAAGTCGGGAACATCAAGGGCAGAGCGGACGCACGGCACAGGGTCACTGCCTGTTGTCTTGTGTTTAGCCAGGGTCTGCAAGTAGGTAGTCAACAGTGCCGGCACAGGTCCAGCATCACTACTGTTATTGGGAAGTGTGTGGTTACAGTCGTTGCTGACAACAGCTATCACATCAGCATGATGAGCTATCTCTGTTAGACCAAGCGGAGGTTCTGGTCTCTCCGAGCACCGGGGTGACAGAGCAGACTGGCTCATGTCAATCATGATATGCACATGTGTAGCTGCCAGAGCGGCAGAAACATCCCGCTGCTTGTGATGTTCACACAGGAACTCAGCAAAGCTAACAAGCAGCTGTGCAGCCTCATTGCTGGCCAGCACAAGGCGGCGGTGGCCGGTGCCAATGTGAAACGCCGCCGACTTTGGATCAATGGTAACATTCGCAACCCGCTGGCATGTGTGATGGGCATGGTGCAAACGGACAAGGAAATCGTCGAGTGACTGAGAAGAGGATGGCGGTGATGGGGATACGTCAGTGGATGCAGCTGCTACTGAACTGCCAGTAAGATCCTGCTGTGGAGTAGGGGTAGGGGTAAGAGGACGGTGAACAGCGGTAGAAGTAGATATTTCAGACACAAGCAATCCGCCAGTTGAAAGAAGTGCTTCAGTTGGCGAGTGCACTGTTGGAGAGGCAGAGTGCATTGTCCGCACAGTTGGCAGTCTATCATCATCAGTAATCTTGCTCCGAGCATCACCTGTTTCTGAATGCGATACCACTGTTCTTGGCATGGTTACAAGTCCTTCTGCAGCAGATGCTTTGCTATAAGATGTTAGCATGGCATTGGTTGCATGCGGCGGTGCTGTGCCATCGGTGGTACGTGATGGCACACCAGCACTGTCACTAACCAGACTATGAGCAAGAGAAGCTTCGCCAAGATCGTCAACTGGCAACTGAGATGTGTCAGCTGGTAACACCGCACGTACAGTGGTTGTCTCCCGGACTGTGGTGGCGACACTCTTCTCCGCCAGCTTCGGTGTTGCTGATGGTGTTGCGAGCGACGTAGTCCTGGGACACTTGGCCACCAGTGACAGGTGAGACGGCAACGGGTAGAGGGTAAAGTTGAGCTGTACAGCAGGACCTACTTTACTGCTGATCACCACGGAATGAGTCATTGCTTTCATGCCGGGTGCGGATGCTTTGATCACGTACTCTCCAGAGCTAAGCAGACGCCAGTAGTCACCATCATGGGCAGTTACAATACGGTGATCAATGCCACTCACAGCAATGGTGGCATTGCTTACTGGCCGACCACATGGGTCCAGAACGAAGCCTTTGACCCCAATGTGAACCTGTGAGAGAAGAGAGAGAGAGAGAGAGAGAGAGAGAGAGAGAGAGAGAGAGAAGAGAGAGAGAGAGAGAGAGAGAGAGAGAAGAGAGAAAGAGAGAGAGAGAGAAAGAGAGAAAGGCTAAGTGTGCTAATACTAGTATGCACAACACTAACAAGCTGGTACATGGTCATGTCGCGAATGGTCCCTAATAGGCGATTCACACGATGAGAAAACCCACTTGTATCGCGTTCTTTTTACTTGTGTGACCAAAAACGCATGCAAAGTCTTGATGAACTTGCTCGTGGGCCATATGCTCACGTTTGTGCGTTTGCGCGTGTAAAACCAGCAAAAGTGCTCGAGTATGGTACTCGAGCTACATGAGTATGCTCGAGTACACCGACGTACCGTATATTCTCTATTATAAGCGCCGTGCTTATATTTTTTCAACACCCCTCTACCCCGTGCTTATATTGGAGACCGCGCTTATATTGGAGACCGTGCTTATATTTTTTCAACCATACATCCATACAGAGCAAGAAGAAATACATGCTAGATATTATGAATGCAGCATTGATTTCCACCAAGACCGTGCTAATAATAGAGACTGTGCTTATAATGTTTCGAAAGGTGCTCACAGTGTGCTAGTATTAGAGACTGTGCTAGTAATGGAGACCTGTGCTTATAATAGAGAATATACGGTATGCGAGATTTGCACGGGCATGCTGTCCGTGTGAATCCAATGGGCAGCTTGTACACTTTTACACAAACGTGTTTCCGTTCATTTACACATTGGGCGCGTTCGATTACACACATTTCGGTCAATTCTAGAATAAGATATTGTTGATGCACAGTTCGATTATACAAATTCCGTTGTCAGAATTGATTTTATCCATTTCCGTCAATTCTGAAGAGAGGGTGGAATTTCTCTAATTCTGGCGCAACTGATAATACTAGGAGTAACCATGCGGCTACTATTTTTCAACCTCCCTCTACCCACGTCTCATATTTGAGCAAGGTCTCTTACTGGAGCGTCTTCTAGTATTTCTCTGTTTCTTCTGGTGCCGCCGGACTGCGGCGAACGTCGGTGCTTATCGGACAGGACAACTGGCATGCTGCAGGTACACTGACCACGCTGGGCTTGGCTGTAACTTGAACTTCCCCTGTGCCCTGGTCTTACACACAAGCACCAATCTAGCATAATGAGGAACTAGAACAAACCCTGGGGACTGACCTGCTCCATGAAGGCCAGTAGTGCAGGCTTGTGCTCCTGCCAGTGCTGCTTCAGGTAGCGACGCCGTGGGAACTTGACGCAGCCCATCTCCACAGTGATCTCAAAGCAATTGGTGTGAAAGTAGTTGTAATCTTGCATGCCTCCAGCCACACTGTACCATGTTGCACCGTTCGTAATACCATCTTTGAACGGTGGATCGGATGGGTCACAGTTTGCCTCATTGGCGCGATGCATCAGTGGGTGCGCATAGCTGTACGCCTTGGCCAACTGTCGAAACACTCTGTCGTCAGGTGACCTGCACACGTGGACACATCCACACATATACACACAAATGTACACGCATATTTTTGATATCTACTGAAGGAATTATGAGCGGTGAAAAGCGATGAGAGTGGTTCCTAAGGAATGAAAGGGATACTATTATTGGGTTTTTTTCATGGTTCGCGTGCGACTCGGCTGAACACTGAGTTTTCCGCATCTGTAGGAAAGCCACCACCCTTCAAAGATCAAGGGACAAGGTGCAGATGCAGCTCCTCAAGGCCGTTTCACAATACAACTTCTTGCGACGCGACATGCGACTTGCGGCACATGCGACGAGCCGCGACAACGACACACGGTTCACAATATTCTTCATGCTTGCGACATCCTCATGCACAAGTAGTACTATGCACGTGCACTGCACGTGCACCCAGGGTCGAAACTGTACTCCATTTGTGTATGTCGCGTGTCGCATGTCGCAAAAGTTGAACTTTCTTCAACTTCTGCGACAGGTGCCTTGCGACAGGTTGCGACAACTCGCGACAGGCAGTTTCTTGTGAACTGTCGCAAATCGCATGTCGCGTCGCAGAAAGTTGTATTGTGAATCGGTCTTAAGCGGCGGGAGGTGAGTAGATCAGACCCACCACAAAGAGGGCAAAGACTGAAAATCCCATTCACTGCATCCATGCTTCCCTCGTGCCAGGCCACGAGTTCCCAATTAATTGTGGGTCAGAGCACGGTTGGAAAAAAATCCTTCCGCTTCCCAGCAGTACTTGAACCTGGTACCCTCTGTTTCTCAATCATGGTCGTAGACCATCCCACTATGCCTGCTTATTATTCTTGTTATATTGTTCCAAAACAGCAAGGGGTTCAAGCACACACGTTCACCAACAGTAATACTGTATAGCAGGAAATTTTCGGACGGAATTTATTTTCGTACGATTTCGAACACTGCCTCTTTCGTACTAACATTTGTTCCTGTGAAGTTATGTACACTATACATGCGTACCGCATGCAAACATGTGCATTTAGCATGCACCACTGTACGAAAATAAAATCCGTACGAAAGGTCGAAATTCGGCTTTGTCCGAAAATATTTCCGTCCGAAAATTTCCTGCTATACAGTAATAAGCCCTGATTGAAATAGACATGAAACTAAGGCTACACTCTTTTGCCCGCAAAACACAATCACATGGGAAAACCAAGTCCAGATTACCAGATCTATGCAGCTGACAAGCACAGGGTATGGCGGCACTATGGCCATGTAAAACTTGAGTTAGTAGAGTTCCCCTTACCACACACTCATGGACGTGCACACTCATGAACATGCACACCCCCACCACACACACACTCATACGCATAAGCAGAGCATTATCTTGGCAGCACCACAATGCAGTCTTACTTGCTTGGAAGAGGAGCGTCATCGTAGGGGTAATTAGCAACTAGAGCTCCATTGTGCAGGTTAGCAGATAAGACAAAGGGATATGCCTCCAGCCACTGGCGAACCTCTGATGTTTCCACCTGTTCATCAAACCTGCGATTCGGTTGAAAATGATCGGGAAAGTTGCGATTGAGATCGATGTTGTAAGCGTTGCCCCTGCCTCGCACCGAAGATCTGTCACCTTCATGAGCACGACTGTAACCATCTGGATTCATAGTCGGCATTAGGTGGATACGTGTGGAGTTGAGCAGGTGCGTCACCCGCTCACTTTTGCCATAGTTTTCACATAGGTAGCCAGCGAGTAACAGCAGCATCTCCCGACCCACAACCTCATTGCCATGCATGTTACCAACATACTTCATTTCCGGCTCACCGGGCTTATGCTTGCCTGGATTGTCGGAGATTTCAAGAACTGCCAATGTGCGACCTTCGGCACTCTTGCCTATATCATAAAGCCGAGTCAAATGCGGGAAACGGCGATTAATATCCTGCAGTGTTTTCAGCAGTGCCTTATGATCATGATGAGAGAAGCGTGCTGGCTTGTATAAGTCACTAGACACATCATTAGTAGCTGTGAACGAAGAGGCAACATCTTCACCATCGCTGGCAGGTGGCAAGTTGAAATCCACACGAACACCATCACTGCTAACTGGCACAATGACGGTTTTGGAAACACTGTCATAGCCCTTGGCATGGGCCACGATGATATACTTGCCAGGCGCTAATAATCGCCAATATGCACCATCGCTGGTTGCCGTCACATCATGTTTAATAGCGCGTATACTGATCAGTGCACCTGGCACTGGCTGACTTGTTTTGGCATCGTACACAAAGCCCTTGGCACCGCGATGCACGGCTTGCATGTAGCGGACTAACGCATCTCGGTTGTTATCCCACTCCTTCGGCAGCTGTGAGGCCGGAGGGAACTTACAGCAAGACAACTCGACCGTGATCTCAAAGCAGTTTGACTGCACATAGTTGAAGTCTTCCATACCACCGCTCAGCTCATACCAGTCGGCACCGTTAGTGACGCCGCCCGGAAACGAACCCATGCAGTTGGCCGGTCGAGATGCCATAGTGGCGTGCGCATTCGCATACAGATGTGCCAGGAACTGGAACACCCTGTCGTCGGGCGACGGACTGCCGCCATGGCGTGTTGAATGACCGTCGGCCGAATCATCAAACGGATAGCTGGCAACAACAGCACCACCATGCAGGTTGGCCGAGAGGACAAACGCCTTACTACGGATCCAACGCATCATGGCTTTCGTCTCAGCCTGGGCCTTGTTCTCTGGTGTGCCCGGGTGAAACTGGTCAGGGAAGTCTCGATTCAAATCGGTCCCGTGAGCATTCTCCCTGCCTCGTCCTTCTCCACACTTGCGCGGACCAGTACGTTCGTAACCATCTGGATTCATGGAAGGCAAGATGTAGATGTCTGTGCTATCAACTAGCCGCCGAATGGTAGAATTCTTCTCGTATTCCTCACAGATGTACTCGAGAAGATTGAGAAGCACTTCCCGGCCGACCACCTCATTGCCGTGCATATTGCCCACATACTTAAACATTGGCTCACCGACTTCGTGCTTATCCGGCTGGTCAGTGACACGAACCACCCACAGTGAGCGTTTCTCCACCGATGAACCAATCGATGAGAGGCGCATGATCGTGGGACACTTTGCAACTGTTCGGCGCAGTAACAACGTCATGGAATCGTAATTGTGGTGTCCAAAGTCAATTGCCGCACAAACGGCGAGTACAGTGGACATGAGAAGCAAGGCAGGGCGACAGACTGAGAACATGCTGACTGCTGATGATGATGCCACTATACCACTGTATCTTATATTCAGGTCAAGACTCGAGACCTGACGGCAGGCGATGCAGACTAAAGGTCTGCACTGATTTCCACTACTCTCGGGGTTTAAATAACGGAACACGACATACCTACAAATCAATTATTTCAGGAACAACGTAATAAGGGACACGCAAGAGCTTCTGCAATTACCACACAAACAAAAGTAGAAACTGAGCTGCTGTGGGTTGAATGGACTAGTTCATTAGCTCGTAATAATATTACTGGACGTGGTAGACTGGCCACCGACGTTAGCTAATCAGGATTCGGATGAGAAACAACTACTTGACTACTATACTCAACTCCAAACTTATTTCCATCAAGTACGAGTAGGTCGAGATCGATCGCACTAAAACCTACTCCACTCCAGGAAGAAACCAAACCCTTATCCAACCGGCCAGAGTTACAAGATTGCAGAATAAATGTTGGCCCACGCAGACGGCGATGTGGCAGTACTGCAGTACTGCGGAAACAATGGACTGTCGTCAAGCTGCAAGAAAACTACTGCATGCATTCATTTGCCTTTGGTCTGGACGTTTTGATTTTGGAGATTTTGATTCTTTGAACAGATCTACAAAAAAGATGCGTGTCGCGTGTCATACATCTACGGCCGGTGGTAGAAGTGACGTGAGTGACACGTGGATAATATTATAGAAAAGCGATCCTGTGTAGATCCTGTCAGCTTTGTTGTCATGAATCCGACATGCCGGGCCCAGCTAGCTAGTACTATTACCAAGAGTACATAACCCTGGGGGGTTATGTACGAGGTGAATAGCAATTTCTGGACATGAAAATAAAATAGAGGCCCACTGGCTGTGTGTTTTACATTTTTCATATCTTTTTGTATCTATTGTATGGCCTAATCCTTCGTCTTTCCAAATATGTGACAATTGCTCATGCTGTGATCCCAGAGACTTTATAGCAGGATGTTTTCGACAGGCCAATTTTTTGGCCTAAATTTAAGTGTATGGAATTCTGGACATGAAAGTAAAATAGCGTCAGTAGGCATCCTATACTGCACCATTTGTGTTATTTTTCTATTGGTGGACTGCAGTTGGCCTCTTCACACTTCCAGCCAACATATCCAAGACTATACAGCGTCTGAAGTGGAGTGCACATGGGGAAGCCAACGATTCGTACAATATTAATTTTCTTATTTTACTCAAAATTCAAAATTCTCGTGCGACATAGTACCACAAAACTCGTTGAAATGCCTCCCAAGAAAAGGCTATCAACAAGGCACTGATACGAGGAGAAACTACAACAGCCCAGCTGTTAACTACAACAAGAAAAAACTTCATCAACCTGACTGACTTGACTCTGCACGCAACGAAAAATTATTTTACTCGAAATGTCCAGAAATGTACAATGTCCAGAAATAGCAATTCACCTCGTACTCTTGCTATTACTTACTAGTCTAGTACTATTGACAATAGTCTGAATAGAGTAGTACCGGTAGTAGCTAGCTAGCACTAGCAGTGCTAGTGCGCAGCTGCATGCATGCGCCACGTTATGTGGCGTCTTGCGTGCGGGACCGCGACCGCGTACCGGGCGGGACAGCACAATGCACAAGGCACACACAGTACAACAGACAAGACACGACACAAGCAAGCTCCTCGCAAGGCGGATCGGAGGAGTCGGGAGGCCAAGTGGCAAATATCGGTATGTGACTACTTTTGGATTTCCACTGTGGCGGGGAGTATGACTTTGTGTACGTGTAGTCGTTGACATGACATGTATGTGGTTCACAGACATCACAGACATCATAGTAGTCTACTAAAAAATTCCTAACTCCTTTGTCCTCAATGACATGTACATGACATTGTACAATCATGATGTACAATCATGTAGCTTTGTTTTTGTCAGTGCAGTGCATAAAGCAGTGAGATCAGACAGTGAGCATGTCGGTGTTGGTGAAAGTCTACTACTAGTAGTACTACATGTAGTAACTAATAATGGCATCTGCATGACCGTCCGGCTCCCTGCCGGGCACAGCCAGTTGTTTCCGGATCAGGTGAAGGCCGCACATGATAGCATCGCTGATCAAGCAGGGAGTACATCATGTGTGTACATTGTACATGTACGTACAGTCGACTGGTCCGACCTCGCCTATCCCCTATATTCCGGTCCTCCTATATCCCTCGCCATCCGGAAGAAAATCGTTGGTTTACCGAGTTACAGCATATGTCATGCATACATACACAGGGGCGTGCTCGCCCCCCCCCCCCCCCCCCCCAACTAGGGGGGTGCACGGGAGCCGAGGTGAAACTTACGAACGGGACGAAAACGACATGCACTTTAGACTTCAGGCTGCTCTGAAATCCCAAAGGAAAGGCCGACATTGTCCACACTCGAGATCACCCAAAGAATGAAGCGAGTTTGATTCAAAATCAAAAAAAATGTTGGGGATCGTCTGAAGCATATTCAAGCGAGGTACAGTCGGGCTTGATGACTGATCAAAGCCCTCGGGCCCAGCCCTTGGGCCTACGGCCCTCGGGCTGGACCCTTGGGCTTTGATCAGCCATCAAGCCCTCTGTACCTCGCTTGATTATCTACTTCAAACGACCCACGTGCCCTTTGCTAGGTTACGACCAATCAGCAGCCTCGGAGAGCGGGCTTTGATATTCCATCAAAGCCCGCTGTCATTGACAACCTGTACGAGAAAACCATCAAAGCCCGCTGCCATTGGCAACTGTACGACAAAACCATCAAAGCCCTGATCATGCCCAATCTCAGTCTTTTCAAGGTGATCTGGCTATAAGAACTTGTGGAGTTGGAAATCTAGCTCCAGCACCGCAGAGCTCTCAGCAGTATGCAGCGTGAGCAAGGCGTGTATGGTGGAAGTGAAAATACTTCCGTGACTCTTCAGCCACGTCTGGCTCTTGACACGGAGTCCTGAGAAATTTCTCACGAAACAGGTTCAAGTTACATTACTTTCCCTTTGCTGTAATCTCTGTGCGAAACTTACGAACGGGACGAAAACGACATGCACTTTAGACTTCAGGCTGCTCTGAAATCCCAAACGAAAGGCCGACATTGTCCACACTCGAGATCACCCAAAGAATGAAGCGAGTTTGATTCAAAATCAAAATGTTGGGGATCGTCTGAAGCATATTCAAGCGAGGTACAGTCGGGCTTGATGACTGATCAAAGCCCTCGGGCCCAGCCCTTGGGCCTACGGCCCTCGGGCTGGACCCTTGGGCTTTGATCAGCCATCAAGCCCTCTGTACCTCGCTTGATTATCTACTTCGGATGCATGGTTCATTTGCACGGTACGCGGAGCATAACGTAAAAGGTGTACACCAAAACGGAAGAAAACCAAAATGCTGGCCAAGGTGGAAGAATTTGAAAACGGAAATGTTCTGCCGGATAAATTTGGGTGTGCAAACAGTCGAAACGGTGTGCTGGCCTCGTTTCCCCTCACGTTTGTTTCGCTTTCGGCCGTTCACATGGATCTGACAATCCAAAAAATTGTTTTTACAATTTTCGTCATGTGACATGTGTTGTCGTGTGGCCTGTTTTCAACTATTACTTGTGTGTGATTGGTGCTTCCACTGAAACACTAGGCACATGACGAACTTTGGCGGATCCTTTGCTCTCGTGTAGACGCTTGAAAACGATACAAACGGAGACCACCTTGGATCGGCTTTGATCGTGTAAACGTACGAAAAAAGAAATGCGGGACTGAAAACGGAAAACTGGCCGTGCGTTGTCGTGTAAACACAGCCTAAGGGGGGGGGGGGGGGGGGGGGTCGTGTTTGATCTACAGGTTTGGGTAGAAATTTACTAGACACTACTTCTTTCGGTAGAGGTGTTCGTTTTTTTCTATTCAAAAGGTAGATTCTTCTTTCCTCTACCGGCTCTACCAGGAAAAAGTTGGTAGAAGCCGGTAGAAGTTGGTAGAGGTACGGGATTTCCAGCAAGATCAAGGAGTTGTACACAACTCCGAACCATACAGAAAAGAAACATTTCATGGACATGTACGCGTACATATTAAATTATTGTGAATAACTACTAAATCCGGTATAACAGCGTTCGTGCACTTACCTCTACCAACTCTACTCTACTCTACTCTACTCTACTCTACTCTACTCTACCAGGTAGCTAAAAACGATCGCAGCCTAAGCGAGGTCTGACTGTAGTAATATTAATTTCAAGTCTACTATTATTTATACAAAAGAGAAAGATCAAGGAACTACAAGTTACGCTATACTGTCCACTAACACCACCAGTTAATAAACAATCAGCTCATGCGATAACATTGCACGGCACTGACCGACGGTACTGACGTTCTAAAACTAACTGGCTAACAGCTCTAGCACAGTATAGCGTAACTTGTAATTCCTTGGTCTTTCTCTTTTGTATAAATTAAACCTTGGCTCTCCATCTGAGTCCATTTCTACTACTATTACTAAGTTAAAAATACTGTAAACGGGACCTACATTGTATATTGCGATATAGGATCAGTCTTTCTCTCGTGCGGTGGCAGATAACTTGCTTCCGGGGTTCACGGGTGTCTTGCCGACGCGGTAGATCGGGTGCCAGCTGATACCAATAATGCAATATTATGTCTTGTCAACAATGGGACTCTTTGTTTTATTGCTCAGTGTACTGTGTCTTTTTTGAGTCCTGTTGGCGCTTTTTGAGTAGCTTCAGGTATGATTGGTTAGATTTTGGTGTGCTTGTGTATGATTTGTGGTAGGCCTTGTTTTGCAGGCATAGTGGGATGGTCTAAGACCATGATTGAGAAACAGAGGGTGCCAGGTTCAAGTCCTGCTTGGAAGCGGAAGGATTTTTTCTAGCCGTGCTGCGACCCACAGTTAATTGGGAACTCGTGGCCTGGCACGAGGAAAACATGGATGCAGTGAATGGGATTTTCGGTCTTTGACCACTTGCTGGTGAGCTGATCTACTCACCTCCCACCGCTTTAGGAGCTGCATCTGCGCCTTGATCCTTGAAGGGTGGTGGCGTTCCTACGGATGCGGAAAACCCGGCTTCCAGCCGAGTCTCACGCGAACCGTGAAAAAAATTTTTTTTTTAATTTTGTTTTTCATTCTCCTTTTTTTTTGCTGTTGGTCGGATTGTGACATTGTGTAGCTGCTTTTGTTGAAGTTTCTGGATTTCTGTTGCGTTAAGTATTGTTTTCCTTTTTACTTCTATTTATTTTGTTGTTCTCGGCGTGCCAAAGTATCCGCGTGAACAAGAGTACATGAAAACCAGAGTGTGCAGCTCGGATGGGTTGCTGTCACGGCAGAATTCCGTGATTACATCATTTTAGTGATGTAGTGTGTACAAGCAGGATTCAAGCAGGTCTCTTTCTGCACAACTGCAGCTCAGTTGTACGCACTACGCCATTTCCCGCCTCAGATCTGCACCAAATATGATGTAATCACGGAATTCCGCCGTGACAGACACCCATAGCAGAGAAGGCCCCAAGCCGCACACTCTGGTTTTCGTGTACTCTTGGCGTGAATCATTCATGCACACTTTACATCTTTCAAAGCATTCGTCTAGGGATTGAGTTGAATCTTTTACACAACCTTGATACATCTGCCTAGAGTTTCTTTGGATTGGACTATTTCAAATTTTCATTTTGATTTCATCGCCGAGTTTCATTCCTTGTATCTTTGGTGTTCTTCCTTCTTTCCATGTCGTATTGTTTGAATTAACCCGTTTTGACTTACTTGCAAAGGACCTCCTATTATAAAAGTTACTAGTTATGACTAACAGTCCACCAAGGTAACGATTGGTTTGGTTTGTTGGTTTGCGCTTCATAGATGTGTTGGAGCTGCATGTAGGTGTCTGGTCGTCGAATGTCTCAATATCCTTGTTGTCAGTTTTGTGCCTTGTTGTCGCACTATCTGACTGTAGATTATCGCGTTACCTTGGTTACCTTGGTGGACTGTTAGTCATAACTAGTAACTTATACATGTAGGTCCTTTTCTCTTTACATATTACTATTGGCTCAACATCCGAGTTTTTATTAAATACTGAATGCTAATATTTATTTTTAAATACAATGCCCTTCACAGTCGAACGCATAGCAGGCTGAGGGCTGGTCAGCAGTAACTCTCCGCCTCTGTTATCATGCGTTTGCATCATCGGATAATGACATACTACTACTACTAATAATAATAACTTTATTAGTCATGAAGTTGGTTGCTCCAACGAGGCTAAGTTCGTAACTTTATTAGGATGACCCAACGGCAAATCGCCTATCGAGGGGTTCACCGCATTGAATGGTTGTGGTACTAGTACGTCTGCATAGTCACAGTAGTACTAGTAGTTACTGTCAGACATGCAACAACATGCCCTGATAGGGCTTGAAAGTGCTACGTAACAGCATAGCAACAATTTCAAAAATTCAAAAACTGGATCCACTTGGATCCAGTTTTTGTATGGATCCAAGCACATTTCAAGCGGTCTTACCCACAGCATGGTGATGTAGCCAGTGAAACTGACTGATTTGGCTACTGGGGGCGGGGTTACAACTGGTGGCGAAATAAAAGTCACACCTGCATGCGACATGAGTGGGTTGCTATGCACCCACATACTTAGGCAATAGCAAAGTCACACCTTAGTGGATCGAAAAATAGAAATCTGATGTCAACTTACTACTCCCTGGCCGTTTTGACGTCATCACTTTCAAGCCCTATTACATTAGAACCCGTTGAGTTCTTTGTCCATTGTTGCAAGTCTCACATGCATTTTGCTGATTGCAATACAACTTGAACTTTGTGTGAAGTACAATGTGTACTACAATGTGTACTACTCCCTGGTTTCAAGTGAAGGCAAAAACTCCCTGCCTCTAAGGTTACGTTTGGTTGGTCACATTCCCAAATGGGAATCACTTGGAATCACTCGGAATCATTCTCGCCCGTTTGGTTGGTCAAAAAAGTGCGTTAGGTTGGTCACATTCCACGTGATTCCAGAATGGGAATCGCTGAGAATGATTCTTTTTGGAGAATGGTCATTCCACCTCACATGCTGGAATGAGCATTCTCATTCCGGAATCAAAAATGATAATGGCTGCCACGAGCCAAACAATGTAGCAACAGGTTCAAGTGCCTCAAATCATGCCCTCAGAAGTACCATGACTCTCTCAAGGAAACTAGAGTCGGGTAAAAGAAAAGACAGCCGCCGTTCCACAACGACATCATGGAATTGTTATGTCAAGTGATTCCTAGTTGATTCTGGCGCGTTAGTTTGGTCAGGTGATTCTTGCCGATTCCCATTCCAGAATGGTTGTCATTTACATTCCGAAAATGCCCAACCAAACGCAACCTTAAGTTAAACAGTGCGGTACCGGGATTTCACTGTGATTTAGGGAAATGTCCAACATCTTACGCCTTACCCGGCTTCCTTGGCCATCACTGTCCTGCATGAATCAAGCTTGTCCCACAAGTCACCAAGTTTCCGGTTGAAGCTGTCAGTGTGGATAACTCGGTTAGACAAGTCATGGCAGAACCGGCTGAATGCACAGTGTTGTTGTCACAAGTTGATGATGGCTCCCATCATAGAAGAAGGCAACACTGAGGCAGGGACACAAGTGCATCTACAGAAAAACAGGCACACGACTTTAGACCTTCCGTTTTATTGGAAAGGGACCACGTTGTGACATTTATAAGCATTAGTGCTAGCTGACACTGCGTTGAGTAGGACAACATTCGCAGCTATTTTCCAAATCGCTAAATCATGTAGTGTCATAATCAGGCTTGCTCTCTAATGCCAGTAATGGCTTCTCAGCCGGGTACGATTGTGCTAGTTGAAATCCAACCCAGAGTGCATATTATTATTATATTATGTTGGTGCCCCTGACTTTCACAGCCCTCGGCACCCTGGACGTGGTGTGAATGCTGCAAGACATACACCGTGGCATTTAGAAATGTCAAATACATGTACAGCTAGTGATGTAATGAGAATTGCATGGTCAAGGGTGACAACTTTGCGCTTTGGGTCGAATTTCATCTAGCGCAATTGTAATAGATACCTGCTGCTGCAAACTTCACCTTGACATGACAACAGGCACTTCCTCCATTGTCTTTCTTTTCTCCCACATGGAGATTACTTATTCTTGTAAAGTAGTTTTGCGCTAATCATGAAGCAAACAGTGAAACAGACACTGCATGTAACAATATCTCTGTATTAGCGGTATTCTTGCATCGTTGTTAGGTAGCATGATCCTACAGCAAGTGCAACGTTAGCACACATTTACACTACAATGTACATGCACATGTATGATAGCTGTTCATTTGTCAGCCTGCACACCCTGTTTGCAGACCGTATAAATGATCGTGGTGAAGCTGCCGAAGTGCTGCCGTGAATTTACTTTGCGATATAGAAAGATGATTCCAGTGTAATTGGGAAACGGAGTGGGCCTGTGGCACAGGCTGTGCTGACCACATTGCCTTACTATGAAGCCACAGGAAGCCTCGCCACTGGTACGTACTTCAAGTATAATGTCCATGTACATGATTGTGCTACATGGTTGTACAAGTCATGTAAACTGGTCACTACTTAGTATAATTAGTATAGTGTATGCTTAAGATGAGCAACCCGAGTTGGTAGGAGCAGAGGACGAGTCGAATGCTCATTCAGTCTTATCTGGATTCCAGCATCCACATGAGCTCTGTACTGACTCTGTAGTGAGCTCTGCACTGACTCTGTACTGACTCTGTACTGACTCTGTACTGACTCTGTAGTGAGCTCTGTACTGACTGTAGTGTAGAAGGCAGGAACTAGTACTAGTAGAGTAGTATAGGGGCGGTGGAACTGACGGTCCGGTTGGTCAGGCCTAGGGGTGTGCGGGTCCGGTTGGTCAGGCCTAGGGGTGTGCGGGTCCGGTTGGTCAGGCCTAGGGGTGTGCGGATCCGGTTGGTCAGGCCTAGGGGTGTGCGGGTCCGGTTGGTCAGGCCTAGGGGTGTGCGGGTCCGCTTGGTCAGGCCTAGGGGTGTGCGGGTCCGCTTGGTCAGGCCTAGGGGTGTGCGGGTCCGCTTGGTCAGGCCTAGGGGTGTGCGGGTCCGGTTGGTCAGGCCTAGGGGTGTGCGGGTCCGGTTGGTCAGGCCTAGGGGTGTGCGGATAATGCTCCAAAAGGTGGCAGATTCTGCTCGAAAAGCAGTGAAATTGGCAGAACCATACAAACCTTATGGCGGGCAATTCCTCGAATTCTGCTCCATTTCTTTATCCACATACCAAACATGCATGAAACTTACCAGAAAAAGTACCGAATTCTGCCAATGTTTCTGCCGGCATTATCCGCATATGCCTAGTCAGGCCATGGCCGGACCGACTACCATTACCTGGTATTACCCATGTTTATTACTGGGAAAAACGGTCAGGTGTACAATTTACATGTCATAATTATACTGCTTTTGAAGTACACAAACTGGTATGAAGGGCTATGGTAAGGCCAGACCAATCAATAACTGCTTCCACCGTTCTTGGAGTACTGTAGTAAGCATCCTGTTGCAGAATGGGAAAGATCTTTGCGGACAGATAGACGTCTCCTGACAACGTGTGTTTTTCACAATATCCGCCACAGTCTTTCCGAATTTCTTGATGCTTTTCAATAGGCTTGTCTTCGCTTCACCGTAAGTATGTACGTCAGCTCTGAAATTTATATTTCATGAATTCATGAATTTGCTACTTGTAGGAACGAAGAGTACTTTCCTTGATGAATGCATTCACAGCATGTGTAGTGTGTATGCGACAAACATGTTACACAGTAGGAGTTCTTTCCCTGTTTTGGCTAGTTTGTGCATTCCGAATCCCCTGCTAGGGAGTACACTAAGATCTTGTTCCCGTATGTCACATGACTGTCCCCTTGGATCAAATTGGAGTCGGCCAATGACAGATCAAATTGCACGGGCGGTGTGGTGCATGGCAGTCTGACCACTACCATGCTACACAAAATTTAATCACAATGGTATATGACTACCCAGACAGACAGTCGTTGAATATGACTTGCATCACATTCAAACAGATTCAAACAGATTCCGTCAATGTCACGTTGTCAGTGGACTTCAGTTCATGTAGATTCAATGTATTAATAATTGTAATTATTTGTAGGATCGTCTACCAGGTCTACCAAGTACTTACATGTAGATCAACACGTAGACCTACCATGCCCATGTACTAATGGTCTACTGCGAGTACTGGGAGTGGGAGTACTGCATCATGACATCCATGTCGGACTGCATGTGATCGGCTGGTTGTTACTAGGGAAACGGCAGGCAAAGGTGTTTGAAGCATGGCAACGGGCAGCACAACACCGGAGCACATACCTAAGCCAAGGCTAAGTCCTTGGCCTGGGCTTGGGTGGGAGCAAGGTGATGTCCTGGACTTCGGAGAGGTGCTGTCGAACGGGACATCGCTGCAGAGAAGAAGCAGTTTAGAAGCAAATGATCGAGGCCGCGAGGGAGCCCTAAAATCCGGGCCATCATGACGGCGGTTCCAACTGATCGCTATTACCGCAATGTGGTGGATGTGAGTGGCGAGATCGAGGAGACAAAGATTCGAGATAAATTACTCCGTAAGTACAGAACCAGTGGTGTGTTTCTGTAGCCATGACCGTGACGTCCTAGCGCTGCCCGGTATCATTATTGTATTGTCTACCGCTGGCCATCCATGGCGCATGTACTCGCATTGCGAGAGAGTGCAATCGGCAAACAACGACCGATATTGTTATGGATCTGCAATGGTAATCAAACTGTTCCTTCACACAAGATTGATGGCGAACGCAGTACAGAAGTGTGCTTCTTACCTTTCAACGACTTCCGAGTCTCCGTCATGGCGTGTCTCTCGAGGTCGCTGCACCAGTGCACCATTACAAGCATTGGATGGATGGCTTTGCTAGACGAAACCAGCGGTAGTCCGTGAGACGAGAGCCTTTACGGCTTCAGGCAGTTTACGCAAACACACGGGAGTTTACCAGCATTGTCCGAGGGCACAAACCAGCTGAAATACGAACTTCGTAAAAGTGTAACATTCGAAGTTTGTAGGACTAAACGACAACAGAACTAGAAGGACTTGAAACTAAAGATTTAGATTTGTCCGTGATCTGTGTCTTTTCCCCATTGAGACTGACTACCAGCATGTAATGCATGGGAGAGTGCTGTTGTAGTCTGTAGTCTGTAGCCTGTAGGGGTGTAAACATGACATTGTACTTGAAGTACATGTAGGGTGAAGAGCCAAATCCAGTGCAAGAATATGCAGTAAAAGAATATACATGACTGCCTGTGGACCGGTGATGCTCGTACCCACCCACTGCAAATGCTTGTCCTTGCAATAACGAAGCAATGGCCATGACGGTATGGCGTTTGGCCTTCTGCTGCTTCTCTAGAGATTTTGCTTGTTTGTGGGCTGACTTCTGCATCTAGTACCGCATGTGAATAGCCCTACTCGGCTCCGGCAGAGCTGCTGAAGTCACGGCAGAGCTGCTGAAGTCACGGCAGTGTAACTTTGCATAGCCACTGGGATATAGCTGTCACAGCTACTATTGTTTAGGTCAGGGTACCCGGTGGGGGCTTCAAATGGCACATCTGCTCTATCGGGTCACTAGCATATTATGCTACTATCCAATCTATCCCCTGCATGGTCACACTGCAAGACACTGTATTGCATGTATACTGGTCAGGACCGCCGGAAGAAGTTCCTGTTTGGTCCGGCCATATCATAGGCTTTCATGCAGTTTGTGCGTGATCATAGCGGTTACACTGTATAACCACCTCTTCACCAGGAAACATGGGTCAGTAGTTGCCAACAGGTTGATCTGGTGATGACTGGACCAACCGGACCGGACCAGTTCCGACGGGCAGGCCTGTTGGTTGAAGGCAGCATGAGAGGGTCTTCAATTTGAGATGATGGTCCAGTATTTGAGGGTGTGCTTCAGCGTTGCAGTATTTTTTCCAACATTCCAACATTCCAACATTCCAACATTCCAACATTCCAACATTCCAACATTCCAACATTCCAACATTCCAACATTCCAACATTCCAACATTCCTGCATGGGATCTTATAATCCAGCAAAACCTTTCCATGATACTGCAAACCGGCCAATATTCGCGCTAAACTAAATTTTCGCGATTTCTTAGAACCAGCGAGTTTGCGATGGCAAAAGTTCGCTAAGCACTGGGGCGACTTACATACACCCACTGTTGAAGTTAGATTTCGCGATGGTTAATATTCGCGTTTAATACGCTCTTCTCGTGAAAATAGCAAACATTAATCCGTCGCGAATATTACTAGGCAGTTTACAGTATTCATTGATTTCAGGAGTTCAAAAGGGAAATGTATACACTAGTCTTCTACACAAACGTTTCCTATGTGAGGTGTACTGTTTGTTTGCAGGATATACAGTAAGGGGATTGGGACAGGATTAGTAATAGTCTATGGTACTACTACTAGCATGCAGCCCAGAAAGGCAGCAGCAGCCTGTTAATGTCCTCCCCCCCCCCCCCCCCACCGCACCCCTATTCCATTGTTCTCGTATATCGTTGTGACCCGCAATGGGGAAATTGACCGTATGAACATGTGCATGTATAAAAATCTTTGTTGCCATCTTCAATAGGTCCGTCTATTACTGTGTGCATGTATACTGAATTACTCATCATGTGTTTCATGTGACAGATGGCGATGCCAAGGCATATCTGGAAGCAGCACGCGCACAGCGTGATCAAAACGCAGACAGGATAAGGTTGCGCCGTCTGGAGAACAAGAAGAAACGTGAGGAGCTGGCAACACGGGTCCGGGTAAGTCACTGCAAAGCTTCAGCACCCGGGCTTTGAGATTGGCGTTGTCACGTCCACAACTCTTCATAGCTTCACCCTGCACTGGCACTAACGTAGGTTTCTATTCAATGCTTCTCGGTCTCTTTCTCTACTTCCCCGCCCTTCACTCTAATACGGCAAACTAGCTAACATAGAAAACAGCACAATACAAACCTAACATCGTATTAGCACTCTGCACCTGCCATGTACTGCTACATGTATACTTGTACAGCCGGGTATAGCATTGTTAGATATGCTTTAATTGGTTCTAGTTGATTTCTGGCATTGCGCACAATCATGTGTGTGTGTGTGTGTGTGTGCGTGTGCGTGTGTGTGTGTGTGTGTGTGTGTGTGTGTGTGTGTGTGTGTGTGTGTGTGTGTGTGTGCGTGCGTGCACGTGTGTGTGCATGCATGTATCCTGCTGCAGGGCGATGAGCATGTGGTCGCGGCAGCATTCAGCACAGCGGGCAAGAGTATGCCACCCCGCTTTCGTGGCATGCCGTGTCGGGTAAGCAACCACTCATGGTGTACATCCGACAGTGCAACACTGCAACACTGCTGGGTTAGGTGCAGACTCTAGGTCTTGGCAGACATATTGTTTGCCATGGTTACACAGTACCATGCACTGCACATGGTCATTGTGGCTTGACCTGTGATGATGAGTGGACTGATGAGTGGACTAGCCTCTAGCAAACCATACCATGTCATCTACCGGTTGCTATGGTGATGCCTGCTCCATTTCAATAGTCAAATCCAGTGCTGTGATTGGGTAGCCAGTGCCTGAACTACATGTATAAAGTGGGTTTGTCTCCTCTACTGGTTTGACGCAATGCTGTCTCACAGTTGAAGCTGTCATTGAATAATTATAAAATTGATAACATTCCCGCCAACACCATTGATTGCCAGTATGAAGTGTCCTCGGAGACACAATAAAACCCAAGAACACTTAGTAGCAGCACACAACCATCAGGTTCTTCTACAAAATTTTGAACTGGTTTTCACGAGTAAACTTCCGTGCCTTCTCTTCGGGTGGTGTTTGCTCTTGCCAGTATGTCATTTCACTGGGATGCTGTTGAAGAGCCTGAACTGAAGTTTGTGCTTCTACTAAGGGTTATTGCAAGTTTACTGAGTTGATATGACATGTAGGTGCAGAACATGACATTGCGATGCTAGCTGAGTTAGGCATGTACTAGGCCTAGTCATGTACGCATGGGCAGTGTGCATTTTTAAGCTCTAGATCACCCGTCTTGACATGTGCATCTCATATGTGTTCTGTGCTCTTTCTGTTTGCTGTGTGTGTGTGTGTGTGTGTGTGTGTGTGTGTGTGTGTGTATGTGTGTATATGTGTGTGTGTGTGTGTGTGTGTGTGTGTGTGTGTGTGTGTGTGTGTGTGTGTGTGTGTGTGTGTGTGTGTGCATGCACATGCATGCGTGTTGTGTGTATGTGTACTTGTGTGTACGTGTGCATGTGTGTATGTGTGTGTGTGTGTGTGTTTGGCGGGGGTGGGGGTGCAGCAAGCCATTGGTCAGCTCGACCGATCAGTTAGTCTCGGCAAGAAGCGCCTGGACTTGCTGCAGTATAAAAATCGCCAACGGGTGGCAAAGATGGAGAGCCTGGAGACGCTGCTGAGGGAGCGCCAAGTGGAGTACACAGCAGTGCGTGAGCAGGAGGAGGGAGAGTCGGAGGATACCAAGCGCCTCCGAGCATTGGAGAATGACTTGATGAGGATGAACCTGAAACTGGATGAAGGCAGGCACATGAACACTATCTATCGGAAAATTGTTAACAAGATGAAGGAGGTATGTTCATGCTTGTAACTAGGGCTGAAACGATCATCCATTTAGCCCAATCGATTACTCTTTATCATAACGATCGATTGTTCGATTATAATCTTTAGGAGGCCGCACCTGGAATATGTACATGGAATGGCCAAAAGTGGAAATATGTACAACATTTTGCAAAAAGTGTTATGTATGCAGACCGGACGCGACCTTGACCTTCGAGCTTCATGCTCCAGCTTCGTTGTACTACACTAGGACTGTCTTTCGATTTTGACAGCATGTTACAAGGCGAGTCGCGCGTGCAGTGTGTAGTACTGTGTACTACCGGGGGTATATACTCTGCGCTGCATGCATGCACTGCGCGTATAAGAAATTTAAAATTTTAAAAACGCAAAATAATCGTAATCGGTAATCTAAACGATTGCTCGATCGTTAGAGTTATCAAACGAGTACTCGATTATTCGGTATACTCGTTTCAGCCCTACTTGTAACTGACTGACCAGTTTCACTGATGCATCATGCACACTGCTGCTCCATGAAGTCCAGTCGAGTCACTCAAGTACTAGTTTGCGCCTTGCATCACAGTTTCGCAGCCCAGTGTTCGCAGGTCTAGGGCTGCGCAACACCCGGCGCATACTTGAGTGATGCGACCGGATTTCATTGAGCAACATTACGGTACCGATGATACACACATGTAGTGGCATTGTAGTCTACATGAATGCCATAGGATTGACAATGGTTATTAGACCTGAGACTCATTACGGTGCCTGTGATTTCTCAGCACCCACGGCATGCACTTAGTACTAAGAAGCAGTCACTGTGTAAGTCATTTCAGTTTGGAGAGTGCTTGTCTGACGAACAGGACATGTAACTTCCACTACACATTAGCCTCAACCATATAAAAAAATTAAGAAGTGTGATCAACAGTGGTGGTTTATTAAAAGAGGTTAATGGTTTGTGTGACGTTTGTGTCTTTCCCTCAAACCAGTGAAGGTTAATGGGAATTCAGCACTGTTGGTAGTCGTATTTTCACGGATACAAATGGTTCATCTGCTGAATTTGCTGTATGCTGGACGTTTGTGCGTGCAGGATCGATTGCACTATGATCGCTTGCTGAAGGCGATGGGAATAGCATTGAATGAGAAAGGAAAGAGCTATGCCGAGCTGGCAGCCATCTATGACAACGCCCTGGATGCCACAGAGGATGTCAAAGTAAGATCAAAACTGTAACATTTTCAAATAATTCCCCCGGGCGCATCTCATCAATGTGATATAGGGCCTGTGATGGTGTATTACGATATCACATGGCGCACACTTGCTGCAACACTGTATCTTGTAATATGACTCAGTGTGATGTAACCGATAACGGTGGCCACGCATACATTCTGAATCTGCGTTACTCTTAGTCCACTTTTTCTTCATGGAGTGCTGTTTTTTTTTTAACCATACTCCTTGTTTGTTTTCTCGCTACACAGTGAACCTTGCTAGGCCGGATAGTGTATACATACATGTACTGTGCAACAGGACCCGGTCTTCAAAGTGTGATTATACGCTTTTGCTGTCGGCGGAGCATAACACAGGCCCATGGACGAGTTGAGCACTCCTGGGACTTTACAGCAAGATTATGAAAACGTGTGCACCTTTAAAAGAAATATTATGAAAACAGTGGGTGAAAACTACTGATTATCAGCATACATTGTAGATTGATCAGACATCACCATGATCTCCGACCGAACTCTGAACTCTGAACTTTAACCTCTGAACTCTAAACCCCCTATAGACGTGTGCACCTTTAAAAGAAATATTATGAAAACAGTGGGTGAAAACTACTGATTATCAGCATACATTGTAGATTGATCAGACATCACCATGATCTCCGACCGAACTCTGAACTCTGAACTTTAACCTCTGAACTCTAAACCCCCTATAGACGTGTGCACCTTTAAAAGAAATATTATGAAAACAGTGGGTGAAAACTACTGATTATCAGCATACATTGTAGATTGATCAGACATCACCATGATCTCCGACCGAACTCTGAACTCTGAACTTTAACCTCTGAACTCTAAACCCCCTATAGACAGCCCTGTGGTCCGAGGGGTCTGAGGGGTGGGGACTATCGACACTCTAGTATTATACATGTATGAATCGTGTGCATTCTGTCAAATGATCTTCATGCACTGAATACTTCCAATATGAAACTACGCATGTGATTTATATTATGTGTTCTGCAGGCGTTCATGACAATTCAGGAAGAGCAACTGCAGCACCACCGGGAGAAGAACGAGGACACACTGTCCAAGTATCAGAAACTCGCCGACAAGAACCGAGAGCAAAGTGACAAGGGGGAGAGGCGGGTAAGGAACCATTGCTCCGAGAATAACAACATTCTTTGTAGGCCGGATTCTTTATTGAGCAGGTTTGCACATGATCCTATTATATACATGCATGTACTGTGCATAGTGTACTGGTGATGTTGAATACTATCATGTATGTGACTCAAGTTGTACCTCACGAGGAAGAGAGCCCATCACAAGTGTTGTGCATTGGGTGTCTGGAGAAGGTGTCTAATTTGGGGAGAAAACTACATTAGGTTTTTGAGGCAAGGTGATGTGATGTGGGTAGGTGATGTGCGGGGTAAGTCGGTAGTGTTCCATTTTAAAATCATGGCATGTATCCAACAGCCATGTATACCTACTAGTAAGTACATTGTCTAGGATTATACTGCATGTGACCAACAGCCACGTATACCTAAGTACATTGTTGTTGTCTAGGATACTGCATGTTATCTGTAGAACAGAAATGTTTGACAAGTTTGGAAAATCATGGCGACCCTATCATTGATTGTGTTATTGCTGCTGCTACTGTGACTGCTCAACCCTGCTTCACTACACCTGTTCCTGTATCTAATCAGTCCATTCTTCGAACTGTCCTGTGTCGTTGCAGCTCCACCGTGCATCAATAATTGCAGATGAGTCATCCGTTATCGGTGAGCCTGCACGACTTACTGTAGCACATGCTATGTGATTGAATAGTAGCGATTGACCTGAGGTGACACATTGAAACCGATTGCACTGGTGCATGTCTTGAGTATGGAGAGCGTACACTTCGGCTAATGCTAGAGTAGGGCGTATATCACAGATAATGCATCCCCTATCGACTACAGACAAAAGAAAGATGGATCGTAATATACCAGTGCACAAGATCAGGATTGAGCAACTCTCCGAAGCTAGCCGAAGCTAGCCATAGCCTACGTCTACAATAGAGCAAGACATGATAGAGTAAGCGGACATGCAGCAGAACAGCTAGTGAATAGAGCAGCGCACTTCTAGGCTAAACCAACCGACAATGCAGCCGGCGCATGAACACCACAGTACGGTAGTGAATACATGGCATGAACACCACAGTACGGTACAGTACGGTAGTGAATACATAAAACCAGACCCACAACACAGTGAAACCCGCTGTCTAAGCGGCAACCACTCAGTCAAGGGACCTTCTAGAGATGTGGTCGTTGTGTACAGGTGGTCTCCTTATCCAGGGTCATTTGGAAATAGCACGGCACAGGGTCTTGGTTGCAGTGGTCTTCTGGGACAGGTGGTCGCCTTATCTGAGCAAGTTTCACTGTACATCATGAAACGTAGCTGGCGCCACCAGCTCAATGGTCTGTGAACTTTCAATTCCACACTTCCTTGCCACCTCTACACAGGTGGTGATGTTCTTGAGTGAAGCAAGTCCATCATCATCATCATCATACATCTGCCTGATCAGTATCAAACAGGCTAACAGTCGGACGAGTGATCTTTTGTGAATTACTGAGATACCATTACTGCAAGGTAGTCATACCATGTAGCTTGAAGCACAAGTCATGCAGTTTAGGTGTGTATTTGGTAGTCTACCAATGCTGTTGTTCTGTGTTGTGTCAATGGTGTACATGTAGATATGGGCAAGTCGCAAGACAGGAATGCCGCGGCTGGCATAGACAAGTATCAGGCAATCATACAGAAGGTTGCCACGGCGATAGGTGTGACATCACCAGATGTAAGCATGCAGGTTCTGCTGGTCCTCTCTAACTGTACTGTACTACACACACTTCCTTAACTAATACTTAAGGGCCTTGCTCATGTACTCATACCACTCACTGCGGCTACTAGTGTTGCGGCCCGCAGACTGATGCACCCGATCACTGTGCTCTTGTTGTACACTGAGCAGGCATGCAGTGCTGCAGCAGTACTCGGCTTGCCAGCCAGTGCACTACTCAGCACTGCTGTACACCGTGTGCGTTGGTATGTATGTTTACGACCATCTAGTAGTAGTCTCTGATGAGTGCATGCGGGTCAATGGCGTCCAATCGGGATCATCAGTGATTCATCATACCAAGTAACTACTTCTGGTTGCTACCAGTAAATTACTCTGTGCACTAATCAAAACAGAAAGTGGCGGGATAAGCAAGCCAGACGTTTACAAACAACCCTGATGCTCATGTCCCGGTTCATTTACTTGCGGCGTTGCATGTTTTCAAATGTGCAGGAGGTTACCGAACGCTTTCTGAACCAGAGCGAAACACACAGATCTTTGAAAGTGGCTGCTGAACAGAGTCAAATGAGTGTCAACAGTCTCAAGGAGGAGAAGGTAAGTGACACCCTGCTAGGCATACTCCAGTACCGCATTGTACCAGCAACAAATGAGGGTTGCCTAATAAGGCAATGCCATAATGGATAAAGAACAATAGGCCAGTGTAGTATTAGAACTATAGCCCTGATTCAAATGGCACACATGCACCATGGAGTCTACCTATTGCTGCACCACCGGCATCGGCAGCAATAAAGTGCACGGGAATTCATTTCTCCGCCATACCGCGGTGGTATGCAGATGACTGGAGTAACTGAAACAGAACACATGTTTCCTACTCTTGTGTTCTTCATTTCAATCAATGTGCCCGTTGCCATGGTATCTGACCATGATAAGAAGAAGTGCTGAGAGCAGACCCATGCAAGTACAGTAGGTATCGGTTATAGCGTGGGTGTTTGAAAAACGACTTTCTATTCTTATTTCCGATATTTCTTACACACGATAAATCAAGTGTGGTATATCACATGCATGTGCGCAGGGGCAGGAAGATCATCGTACATACAACGCAGTACTTCTGTGCATATGGTTGGTCACAGTCACATACTGGGCCATAGGCTTACCATGTGGCTATGCAAAATGAGTTACATGATCACAATAGTTGAATCTGCAGCACTACGACGCAACGAGAGTCAGATCAGAACGGAATTGGACAGATGCTATTACTACAGGCGATACACTTTGTACTAATCTGGCATGTTTCGCTACACAAAGTCCATTCTTAGGACCGATATATTCTACTATGGGATAAAATTGCTTGTAAGAATAAATGTGCACTTGAAATCCGTGTTATGATTATGAAAACATGAAAGTTCATTCTTGTAGGCAGTATATTCTTTTACACGACCACGCTATAACCGATACGCACTGTATCATCATTATCTCTAATTCCGGGTATTTGCCGTGGTTGGCCATCACCCTTCATTTCACGTTCATCTGTTATTGGCAGTCGTTTGATGAGCCAGAAACTGTTGAATAACTACAAATACAAAAAAAATACTAATCCGTTAGTACAGTGAAACCTGTCAAGGTGACCACTCTGATAAGGTGACCGCCTGCCCAACAATACTACTACTACTACTACTACTACTACTACTATGTGTGCAACCAGGACCAAGGGATGTTATTAATTAATTTTCCAGTCAAGCTGAGGAAGACCACCAGTGCACAGCCCGGGGAGCGCACATGCAAGGTGCCTTGAGCGGTCGCCTTAGACACACCGGGTTTCCCTGTAACTGTCATGTGCAGTGGTGGGGACGGTCATCCGCACCACTGCCGACTGATAAGTTCCGTAAGTGGTAATCTATTTGATATCACAGCTATCAAACGAAGTATAAGATAACTAGTGAACACCATCAGTTCTCTTGTCTGCGGCTGTCTTTGATGTGACTTGCAGGAAGAGTTGGAGAGTGCCTTTGAGAAGCTCAACTATGCACAAGAAGCAAAGGTTTCGAGGTACAGTCTAATGACGTGTAGCCGCATGATCCAGAAATAGACATGCATTCTTTCATTGTGGTGTGCATTGCATGTGTTGTATCCAGAATCCCAGGTACATGTATACTGAATAGAAGAACATCATATGATCCATTGCACACAACAACAACAACAGCAACAACAACGACGACGGCGACAACAACAACAACAACAACAACAACAACAACAACAACAACAACAACAACAACAACAACAACAACAACAACAACAAGGATGGCAACGACAATGCTGACAACGATAATGACAGCAGCGGCACTGAATGACTATAGTATCTCTGCCCTGCAGCCTGTGTGATTTCATTCTTGACTTCTTTTCACCCCATGTGCTTGAACAGGGGACAGCAGATGCTGGAAGAGGTGCGGCGAGAGATCCACAAGGTTAAGAGCGAGTAAGTACAGTATTGGTCTATGAAATCCAGTCACAGTGTCACAGTGTCACAGTGTCACAGCGTCACAGCGTCACAGTGTCACTCAAGTACACGCCGGACGTTGCGCAGCCCCAGACCTGCGAACACTGGGCTGCGAAATAATGCAAAGCGCAAACTTGAGTGACACGACTGGATTTCATTGAGCCGCACTGTAGTTGAGAGCGAGTAAGGAGTTATGTGTGCAGGAGCTACATCAAACACAGCCACACACGACCATGTGCCCAGCTTTGTTAGCAGTAGCGTCAATGGTATCGCAATACTTCATTGTGCATGACTCAGTGCCCTGGCCATTGTGAAATACGGATATAGTAACACTTCAGCCTCCCAAGGGCAAGTGGACATGTTCTTATACCCCGCTATGCTGCTAGAGTTGATCTTAAATATCCACGCCTCGCTAATTACAATACAGATGTGGATCATGTGGAAGAAGCACCTTTTCGGTACTTGTACATGTACATGTATGTCCGATCCCCATTTTGCATCTGATGGCTGTGATTTATGTGCCAAGTGTACAAAACCTACACTTAAAATAATACTTGCAGTAGTAAAATTACTGCGACGTGCGACGTGCTCCTGGTGTGCTCCGGATGGCAGTCGTGAGTCAGTCAAGTGTCAAGTTCGGCAAGAAGCGTGTGCTCCTCGTTGGAGCAACCAACTTCATGACATTACCGCCGAAGTCGCAACTTCTAAGTTAGTAAAATTACTACTAAAATAATCCTTGCAGTAGTAAAATTTACTCCCTGCTTGTAAGCATCGGTAACCAGAGACCTGACCTTGTTGCACTAGTGCCTTGTTTCACCATTGCATTGTATGTACTGCTATTTTCAGGGAGACGCAAGGCGAGGCCATGGCACTGGAGGTGAAGACAACACTCGATGATGTCAAGAGTGGCGTTGAGCACCTAAGCCAGAAGCTGGTGCATTTGAAGGAGGTAGGACTACATACAGTACAGCACATGTCATGCTTGAGCACACGCAGCATACCGTAAAGTCGCGGATAAAAGCCGGGTTTGCATACAAGCACATCGCGGATAGAAGCCTGAAAATCAAACGGGTCAAATGCATATAAGCCTGTCGCGCGTAGAAGCCTGGCTTCTATGCAAGCGCGGATCGGGTAGGTCAAGAGTGCATGCGCTATGTACGGTGCATAGTAAAACTGCCGCCATACCGGTGGTCATACAAGCCTGGCAAAAATATCAGTGGTGCATATAAGCATGGTTTGCATACAAGCCTGGTTTGCATTTTAAAGCCTGATGCTGAAAGCGGCTTATATGCTTTTATAAGCCCGGCTTTTATCCGCGACTTTACGGTACATGTATACCATCCACACAAGGAACCACTGGCCGCACTGCATGAACTGAGTCACTAGTATAAATAGTAAATACAAGTAGTGTTACAACCGTTACAAGCTGGCAAGTGTAACTAAGCCTACTCACGTTACACTACACTGTGTCCATTGGAGTAATAGAATGTCCGTTCGTTACCGTTTAGAATATTCGAATAGTACATTCTAGTATCCGTTTCACCACTAGTTAAAAGCCAAGTGGAACTATGCCACTAGTGTACCGTGTGGCCTTAGTTGCACTGGACCATATGATTTTCCTTTCCTGGCTGCGAATCAAGGTTTGGCAGATTTGGTGGTATTTGTACGCTTAAAATTTGTCATCATTCTACGTCACTTCAATGCTAGCAGTTAGGTTAACCCTCCATGTCAATTGCATAACCTTCATTGAATGAAGTACCATCGTTGTGCACTGCCATTGCTCTCATTCAAACACTATCCCATACACAGCCGACCGTCTCCGTGCCGACGCATCCAGTGTCGAAGACAGACGAAGAGTACGTCCTGGATCTGCTGGCCAGCTGCGAGGCAAAGCTCTGTGCCCTTGCTGAGCAGCTGGAAGAGAGAGAAGTCGATATTCTAAGCAAGGAAATGGAGGACGTAGAGGTAAGCAGGACCTAATATTCAAACACCTTCCTAGCCACAAGCGTGAATATTACTGTACCACCACATACATGCATGGACTCGGGGAATGTGTGTTCTTGTGGTGTGCTGGTGCATACGTGGACTCAGGGAATGTGTGTTCTTGTGGTGTGGTGGTGCATACGTGGACTCAGGGAATGTGTGTTCTTGTGGTGTGCTGGTACATACATGGACTCAGGGAATGTGTGTTCTATGTGGTGTGCTGGTACATACATGGACTCGGGGAATGTGTGTTCTATGTGGTGTGCTGGTACATACACGGACTGTAAAGCGATAAACTTTCGCGGTGCGCAAAGTTTGGGGCTTTCATGAATTGGGTTGGTTCACGATGAGAAACTTTGGCGATTTTATCTCTTCATTTGGATCTGTTACTGTCTACTTCATTTGGATCTGTTACTGTCTACTTCATTTGGATCTGTTACTGTCTACTTCATTTGGATCTGTTACTGTCTACTTCATTTGGATCTGTTACTGTCTACTGTAGTGTATGTAGAGTCTACTTGTACAATTACTCAAGTATGTACAGAGCAGTTTGCGGGGATTTATTTTTGCGAATGTGTGATGGTCGCTAAAATAGCGAAATTTAATCTCTAGCAAACGTTTCTCACTTTACAGTACTAGTAGATGAACTCAGGGAATAGGGAGGTTCTGCTCTACGTTTTGGGAACGGGACGCAAAGAATCACGCGAACTTTATTCGCGTTCCCGTAATGTAAAGAAATGCTGTTCTGCTCTACGTTTCACCTAGAGAAGTCACGTGGAATGTGTACTGGGAATTTCCCCTTCCACATTTGGCAGTTTTCTGCATGCAGTTGATCGATACGCAGCAAATCCGTACGCATTTTCTCTGCGTGTGCCACAACGTAGAGAACCTCATCTCCGCGTAGAAATCTGGAGCCAAAACACGCGAAGCCGTAGACTCTAACCCAGACACCTGCTCTCTACGTGATTTCTCTACGTTTCACGTATAGCAGAACCTCTTTAGTGTGTGTTCAATGTGGTGTGGTGGTACATACATGCATGGACTCAGGGAATGTGTGTTCTATATGTCGACTTACTCTTGTTCCTGCTTCTTGCTAGTTCCGAACTGGCCTGGCTGGCAAGCTTCCCGAAGTCAATTTCCGAATTGACCTCTCCTCACCGATTCCGGAGAAGGCATTTGGCGGTAAGTGGTCAAAGCGCTACAGGCAAGCCAGTACTGCAGCTGCACACTAACCTACACTATATCCCAGTGGTGATGTGTAGCCAGTACTGTCACACACTAACCTACACTATATCCCAGTGGTGATGTGTAGCCAGTACTGCCACACACTAACCTACACTATATCCCAGTAGTGGTGATGTGTAGCCAGTACTGCTACACACTAACCTACACTATGTCCCAGTGGTGATGTGTAGCCAGTACTGCTACACACTAACCTACACTATGTCCCAGTGGTGATGTGTAGCCAGTACTGCTACACACTAACCTACACTATTATCCCAGTAGTGGTGATGTGTAGCCAGTACTGCTACACACTAACCTACACTATATCCCAGTGGTGATGTGTAGCCAGTATTGCTACACACTAACCTACACTATATCCCAGTGGTGATGTGTAGCCAGTACTGCTACACACTAACCTGCACTATCCCAGTGGTGATGTGTAGCCAGTACTGCCACACACTAACCTACACTATATCCCAGTGGTGATGTGTAGCCAGTACTGCCACACACTAACCTACACTATATCCCAGTGGTGATGTGTAGCCAGTACTGCTACACACTAACCTACACTATATCCCAGTGGTGATGTGTAGCCAGTACTGCCACACACTAACCTACACTATATCCCAGTGGTGATGTGTAGCCAGTACTGCTACACACTAACCTACACTATATCCCAGTGGTGATGTGTAGCCAGTACTGCCACACACTAACCTACACTATGTCCCAGTGGTGATGTGTAGCCAGTACTGCTACACACTAACCTGCACTATATCCCAGTGGTGATATGTAGCCAGTACTGTCACACATTAACCTGCACTATGTCCCAGTGGTGATATGTAGCCAGTAGGGACCTTTCGCATTTGCTACGAATCGAATGCAAAACGAAAGTTTGATTCGGCTCGTAATCGTTTCGTTGAAAACAGATTCAGGTTTCGCAAGTCGTCATGCAATATGCATGGCAACTACGAATACAGCCGGTAGCTTGGCGTACGGTATACGGGTGTTGACACACGCACGTGCATGGTGATTGGAATCAATGGAAAAAATGTGTACCTGGCAAAACATGTGTACTACCTGGCCAAATAAATGTTTACCTGATGGATTCGGAGCGCGCCACGAATGAAGAGGCTTCCATTCGTGAAAACGAGCTCTCCGCAGGGACTCTGACGAATCCTCGAACCCAAGTGACGAATCAGAATTCGTTTCGTATCCGTACGCGTGGTGCGAAAGGTCCCTAATACTGCCACACACTAACCTACACTATATCCCAGTGGTGATGTGTGGCCAGTACTGCCACACACTAACCTACACTATGTCCCAGTGGTGATATGTAGCCAATACTGCCAGGGAATACCTAAGCCACACTGTATGACCTAGTGGTGATGTGTGGCCGTCAGTGAAAAATGCCTGGAATTCTTGGCTTGGAATGAGACCACTAAAATTGGCTGCACATACATTACTGATCCCCATTACCCATTATAGTACAGTATTACTGACCAACACTAACAGATGTGCACGTCACTCCATGGACCAAATACAATTTGCGACGCCTGAATCCCGCAATCATTTGTCACCAAATCTGCCCCATGGTCCAACAGCATACCAATGTGCTTGCTCACTCTACAAAATTAGCAAATATAGAACCTCTTTGTTTTGTTTCTGCTCTTCCTTGCCGGGCAGATGACGAGGAGAGTGGTGATGACAACGATGTGCTAACTCGAGACAAGCTCAAACGAGAAGCGCAGGAATTTACTGATGCCAAGACCAAGAAGAAAAAGAAGAAGAAGAAGAAGGACTAGGTACATTGGGAGCATAACACACATTTCGTCCATTGGTCCCAGTGCCGCAAAACCGAGCTTCATGTCCCAAACTCATCAACTATTAATCCATCTAGCTTAGCGAGGCCTTTGACAGCAGGCCATAGTGCTCAATGCAAGGACCAACTGGCCAGTACTGCACAGCCGCACCACACATAGGGTACGGGCAGCACAGCACAGCACAGCACACCACTTATCTAGCTTAGACATTTGCAGCTTTTACATTGATTTCTCGGGTATAATCTCATAGTGTTTCTTTGCATACTAGTACTCCTGACTGACACGACAAGGCAGTGGCAGCCACAATTTGATGCATGATGACATTGTGGAAATAACGGCACTGTTCCACATGATACTAGTAGCATAGAATGACAGCCTACCTAATGTTAGTACCAATTAAATAATTCTGTATGTACAGAAATTGTCCAAACTCATCAAACTGATGAAATAAAAATCGCGATGAAGTAAAAGTCTTATCCTTAAAGAGCAACACACACATCCTGTCACTGCATATCCTCGCGGCGCTTTCTGCCCAAATACTTGACGGCCTTTGCTTCTAGCGGACCACTATCCGTATCAAGAGGTCGGGCAAGCTGTGCGTTAATCTTCACCTCTGTCTGCAACAGATGTGCAAGCATCTTCTCAGCAAACTTGACTCGCACCTTCAAGGTTTTGAGCACATCCGGTGGGTCTATCTCAACGCTTACACGCTCTATATTGCGCCTTGCCCTTGCACGGTTCCGAAACAGCGTGCCCTTACGTCGCAGCTCTGCAGCAAACAGGAAACACACATACACATGCATGCATGCAGGTACACACAGGTACACGCACACACGCACACATGCATGCGAACGCAATCCATCACATGCCATTCATGCTAACTTGTACACAGGCAGACAGACGGATAGGCAGACAGACAGACAGACAGACAGACAGACAGACACACGCACACACATGTGAATGGAAGGCATAATACGACATTCATGCATACTTGTAAGGGTAAACACATGCTAGACTTTAAATTATTTACCACTATCTAGCAGCTGTACACTATCTAGCAGCTGTACAGCAATGGCTCCAACATCTACGGTTTCAAGAACTTGTCGGCTCCCACCAGCAGCAGCAGCAGCAGCACCACCACCACCAGCATCACCACTGGCACCACCAGCACCACCAGCACCACTCCTGTCATGCTGCCTTCACAACACACTCACAACTAAAGGTGTGAGGTCTGGTGTAAAAATCATAAAATGAAAACACAAACTCAACAAAATTGTGCGGTATGCCCTTACCAACTTCACGATCGGAGAAACGGTCCATTAGATCGAAGTCTCTGCTCCGAGAGGGTGGCGACGGTGGTGAAAAAGAAGATGATGACTGTGCACGCCATGCCACACTGGTGATTGTTGCCTAGAAAAGCGAAAAGCAAACACAGCGTGTACAAGAAAAACCCGTCTTCTAATCACACAACTGACGTTTCTCCCAAATATCTGAGCGTACTGTCAAGACGTCCATGTCACCGGGTGGGTCAGCATGATTGATGAGCATAACATTGATGCAACACATCACTTCTACTGAAAGCACTAAAGGTACGTTAGTCTGGTAAAGAACTAGAACATGATCACCCGGAACACGCATGTCCGTCTGACCTGCACCGGATATTGAGTGTACGGAGCATGCTCTGGCTACCCCGTGCCTTATGACTTGCGCCGATTGGCGTTGAACACTCCAACACCTGCTGCATGTTGTGTCGTACCAGTCGAACACGATTTTACAACTCACCCCGGCTGTCACGACAGGCTCTTACGTCCCTTACCATCAGAGTTACGTCAAATGCGAACCAGGCTTAAGAGAGATATGAGTGTACATGACACCGTTTTCAGCATCTTGGAGCTAGCTAGGCATGACTATCAAGGGTGAATACCAGCAATCAACATCATGCTTTGGATATTCCGCACGCTCCGCTTTTCCCCTTTTCGAGCCCCTTTTGAAGCAGGAAAACTGTACCATTCCAAACTGCCGCGTGCACTAGTAATACTAAATGAAATATAAAAAAATGTACACTTGTACTGTTCCAGTAGATCCCGTAGGTTACCGTTTGCTAGGTCGATGTATTGTGTGCTGACCCGGCACATGTGAGCATGATGCTAGTACTGACTAGACACTGTTAGGACCTGTCTAGACATGCGATTGTCTGTACCGTAGCATTAATCTAGTACATGCATGGCATGCAATACCTGTCGGATCATGTGACGGAGCTGGTTTGCTGATTGGCTGTAGGTTTGTTCGCTTTATCAGCTGTGCTTTTTGTGATAGTACCAGTTTCACTTTGGAGAGGAGAGAGTTTTTTTGTCTCTTTGGAAAGCAGAGTTTTTCGGTCCTGGAGAGAGGACAATAGCAGAGTTGGTATGTCCGTGCCAAGGCACGATGATGTGTGCATACTATTAGTCTAGAGATTTTCGTTCAGTTACGAAGAACAGAAATAAATACAGTCTTCTTTGGAGTCCAGATTCCGTGACCAAACATGTACTCACCTCTTACTTTTCCCAGAGGATAATTTAAAAAAATTATAATGCGATACAGATAAGATGAAGGCATCAAGCACATAGAGTAACTGTAGAATTACGGGTACCTGTACTAGCACTTTCATCAACATACATGTATAAAACTCATTTTCAAAGATCAACTTACACTGATCAATTAAAACCCAGATACTCTGAAAGATAAGAAAAATCTCTCACCTGGATGTGTGCGCGAGGCAAGAGGGAACAAGTCGCTCGCAGCATACTTGCACGGACGCGCAGCGCGCACAAACAACTAGGACGCTGCTCAATCTGAATCACCAGTATCTACTTGACCATCAACAACAACTCCAACTCCATTACAACCCAACAAAAAATTCCATAACCTACGAGGAGACAATAGTCGTAAAACAATTCAGTTCATTATTGATTGAAAGCCTGAACAAGTACGAGTCGTACTGACTCGTACATCATCATTATCATGATTGTATTGAAAAGATGGATCATGAAGAAATTCGGGAAAAAACATTCAGACGTACATCAAACTTTCAAAGACAACAAGGCCAAGGGTACCCGGGTACCGGTACGGTACTGACGTCACCATGGTCACGCCAAGGTACGCTGCGCTGTTCAGATCAGTTTTTGGGCTTTTTTGTTTTTGTTTTGGCTGTCCCTGCGGGAATTTGCGGAAAAAACTCTCGAAAACTTGCGCAAGAAATTGCGACGAAAAGTAACAAAAAATGCGACGAAAAGTGCGGAATGATGCAGAACTTGCCAGGAATTCGCGGAATTATTTGAAGAAAATTGCGGATTTGGGCCAAATCACGAAATTTGTTGCATTGTACATGTATATCTACTCGGGAGTCGTACTGTGCAATTAACCTACAGGATCATGGAAAGAACTGCAGGAAAAGTGCATAAAAATGTGAGATATAGTGCAGAAAACAACAAAAAAACGCGGGAAATCGCGGATTTTGCTGATAATCGCGGGTTTGGGCCAAAATCGCGAAATTTGTTGCATCCGTGGAATCGCGATTTCCTGGAGGGACAGAATCCAACGACTCCATGTTGGTACACCCTATCAACGGTACCATGATCACGCAGCAAGTAATTAGTTGCAACCATGGCCAACTAACTACATGCATTACTTACTTCGACCACAACCAAAAACACTAGCAGATGTAGACAATTTTAGACAAAACTACAACAACATTTGCATTTCTCTCTGTGCTCTTGCCCACCAAGATTCAAAATTGATGGTTGCTATGGTGAGGCCCGCTATCTGGAAAGGGATACCAGGGAGTCGTAAAATACGACTCCTTGACCTTGGTCATACAGAGCAGGGTCAGCATAGCGATGGCGCGAGGGCCCCGAGGTGCAGTTCTCTTGTAGGTTGTTATTTGCTACACGGGCTGCTCGTGATCGTTTGGTTAGTATGTGCTAGCAGTACCGTAGTAGCATAGCGGCATGTTCACCTGCACACCGGTACTGCTACCTCTTGCAGTCGCTGTCTTGTTAGATGCCACAGCCGCACAGGTCCTTGACCTTGGTGTTGACATACCATGCATACACTCCCATGCAAAAGTCAAGACAAACTGGATGTAAGAGCTGAACTACAGTGAAGCCTGGTGTAAGCCACCTCTGGGTTTAGCGACCACCTGCTCTTTTTTTCCATGCACGGACAGTTCTACACAGACACTGTGGGACCTGGTTCTAAAGACCACCTGGCTTTAATGACCGCTTTTGCTTGCACCGTGGGCCATGGGGTGGTCGCTTACACCAGGTCAGTTTACTGTACTTTCACCATGGTGCATATTCACAGTTAAGTGACTGCATCTACTCCAGCACAGCGAGAACCACCGGTGCACATATCTACAATCCAGCCACTGACACATACCCTCTCTTCTCCACACAACCAAGGCCAGTACTAGGAAGTAAACATGTTACAAGTAAAACTGCGGATACACGTATGAGTGCAAAAGGAACGGTATAACGCCTTTGAACGGTATCCTGTCATGAAGCTGAAAGCTCGGCCCCAGACAACACTGCAAGGCACTACTAACAGCAGCTGGCACAGGGCTATACATGAAGTAGTTCAGAAGTACGCTCATGAAGTGAAAAAATCCTAGTCAGTGGTGAATATGATTGCCTCCAGGCAGAATAACAGTTTGCTAAATTACAAGCCAGTGCCGGGTAAATTAATTGGGTAAGACGAAGTGAAGGCATAGCTGCTCCAAGATCGGTCGAGGCTCTATTGTTGCTTTTTGCCGTTAGCACGTACGAGCTCATCCCTCAGCTTGCGCACATCATCTGAGTAGAGTGACTCGTTAAAAATCCCATAGTGATCAAAGTAAAGAGCAACAGACCTAGTGGTGGTAACACATAGCACACAGCACATGCACAGCAAACAAACCATACATTGTACATGTACATGATCAGACAACAGCATGTCCAAGCACAAAGCTACCATCTGTACAACTGACTGAACACCTAAAACTCTAGAACAGGTCATGAAGCTTTATTCCCAAGTAATGATACTAATCTCTCAGCTGCAAGTAATTTACTACTACAGTGTGGCAAGAAATCCGACACTTGGCATAAGGGACTGCACATGCAGTCTGCAGCCCCTGCAGTCCTGCATACGTAGTACATGTGTTCCATACAACTTTTATCTGTCTCATGACAAAACTCGTACTCATCACAGTCAAGGTTCACAGTCAAGGTTCAAAAGGTGCTGGCAAAATTTAAAAATGAATGAGGATTGGATACCAATACTCCTTATGTGTACCATGTTTGTGAACTGTGCGTATCTACGCTGTGACCTTTCGATACTTGCACTTGAAAGCACACAACATCCACAGAGGCGGGTCATAATTTGCTATTCACGCTTTGGGTATTCCTAATGAACGCCCAAAGAAAACACAGTAGTATAAGGTGGGGACCTCCTTCAATATGAGAGAGTTTACGCGTCACGTTTTTCAATTTCGAACGTGAGAAGAAAACGTGCGTTGAATCGCTTTGTTTCACCGTGAGTTGGCCCTCTGTCGCATTGAAATCTCACGTTGCAACGTGAGGAGCGCCACTTTGGCAGTGAGATCTCACGTTCAAAATTGCTCCCGCCACTTTAGGAGCTGCAACTATGCATTGATCAAAATGGCTGTGGCATTCCTATCGATGCAGAAAAGTCAATGTAACGAACACTCGTGCGAGCCGTGAAATTTATTACAACCATTTTGTCTCCTTTCAGTTCTCTCGCTGCAACGAAACGTCAAGTGTGCAAATTTTCACCTCAGCTTCCGTGGTGATGAGTTTTGCTGCCTGAAACTTACTGGCAGTCTTGCAGTGGAGACGTCATGTGACAAACCTGAATATTCATCGGCCAGTGAGTGAAGGTAACTACACAATTATCTCCTCTGGAAAGGACAACAGTGATGCAAAGACCCCTGGCCACTTACTTCTCAAGGCTCTCAACAGTCTCCGAACCTGTATGACCATTCCGGAAAGCCATAGATAGCATGTAGTCTGGACTGAAGCGTCGCAGATCTGACATGAGCCGCCATTGGTGAACCGTCTAGAAAGGAACACAACAAAGCAACAGGACATAAAGGAGTTGAAAGGACAGCATCCAAATCTGTTGAGATAGTGTTCACTCCCAGCAAAATACAGTGAAACCTGTCTTGGGTGACTGCTCAAGAAACCTTACGAATGTGGTCCCCGTGTACAGGCGGGCTTCTTATCCAGGGTCATTGGACTGGAAATAGCATCCCTTTGTCCTCTTTTTAACTGCTAGTGGTCTTCTAGGACAGGTGGTTGCCCTATCAGAGTGGCCACCTTGGCACGTTTAATGCATACACGTACACAAGAAAAGCTACTGTCGTGGACATGGAAATCCGGTCGCACGTCTAGTGGCCCCAGGGCGCTGGCAATGCAGCCGTGGATAAGGTTATTATTATTAAGTGGTGCACACATGCATTTATGCGCTGCAGTGCGCTGGTGGCATCGGATCAACATGTGCACTACACACAGCGTTCTGTAAGCGCTGAGGGCGCCGGCCCCGGTCAATCGACTGGATGTCCATGTCCGCTACAGTACAATACACGAAAGACCAGAGACCTCCGCGGACCAGCGGCCATTGCGAGCATAAGACGGAGTAAGAATACAGAGGAGCACGGAGCGCATTGAAATGATTCAAACGATACCTTCTTGTCAGTGTCAACTGATGATCCGAAGAAGAAGTTGTTTTTCTGAACAAACATGTAGAAGAGACTGAGGATACCCATCAGCACGAAATACGTATAGAGAGACCAGTGTGGTCAAGGAATACACACGGTATAATTATACTAACATACCAGCATATACATGCCAATACCAGACTAGACACCAACAGTAATCCACCCCACCCCCATACAAATACCAGACTGGGAGGTTCTGAGGTTAACAAGATAGAGGATGTAAGTCAGTCATACTTCAAACTGCATGTCAATCATAAAGGTTTCCCGAACCTCAGAAAGCATGCTCCAAATTGATGACCAAATTTACAAAGGCTAAACGGCCATTGAAGACAAACCATGCAAGCACACAAACACACACATACACACACACACACCTGTGCATGCACGCACAAACACACATGCACATATGCTCATCCTTAGAGAAAGCTATGCGAATTCTTATTCCAAATTGGATCCGTCTGTTACACTGTAGCAGAGTACTGTATACATAATTATCATGTTCACAGACATCACTCAACAGCACACAATGACATCACTCAACAGCACACAATGACACCGTGAGGAGGATATGAAGTGACGCATGAAATCAGAACAGCATGCGAGGCTGGGTATGGGATGAAGTAGTCAAAGACAAGGGCAAACCCTGCCGCACCGCAGCCTGCACACGCTAAACCGAGGCGAATGTCGACATTCCTATAGTCTTCTGTTACACCGAGGTCCTCAGTCAAAACCTAACAAAGAGACAGACAACGATGAGCACACCATCTGTTGAACACATGTACATGACAGGAGAACTTGTGCTCGGGGACCACCGCTTTACTTGCTGTGTCCGCGTCTACGAACATCTTTATACAATGCGTACAATGGTATGGGAATAGCGCTTGGCTTCACAACCTGAACTGTGCTCAAACCTGATTACATGATCACATGCTATACATGTACTTCGAAGTATGTGAACAACGCATGCGTGCACACACGCATACACATGCACGCGCGTACACACATTATTGGCCACTGGACCTCGGCTTTGCCATGCATGGTCGTGCCCACGGGCAGCCACATTTGTGGCCGAGTTGTGGATTAGAAAAGAAAAGCAGGCGGTCCAATCGTCCTGCTTTGGACCAAAACATTTGTATACATTTACATAGGAGACAATTGCCTTACCAGACATCATTATATGGGTGTCCTGCTTTGGAATGGTCGCAAGATTGGACAGACTGGAAAACTGTTGTCCAAAATTATATGAACCCATTCAATGCAAGGACCCAACAATGACGACAAGCCAACCAAAAAGTTGAAGCTGATATCCCTTTCTCCACACAAATGCATCATGGTGCTGACCGGAACGTACGATAAAAAAGAACGCGATGATTGTTTGTCACATGCAGGTCGCTATGAGTGTGTCAGCCACCACTTTACAGCCTTATCTATTATGCATATGAGACTCAATGTCCGTCAAATCACCGATTGCGCAGGTTGCTCCACAGGTCAGATGTTTTCCGCGTCAATACAGTCATGTACTATTGGCAGAGTGTCGCTGCGTGCCTATATAGGCTATAACCATGATGAAAAACCTTTTCTGCTGTGTGAATCGCATAGCTATCCATGAGCCACAGCCATGAGCCACAGCCATGAGCCACAGCCATGAGCCACAGCAGATGAGCCACAGCCATGAGCCACAGCCATGAGCCACAGCCATGAGCCACAGCCATGAGCCACAGCAGATGAAAAAGTACTATCTACAGATCGAGTACATGTAACTCCTTGGTGGGTTACAAGTATGCATTCTTGGCATAATTTACACATTGAATATTTCAATGGACATGGATATTCCAGTCCCTCAATGCTCACCTTTCTGGCGGTGTCATCAAGTAAATTCCGCACAGCTGAAGAGTCCCATCGATCTATCTCTATAGTAGTATCTTCCTCCTGGGTAGCAAACACAGCAGGAGGAATGCGTATCCCACGAAATATTAATTCTGGGTTCATTTTTCACAAATCAATCGCATCCACACAGCACACCTTTGGTGGTGCCTCTCCCTTTGCCTGAGATCTCTTGGATTTCATTTTCTCTAAATCAGCAACAGATATGGAAAATCCTCGAAGAAAGTTACTAATCAGTGACTCTGGCCTCGGGCAAACTATTCTACTGCTGTGTAAAATACAAGCATTCGCATTGCATGCAATAAACAACAACTTTCAATTATTATTCCACTACATACACCACAGGCACAGATGCTAGCGGTATACCGGTACATACACTGACTGTACATAACAGTGCAGATTTGTCGGGTGGTCAGTCGAGTCATCACTCATCAGTCATCACACTGCACTGGTCATGCACTCGTTCGTTTGTCACGTCGACGTCACATGCACAAGATGCTGTGTACGCACGTCTACATAAAATTCAAAATACAGTATCAGATTTTTATTTGAATCAAAAGCTATTATTTTTACTATTTTACTCAGGGAGTCGTCAACTCCCTGATTTTACTCATAGTTGCATTTTAGTCGTAGATCTACGCTTGTCTCATTTGCATTGCGTAGTAGACAAGGAGAGCGTCATGACCACGAAGGCTGAGAGATGGTCAGGGAAAGGCCAGGGGGCTTGGCATGATTTAGTGGCTGCTGACTGTCGGATTTCCAGATGGATAGCACTGGAGTTTGTTCCAGCTACGTTGACAAGTGTGAAGAGATGGATGGGTTTAGCCCTAGAATACTCAGGACATGGTGTACCCTGGATTGTGCTCGGTATTTACGCATTGAAGACGGCACGCAGTGATGTGGACAAGGCCCTAGCAGTCAACTTTCTGCTTGGATTGATTTTGGATTTATTGGTGATCTGTTTAGTGAAGGCGGTAGCCGCACGGCCGCGACCGCCATATGATGTGAAACATAGACTGTTGTCCATAGCAGTGGATCGTAATAATGCCTTTCCATCTGGTCATGCTACTAGAGCTGTGTTGATTGTCGCATTCTGCGCGGGATACGTCACGACAAACACCCTAGTATGGCTGGCTGTGTGGGCGGTATGTCTGTGTGCGTCACGGGTGCTTATCGGGCGTCACCACTTACTGGATGTGGTAGTGGCAGTTCCACTAGGGTATCTGGAAGCCATGATATCACGCCATTGGCTGATCACAGTAGGCATCACGGATTTCTTCTTGCCAATGTGGACATGACCAATCAGCGCAGACAGAGTAACTGGATGACTGACAGGATGTGACAGAAAGCGAACAGAATTCAAATTGCATTTTACGTTTCAGATATACGTATACGTACAGTTGACTCAAATCATTTCAAACTATCTACGCTTTGTATGTAAATCATGTCCGACAAGTCACTGGAGGCATATTGGAGATGTATCCGCCGCTTTTTGCGCTTTTGTCTTGGCAATGACGGTTGACATCATGCTCTGGAGGACCGCTGAATCCAGTTCACAGAGGCTTTTCTTGATCCATTTTTAGAACATCATCTCAGTTGTGGCAATCACCCACTATCGACTGCCCTTCATAATGCTCCAAAGATTCTCGATAGGGTGAAGTTGTGTAACGTTCGGTGGTTTGTCACACTTCTCTACAAACAAGATCTCACCATTTCATTATCGCTGAGCAACTCAAGGGTGGCACTGGTGTAATGGGAGCTTGCCAGATCCAGCCAAGCTCTATTCCCTATCAGACTGAGTCTTGGCCAGGAAAGGGGACAGCTGTGCCAACAAACACCTTAGTGTCATTGTTACACATAAATTCAATGAACTCCAAACCTTTTGGCAAGTTTTCAATGAGACACTCCAGTTTTGTCCACGACTGATTTGACCAGCATCTTTCCTTGGCTTGCGGCATGTTGACTGCTTTCCTGACACTTCCTGGTTGTCTTGCAAGTAATTAGTTGTGTTTCTATCCCTGAATGCCGTCCTATTTATTTGTAGAAGCTACTTGTGGTCATTCCTTGCTGCACAATAAAAGCAATGCTTCTATCTTCATGCACGTAGTAGAAATTTACAACGGGCACTCAACTTTGTTGCAATCTTAAGTCCTCCATTTTCAGAACCCCCAAAGTAAATTGAATGGAATGAACGTGTAGCTTATGGTGATGGCCTTTTCATAAACGAGATATGTGCACAAATCTAACCTTTTTCTCTTCATTTTTTTGTCTCATCCTGTTTTATGTGCCGGAGCAATGCATTCGCGTACGTATGCCGAAGCGATGTTCAAACTTGGGTGCTTCAAGTTTGAAGCTCTTCGCTAGGAGAAAAAGATCCCAGGGAGCAAGTGCACATAGCATGGGTTAGTGATACTGACGGTGACACTGAGTGTTTTGTACTCGCTAGCAGTTTGTCACAGAACAGTTCTCTTCTCCAGTTTAGGATGTGGATTGCTATGGTTCACTTTCTTTTCTGGCCTAGAATCTTGCCAGGGGCTGCAGGGGTTCTTGCTGCAAACTGAAGAAAAGAGACATTTAACAGTGCGTGAAGATGTTGCAAAAGAAGGATCCACAGGCAGCCTGATTCGAACGCCCCCCCCCCCCCCCCCCCCCCGTCTTTTCAGGACAGAGGCTGTGTGTGTGTGGGGGGGGGGGGGGGGGGAGCAGTGATCAAGAAGGTGCCACGGCACAGGTGTCACCGTGTGATTGTGTGTGTGGGGGGGGGGGGGGGGATCCCCGGTAGCATTGGTGGGTCACAGTACCGGAAAGAAGGGATGGTGTGTGTGGGGGGTGGGGGTCTGGATTCGAATCCCGCTCGGTGATCCTTCTTTTGCAACAGACAACATACATGTTACTACTATGTATCTCAGTAACCATGATAACCATGGTAACAGGGCATGATGAAAATTGGAGATGTGACAAACTGTTGTTGTCCTTGACTCCTTGTCCACTGTTGTCCTTGGGTTCATGTGGATGTGTGAGTATTCGGCTAGTACATGTATTGCGATACAATGTTTACCGTAAAGCATGGCTGGATAGACTTGCACAGTCGCATCGGTTAGATCTACATGTACAATGTACATTGTATGAAGAATTCATAACTCTTGATTGTATAGTTCGTAGAGCTGTAGCCTAGCCTGTAGGACATCATGTACCACCCGCTATTAGTATTACCAGAAACTTCACTTCTCAAAAATGGTGTACTACGAGTACACCAAATTTCCAGGCCTGGCCCATCATCCGGAGGATAATGGAGATCCATTATCCTGATGATGGGCCAGGCCGGAAGATTTGGTGTAATGTTAATTTGATTTTGAATCGCAGTGAAGAGACCGTGTTTGGAGTTGAGCCAAGTTTCCTAAATGTGTAATACATGATTCTATAAGTGACTGCGTTGGAGTTTGCGGACAATTAGAAAAGTAGTAGTATTGCATTTTTTTAATGCAGTATTAAAACCATGAGGAGGGGGAATGAATAATAGTGAGGAACGAGGGCAATGGGTAGATGGTCGTGAGAGAAGGAGAGTGAGAGATAACATGTTGTTGTTGTTCTTTTATTGGAATTCGCAATACCGAACGGGCAATACGCCCAATCACATGGAAGCGAATAAAAGAATGCTAAGAATGAGGCATTTTGGTGAATATTATTTCAAGTGGAAATACTGATCCCGGGAGATACTACAAATACAATGTAGGTACAATGAACATCTGAAAAGGCCATGATACTGTCGTTTACCATGCTGCAAGCAGCTACATGTAGAAGGAAAAACAACAAGAAGGACGTTGTATCTCATGTACTCTGGACAAACAGAGCTAACAGGAAAAGACCGTTCGTTAAAATGCCTATACATACTGTCCTTGTGTGTGTGTGTGTGTGTGTGTGTGTGTGTGTGTGTGTGTGTGTGTGTGTGTGTGTGTGTGTGTGTGTGTGTATGTCACTGTGTGTCACTGTGTGTGTGTGTGTGTGTGTCACTGTGTGTGTGTGTGTGTGTGTGTGTGTGTGTGTGTGTGTGTGTGTGTGTGTGTGTGTGTGTGTGTGTGTGTGTGTGTGTGTGTGTGTGTGTGTGTGTGTGTGTGTGTGTGTGTGTGTGTGTGTGTGTGTGTGTGTGTGTGTGTGTGTGTGTGTGTGTGTGTGTGTGTGTGTGTGTGTGTGTGTGTGTGTGTGTGTGTGTGTGTGTGTGTGTGTGTGTGTGTGTGTGTGTGTGTGTGTGTGTGTGTGTGTGTGTGTGTGTGTGTGTGTGTGTGTGTGTGTGTGTGTGTGTGTGTGTGTGTGTGTGTGTGTGTGTGTGTGTGTGTGTGTGGTGTGCATATCACTGTTTCTCTTCTTTAAAAACTAACATCACATTGTGGTAAGGAGGGAGGGAGGATCATGGATGCTAGTGAGACGCTTGTTCGTTCAGGGGGTGATCATGCCTGACTTGCTTTATGGGTCAACCGCATTCTTTGCCAGGCTACTTGGCCGCCAGTTAGACCGCCTGCGAACACTGCAGCACCGAGCTATACGGGCCATTGACTGGAACCCACCCCACACAGCCATCCAACCTCTGCTGATCGCTTCACGAAACTCTGCAAGCGTAAGCTGCTCGTGTTCGTGTGGAGGTAAATTGTACAAACCGACAGATCAGAAGAACTTGTCGCCAACCGTTGAAACCGGAGGGCTTCTCAGCGAGCAAAGCCTCATACATCAATATCACTCGTGCCGGCAAGTCCCCCCCGCCCACGGTGGCAAGTGCTGTTTTACTCTTGCTATAAAAGTATAAAGACTACACACTGCGGCATTCCTGACTAAATTCTCATGCCTGGCCATTACCATGATTACAGTGAACAATCATGTACATGTACCGCGACACGTATCTAATATTGACTGAGTATTCGCCTCGGTCTTTTACTCGGCTTTTATTTCCCATTGACCAAGTACGAAGTCAATAATTATTAGATTTATCACGACAAACACGACAAACAGTCGGTATTTCAAATTCCAGAACGATTACCTCATGAATCCCGGTTTTATGATTGCACAACCGTTGCACCATCACCACAGTGACCATGCTGCACTGCACTAGGCACCGTTCAACCGCGCAACCCATAAGCAGTCAAAATTTATATAAGCAGTCGCTATTCAAGGCCACTTCTGATGCGCGTTTGGCTGCATGCGCGAACTGCATGCGCAGTGCATGCACGCGCTGAGATCCCTACCTAGAGCCACACGTGATCCATTAGCTCAGACGCGGGAAAACTGTCTCTGTACTGCGGCCCATGCATGCCCAGTGCCAGTGCCGCTCTCCGTCTCAACTCCGTTCCCGCTAGCTGCATGCACTAGGCACCGTTCAACCGCGCAACCCACAAGCAGTCAAAATTTATAAGCAGTCGTAGTAGTAGTAAGTAGTTTGTTCTGTTCACCTCTAGCTCTGCTTGCAGGCCTTTCGAAGTTTCCTAGCTAAAATAATTAGCTGTCATTAGAGGACACCGTGTTTCATTTTACCAGCGGCAGACGTCGCCTCAATTCAGCCAAACAGGCTTATGCTCAGCTACCACTGGCTACTGAGTAGCTAGCTTGGAACGCCTTGCAGACATTTCTGGATACCGGCAATAGGCTATTATATAGCGACCAAAGATGGAAAGCCACCCACCCTCACGCACAGGTATGTAGTTTGTGTGCATTCTGACTGTCGGGCACGCTACGGTCACTACGTTATTGACTGCATCACTTTTTGCCCCAGGTACCCCGTGAATCAATGAAATGCTCTGATTTGGGCTCTACACTTCGAAATTTTTCAGAGTAACCACCCCAACCCCACAAGTGCTTCAGGTGGTTGACCGTACCAACCAGAAACAGTGAGTTTGGACCGTACCAACCAGAAACAGTGAGTTTCTGCCCCACGGTACTTGAAAACGTACCAAAGTACGTATGGAAGCCTCGCCGCGGCCGTACGGGATCGAGTATTAGTTTCACACGAATTTTTTCATACCGTTTCTGTGTGAGCATGCTACGCACAGCAGAACCGGCGCAACGTACGAAAAATCCGTGTCAGACTTCACTGCAGTTGACACGGAGTTTGGTACGTAGTTCAGTGTAGCAGAAACTCACTAATAGTAATACCTTCCGATGCCCCTGCAACTACAGTACACTCTGGTTCGTAGTCACTGGTCCTGTACCTTTGCTTGTAGGGATCCGGATAACACAAGCTGATTATCTGGCATTTCTGCTTCTCAGTGAATGTTGATTTCCTTCCCGTGTTCATCGCAACCGTGTAACAATTACATGAACACGGGAAAGAAATCAAGTAACAGTTAACATGTTCATTGACTGGCGATTGACCCCCGGAGCAGATAGGGGGTGTTTGTATTTGTACAAATGAGTATCTTTATAGATTCCCCACAGCCGGCCGCTAGCCTAAAACGGCTAAAATAAATCGAGAGAGTCTCCGTGTCTGCATAATATGCAACATGGTGTAATGCATCCAGGGTATCATTATGCATTGTATGCTGAGCAACGAGGCAGACATGCAATGCGGTGTGCAAGCATGATGGAAAATTGCCACAGATACATGCATGCCATAATTATATTTTGTTGGTTTTAATTGGAGTATTTTCTTTTATCGTCATGAAGAAGGGTGGACAACTGTCAGTTTCAAGCCGGCCATAGTGTATCTACTTTGCAAGCAAGTCGGAAAGTACAGAGTGGATTGTTTGATCGCCTTTCACCTCAATTTTGGGTGAATGTACAATGTTGTGTAAAAGTAAAGTTTGCACGTGCGCGTTACCACCGGCTATACAGTTGTATATAATGTAGAAATGCTGGGCTTGATCACCATTGCAAGTATCATTGGAGCCTTCAGTCCATGACTGCTACTAGTTGAAACTGTACTATGGCTAAGGAGTACAGTTGTAGGACGTGAAGACACTGGAGCATGCCTAGCCACAGTGCATGTTGTGACACTGACAGCGAGCAAGAGTGTGCTCTCAACTTGGCACTGACATGACGTCATGTCTAATTGTGTATGACAACATCATGACAAGCTTCACAGGGTTGTCACAAATCAGTCAGGCCAACTACTTTAGCGAACAAAAAATTAATAATATGAAGCCACCTATTAAAGTCTTTGAGGAGGTTTGGGACAAAAAAAAAGTTACTGCTTGGCCCAGTCATGCCAGTCTTCATACTCGGTGTAAGATACAGCCTGAAGATCGGGTGCCGAAGAACGCAGGGGCTCAAGGCACCGCCTAGCATTGTTCTAAAAATGTTGAAATGTTAGTCGTTTTGTTCTTCTTCCTCGATCATGAAGAGCATCACACAGGCACATGGAAAACATGTAGAAATTGGTACATGTGTTCTTAAACCTGAAAATCTAGCCTGAATTGTTCTTAAATCTGAAAATCTAGCCTGAATTGTTCTTAAATCTGGGCCGTACATGATTGTGTACAGACTGTACAGCATAGTAAATTTATGACTGTCCTGACACGAATCCGCGATTCGTGTTTCGACTACTTTTCCGAACGAAAAATGCGAAAGTTCACAATCCAGTTCGCGAACCGAAAAAGTGTTTGCGAACTCGAACGCGAAATTCGTGATGCTAAACCTCCGTAGTATTAAATGTGGTCTATACAATTCTTTGCAGGTCCGGTTACATACATGCTTGATTTACTGCAGTCAATACTTACTCTATTTTGTTAGCACCGAACCCATGCTCTGCAAAGGCAAGGCACAACGTGGACATAGCACCCGCTACGACTGGTACGACCATGGCCGTATCACTTTTCGAAAAGTGTGGTCCGTCTGGAACGTGCAAAACCGTAATTAAAAAATCGGGACCCGTCAGATCTTTGGATTTTGTTTGAGTTTGAATCATACTCGACTCAACACGACTATTAGGTACACTTGGTTCACGGCAACTAGTTTTCTGCACGTGAACCATAACATTCTATGACTAAAAATTAGTAAAAGATGTGCCGAAAGTACCCAGAACAGGATTTTGTCTTTTTTACAAAATTTTCCAGGGGAGGACCCCGCACCCCCCCCCCCCCCCCCTTCACAGCCAGCTCCGACCTTTGGCCGTACCAGTTCCCAAGCCCCCTCCTACGCCTCTGGTTGTGAGCCGGGGAGGTGTTGGTATCATTGTATCCCAGACTAGGTTCGTTACTACATGTATATCAGGTGCTGAGTCTGTCTGTCCTCTCTTCCAGGTATCATGCAGCTTGGTATCCCATGGGGACATGCAGCCTTTGAAGGTGCAGCAGCACCGTGCGAGGCATTCTTGGCAGGTCCTGTGCAAGACCGGATTCACAGACAAGGGACTATGACGGAGCGTGGTCCTATTGCACAGCCAACTTCGGTATGTAACGCACTATTCACAATATCACATTCTGCAATGCGACGTGCGCCATAAGCCACTTGTAACAAGATGCTTGTCGCATATAATCACAGCGGGTCGTTGTGGCAGAAGTTGACCAAGGTTCACTGTACTTTTTCGACTTTGATGAAGCCACAAGAACTTGCAAATATATCCTTCATCCTTTGAATCTATTTCATTTGTATTTGCAATTCTTTTGCCTCGTGCGTTGCGGAACAGTCACGCAAAGAAACCGAGAAGGGTGTGTTGGTGTGCCGACCAAATTTACCACTTGACACAGTCTGTGCCACGGCTCTGGTAATCACTGGCGTACAATGTTCACATGCCACTTTTTGGTACAAACTGCACTGGTTGACATACCCACAGTGCGTGGATGGTGGCTTGTAATGTTCCTTAAAGTGTTTGTTGGTGACTGGAAGGATGCTCTACAAGGCTGGAAATTGAAATGGGGTCCGTGCGTATGCCTCTGGGGAGTAGCATGAGGCAGATATAGAGAGAATACAAACAGGCCATTACCCCATATTTCAACGTATTGCTGTTCTGTATGTTTGTTCACGTACAGGCGGATAATGGTATTGGTCAGCTGCAGGCATTACAAGAAGTACGTGAAAGACACAGACAGGCACGTACAGCATCTCAGAATCAAATTGGAGACGAAGAGGCTGGACGGAACTGGAGGGCAAGGGGCAATCATGGTCTCCTTGCATGCCAGACAGGTGAAGGGCAGCATGCATTGGGTCGCCGTCGCACCATTGTACAGCCGGGCTCTGACATGCAAGCGATTGGCAACTTTCAAGCTGAACAGGCAGCTGGGATTGACACTGGTTCCCTGAATTGCGAAAATCGCGTGTCTCCCGCTTTCTTCGGTTCTGAAACCAACATGCAAGACAGATCTGCTTGCGGTAGCAATGATCGTATTCGAACCGACCGTGCCTATTCAACAGCAGAGTTGGTTGTACCCGGCATAAGCCCATCCTCGTCCAGCATTGATAAACAGTCCCGTGCTGCTGCTGCTGCTTCCAGTCCTGTTTCTCGAATCGCTTCTGCAGATGATGCGCCAGTTGAAAATGGTGACACTTCTACAGCAGCTGCAAATCACAGCTCTGCACAATCCACCAATGAAGAGCAGCACTTGAGCCAAGAGGATGCAGGACGCATAAGGGGAGACAGGGTAGCTGCTAATCACCAGGCTGCTGCATCTTCTAGCACTCAGTCTACCAATGCCCTACAAAGACATGCTAGACACATCAGCGTAGCTTCAGGACAATCAAGTCGGTCTGCTACGAGTAATCGTCCACCTCCTTGTCCTAGCAATCCTGTACCGCATCGCAATCCCTTGCTTTCTCGTCATCCTCTACTTGATCAGCAACCTGTACGTGCTCGTAATTCTCCGCCTCCTCGCGATCGTCCACCTCCTGGTAGTCCTCCTCCTCCAGCTCATGGTGTTGGTGGTCAAGTTCCAATTGCTATGGCAGCACCTGCACACATTGGCACAAGTGCCCAGGGACAGCCTGCACCCGTAGGTGCAGCATCTATGCAATATCAACTTGAAGAAGGACAGGTAATGTATGCGGCAATAACCGGGGCCCCTAGTTTTGTGTGTAACCACCTGGGCCCGCCTAATAACTGGAGTTTCCTTTGCCCAGTTCTCTGCAAATTTGCAAACGCAGCACAAGATTAAAGTGCCAGATCCCTTCCATGATGTTGTACATCTGCTTTTGCCAAGTGGCTTTGTGAATCTGGTGCATATTGCGGTCGTCGGTTTGTACCATAAGCGTGGCATTTATCATCTGCAAGCGGTATAGCATTTAGTGGCAGCAGTTTGAACTGGCTTTGCCAATGTACGATGTGGTGTTCTTTTATGCTCGGTATACTGATCTGAGCTGATGAATTTTGACTGAAGTTCGGATGTGGTCCATTCTTGTAAACATAAGTTTTTCTGTGGCTTGTATGCGAATGGAGTGCCACCATGTGGCAAACTATGGCATTCCGATTGCATGTACCAGAACATTTATTTGGATTTGGATTCGGGTTGCTTCTTGTCTTTAAGGGACCGCCTGCACCGGGAGGAAGGGATGGTGTGACGCGCAAGTCGCTTGCTCCTGCATACCACCGCTTGCCAGGTCAGTCTCATTACAGGTCTGATTGTCAATGTCATCTGTGTTGCAACGCGGCAGTGCATGTGTGCTCATGACTCCTGTATGTGTGCATGTGGACATGTAGATGCACACTCATATTATACATACCGATGTCACTGTTTCATGCATATCTGTCTGTGTGTTTCAACTCTGTCACCTTGCATTGTGTATGAGCTGTTGGTTGAATGCCTCGAAAGTAATAGCGGATGAAGTATGCGATGTGAGTGCTTGAACAATTGGCTGTGGGAAAGCTTCTTTTGGCTGCAAGTTTGGCTGCAAGTTTAAGCAAGTGTCGTGGCATCCCTGTGCACAGTGACTCACCGGTCCCAGAAGTTAATACGAGCGGCGAAAATTTAGAGGGGAAGTTCACCCTAAAATGAAAACTTCATAATGTGTACTCAAGTAAGACAAAATGCACTGATTTCAATGGTGATGGTCCCAGGGTGATCGGAGCAGCCGTTCCCGAGCTATAACAGCGTGATGTTTTCACTAAATTTGGTGACATCATGATGATGTCATTAACTTGCCAAGAAGAGGCCAGAGCTGTCATGTCAGAGAGATAGACTTTGTATAGGAGTAGATGGGGAATAACCAGTTTCTTTCTTGTTTCTCTGGAACAACGAACTTCTTACCAGAATTTTTTCCAGTCGAGATACCGGTAGGGTGCCATATGTCCCAAACCGAAGTTTGAAAAACATTTGACTTCTTTGGGACAATGCAGAGCCGAAATACTGCTGCTTCCCCGTCTACACCCATACAAAGTCTATGTCTCTGACGTTATTCATCCGGCCTAGTCTGGGCAAGTTAATGACACTATCATGATGTACGTCGAGCTGATATAACTTGTGACCCGGGAACGGCTGCTCCGATCAACCTGGGACCTTCATCATTGGAATCAGCGCTTTTTCGCTACAGGTTGTGACGTTTTCATTAAAAGGGTAAACTTCCCCTTTAATAGACGTGTGTGGCTGTCTTCACGATAAGCTAAGCACTACCCAGGGCCTAGGGGCCAACCGGTTATAGCTGGCTTGGTCTAAGTTCAACTCTGCACGATCAACAGACAAAGACTGTTAGTTTCACGTCGTGAGTGGTCGCTGCGAATCCAAGCTCGAAGTAAAACTGAGAGCTGAGACTGAGTCCTTGACTTTAGCCGCTGATGCGTCGTCTACATGATTGTGGACAGAGTCAGCCACATACTGGTACGCGACAATAGCACGGATGTCCTCATTATCGATCTGAACCGAACGTCCATTCTTGCGCATCAGGTGGTGCATGCCTCAACTAGTCCATGCCTTCCAGTGGAGAATACATGTCACGTACTCTCACAGTAGCTGCACAACTGGCTCATAGTCGCGGCTCAGGTAGAATGCACCCATCTCGTGAGCGGCGTCCCAATATTTCCACGTATACGCCCTGCATCTGATCTGCTCATTCTCCAAGAGAGTGACTGCATGTCCTTGCTTGTGCATCTTGATTGCAATGTGTGGACACCAGCCGGTCCAGCGCCAGTGCGTTCTACCTTGTCTCCTGGTCTTGCGCACCATCTGACAATGTATCAACAGGATACTGATAATGCCTTTCTTCATGTAGTATTGCCGGGTAAGCGACAGACCATCATGCAGGGCAGTGGACATTGCCGAGCGGGAAAAAATCGCATGCACGTTCTCCGCGCTTGACTAGTGCTTGGCAGTCAACTGCAGGCATCGTCGAGGAAGCCGCTATTGCACTCTTCTCTAGCCATTCCGACATCATCTCCCTCCTAGTCTGTATCCGACGTGCTGTACTGCGTCTCATCGCTGCTGTCCACATACACTAGATCCGTCATAGATCCGTCACAGTCTATCTTGTGTAGCCAAGATACCTCCAAATGTAGTTCTCAAACATATGATGAAGAAAATGCTTAGTATCCTCCTTCCAGGAGGCTTCTTTGGGTCAAAAACCAAATTTTTTTACCATTTTTTTGCCGAAAATCAAGAAATTGTACACTCACTAAATACACCAGAATACCTCTTATATGCCTGGTGACCCTACCTAAAAACTATACTAAATTGAAGAAGAGACATCACTCCACCATTCTATGCATAAAAAACAGGGTGTCCATGGACCTTTCATAATAAAATCATAATAAAAAGAAACAATTGTCCTGGCTGCAGCGGTAACAGTGCCAGAGTATTTGTCCCCCGCAGCAGCTTCGGGTAGCTAGGCGCCTGGTCCCGAATTGTGCCAATGTGTGCAGGTGCTGCCACAGCAATTGGAACGCGACCACCAACACCATGAGCAGAAGAGGAGGATTACTGTGCGGACGTGCAGGTTTGGAAGGAGGTGGAGGACTCGGCGGACGTACAGGTTTAAAAAACAAGAAGACAATCCTGAGAAGGTGCCTGTTTACGGGGACATACAGGTTGTTGATCAAGTAGAGGATTGCTAGGAAGTACAGGGTTGCTAGGAGGTGTAAGATTACTCGTAGCAGGCTGACTTGATTGTCCTGAAGCTCCGCTGATATGATTAGCATGTCTTTGTAGGGCATTGGTAGACTGAGTGCTAGAAGATGCAGCCGCCTGGCGATTAGCTCGGCTCCAATCCTGTGTGGCTCCAGGCAATTTGTATACTTGGCGAGTTGGACATCATTCAGAGCTGCAAGTACAACGGCTTTTCGTGCCATGAACTCCATTGCACTTAGCTTTCTCCAAGGATCGGCTACACCCAGGTGCCGATATCCATCTGAGACCATCATCATCTGCGATGAGGGTGTTTGTTCGGCTACATTGCCAGGCACAAGAGTTTTACAAGAGCTAAAAAAATCTGATCGTATGTGGCCAACTCTGTCCATAACTATATAGAAAACATGCCAGCGGCTTTAGTGAAAGACTCAGCTCTCAGCTCTCAGTCTCAGTTTTACTTGGAGCTCGGATTTGCACGGATTACTCGCAACTAACAGTCTTTGTCTGTTGATCGTGTAGGGTTGAGCTTAGACCAAGCCAGCTATACTGGTTGTCCCCTGGGTAGTGCTGGGCTCGCTGTGAAGACGGCCACACGTCTATTCATTTGCCGCCGTAATGACATCTGGGTCCGGTCACGGTGCGCAGGGATGCGGCACAAGCAGTTGATACGGTACAGTTTCTTGCTGCTCTCACTGCTAAGGCCGTGCTGATGAAATACTGCGAGCATTGGTGTATTGGTGTACTGCATATTATTGTTTTGTTATGCTGCAGTGGGATCACAACGCAATGGTGTCGGCGGGAAGAAACCGGTTGGTGGAGAGTTATTAGTAGTTACCTAGGATGCATTCTGGTTGTGAGTGGACAGTCACTGATTGGCTTGGGGAGGGGGGGGGGGGGGGGGATATAGCTGGGACATAAGCAGTTCTACGTGTGCATAGTAGGATTGCTAACATACGTGCTGATGCATAGTGTTCTATAGTGGTGGTGTTTATCGCCTGTGTAATGCAGTACACTGATATACTGGCAAGCGCACATGACACCAATGCACTGATACTAAAGTCTTGGTGTATACCCATGGCTTGTTAGAACACTAATTCAGTGATTCTACTTGACTATTTCCAACATTATGTTCAATTGTGTTCTTCCATGCTGGCTCAAATTTGCCTCCTCTCTCCGCATCGTACTACGTAGTGGCCTCTACATAGTTTATGCTCTGACTTCTGTAATGGACCGCCATATCTACACGCTACTCTAGCCATTAGTGCCCAGTCTCGAATAGTGCCCCTCCGGGGGGCAATGAAAGAATAAATCCCCTCTTCGATATTGGCTTGTAATCAACCACACGTGCAAGCTTGGTATTTCTTTGCTCGTGTTCTTGCCCTTGTCGTTGCACTGGCGCTTTTGTCACCAAAATCACAGTTCTTATGTCGAACTGAATAATGTCTTTGTTTCGGGTAACATAGCCAGAATTTCAGCGGTCGGTCGTGTTTCCTTTTCATTTCCAGATATGATTTATGCATACTGGTGGTGTCAAAAACATCTGCAGACCATAGCCAACCAGCTGAAAAAGATAAAGTGATGTGGTAGCCCTTCACGATCGTGATGCCAGACCCTACAAACACAATTTGGGTATAAACTATAAATGCTGCACTTTGCTCAAAGAACGTTCCCGAAAGATCATGCATCCACGCAAGTAAATATCGCGTGCACATCAAACAAAATTTCAGTCGGTGCTCAAAAACGCAGTCAACCGGGTTACCTGAAAGTTGAAGGCGGGCTGAAACAAAATACTTTTTCGGTTTGCCTTATAGACATTCTTTTCAGTGGAGTCGTGCTTCTCTTCTATTTTCAGCAGTACAAATTTGCAGATACTGATTGTTCAGACTCGTTCTTCTTGCTTTTGTGTATGCTGGAGGACATAAGTGTCCCAGCATTGAATGATATTGAATAGTTTAATATTCAACATATTTCCCTGTTTGTGATGGACTTAAAAAATAAAAAAAGAGTTCCCCAGAGGCACTAGCGAGTTTGGTACATTGTACACAATTTCCCATTGCCTCTGCAGCGATATCTTACTGCAGCAGTGTTATCTCGTGCTCCTTGCTCACGCTATGCGACATCTGCAGGGTGTGACTGCGCCGGAAGTCTCTTCAACAGAGAGATCCGAGGCATCATTGTTTGGATTGTCAGAGTCATTGCCGGCCTCGTTACAACGCAGCGGCTCACCATCACCATCAGCAGCAGCGGCGGCGGCAGCCACCTTTCAAGCTGGAGGACGATTGAATGTGAGTGCCAGATTTAATGATAGCTTGCATGCTGTCCTACCAGTAGGACCCAAGAAATCACTCCGTGAAAGTGGTTTTGGTTGAGAATTTTCTCAAAAAAAAGTTGAGATGAGATCTTTGTAAGGCAAAGAAATAGCGCAAAATGCAAGATTAGGAAGGTTTCGCTCTACGTAATTACGTATGAAAATCCGTATGTCGTACGCGCCGGGGAGCGAGGGCAGCTTTCATACGTAAATCTCTCTACGGATTTCCGTAGGAAAGCTCTTTCCTACGTTGGGTCCTCCGTAGGACTTTTTGAAATATTTTTTCGCTTTTTTCCGCATTTGTCCGTGGCAACATTCAAGCCGCGCGAAACACAAGGTACACACACCGTACACCATGTGCAAAATAAGATGGAAAACGCGGTTTCGGCTCATGGTGCATGCAGTGGGCGCATGCAGCCAACGCGTCTCCAAAGCCACAACGCATGTTTAGCAGTCGTGGATAAATCACGTAGAGCGAAACCCAACAGCTCTGATTTTTACGTATGAAAATTCCGTGCAGTTCATACGTTATTTTCATACGTAATTCCGTAGAGCGAAACCTCCCTAATATGTCCAGTGCATTGCATATGTACAATTTTATCAATTGTCAAAATGGCAGTGCATGCTCCTGTCACAGCACTGGCAGCACTGGCAACTATGTCCAAAGTGAATTTTGACCACGGCACATATAGTGAGAACCTAATGTCTTTCTTAGTCTGCCATGGCAGTGAAGCGCGAAATTCCATACTCCGTTTCCATGATTTCCATGGGTTGTTTCCATGGTATTTCGCAATATGCCTTGTACGATCACGTCTAAATTTTGTGTACTCCTTGCATGCATGCAAGCTATCATTAAATCTGGCACTCACATTAGCCCCTTAGCACTAGTTTAGGGCCAGGTTTTGGGTCAATTTTAGAACAGAGGCCGTGCAGCACGTCTGTGTATGATGGTCCTACCGGTAGGTCCTACCGGTAACTGTTAAGACCGAGGTCTATGTAAAACTATCATTAATAATTATGATCCCGTCATGCCCAAGCGTGCTTTCTAGTTCTATGTGATTAGATGAATCTGAACTTTTGGTAACATCCTAAGAGTCATTTTGCAGCCAAATCAATGTGCAACTACGGTTGCAGTGAGGGCACTCTCAACTGACGTAGCTCTTTACATTCATTGTATGCCAAATAATTGCCGGCTTTTTATCTCTTTAACTAAAACAATATTGTGTCATTGTGTGATGCTGCAGCCAGCAGAGCGGTCACTGCCAGCAAGTACATCACGCCGGTCTACTTTCCGAGGCTCAGTTGGAACATCCCGCCATTCACACTCACCAGCACCGCCACCACTGGCGCAACAACCAGCAGGTGCAGGTACATCCACACACTTTGTGGAACCTGCTGGCGAAAGAGAAGTTCGTGAAAATCCAGGAGCTTCCAGACCAGCAGAGCATTCTGATGGTACAGCAGCGGACTCACCTCAATCACAGGCTCATGCCCAGGACCCTGTGTCCGGAGCAAGTCAGCCTGCATGTGACGGTATAACAGCTGCAGAGGGCGCAACCACTATGGGTGCCAGCGCCGCAGAGGATGCTACGGCGTCAGAGCGTGAAACAGCCCCAGAGGATGCAACGATGGCAGACGGTGCAAGCGCCCCAGAGGATGCTACGGCGTCAGAGGGTGCAATGGCATCAGAGTGTACAACAGCGAGGGTGCCTGGCCGAGATGAACCGGGTTGGGATGGTCGCACTTTGCAGATGCCTTGGCCAAGTTATTGTAAGTAACGCTATGTGTGCTTTTTATTAGAATTTGCTATCGGAGTGAGAATGGTAGTATGTACCGTACTGGCAATATATGTTGCCGCGTAACGCGTAACGCAGGGGGGTGCGGCGTAACGCGCGACCAGGCTAGTGCGACAAATTTTCGTTGAGTTCGTAACGCGCGTCCGGCGGGGTGCGGCGATCTTTTCATTGCAGTTTGCACTGCACAAGAAAAAATGATGCGGCAAAAGCAAAAAAATGATGCGGCAATAGCAAAAAAAGTGATGCGGCAATAGCAAAAAAAGGACTGCGGCAATATAGAAACTAATGTAACGGCTCCTGTGCGACTTTGCATGTAACGCCCTGCGTGCGGCAAACAAGTGCCAATGTAACGCTTCATGGCCTCACTGCGGCAACATATATTGCCAGTACGGTATATAGACTTAAGACCAGGTTCAAGTCCTGCCTGGAAGCGTAAGGATTTTTTCCAACTGTGCTGCGACCCACAGTTAATTGGGAACTCGTGGCCTGGCATGAGTAAAACATGGATGTGGCAAATGGGATTTAGGCCTTTGGCCTATGGTTGGTGGATCTGATCTATCCTCCCCCACCGTTTAGGAGCCGCATTTGACGCCTGATCATGGAGTGGTGGCGTCCCACGGAAGCGGAAAGTTGGTTCTAGACCAGGGAGTTGTACGACTCCTTTTTCTTGACCTGCCCGGTACGCGAACCCGTCGAATTTTTTAAATTTTTTTATAGACTTAAAAAGGATTCTACCTGTATCCCATTGTTTTGAGCCCTGGCCACATTGTGCTGTAGAACGTAGGGTCTAATGAGATTTGCTTGTTTCCTTTTCCCATGCCACCTCAGCTGGAGCAAAATTCCGCAAGGCATACACTCTTCCGGAGCATGGCGTTGACGATGTAAGTTTTGGCTTATCCAGTCTGATGATAATCTGGTTGAGGTATTCTTTCGAGGAAACTGTGCATACGCCGGATACTGTAAAACATGTTGTTACAATGAGCTGCAGATTCAACGATTGTCCAAAACTCATAATGTCACTAGTTAAAATGTTCGATTTACTTCCTCGTTATATTTACATGTCTTGCGGTAGTTTAAAGTTGCTAGGGACTGTTGCTAGGGAGTTAGTATTTTGTGGCCAGACGTCACCAGTAGAGCTATGGCAATTCTGGATCAGCTGTTACCCGCAATGTACAATTGTCACATGTTCAAAGTAGAAGTTGGTTTGCGCACTGAAGATGTGTTAGAGCTAGGTCTCAGGTCATTGAATGTCTCAGCAGCCTGTCAGTTTTGTGCCATGTTATCGCACTTTCTGGCTGCTTGTTAACTTGTAACAGTCGTGGATAGTTGCTTCATAACTCGATTCCATGTGTTTTACTTCTATTCAAGTTACAACCACCTACTGTTGTCTTATACAAGCATATACTGTAATATTATCTTATTATGGAATGTGAACCATCTTTTACAGGGCAAGGCCGTGATGTATCGTACTTGCCGTGACATTAAACCTATGAAGACCACCGTCCTCCTCCATCAGAGGCCACTGGGAAACCTGGAAGCCCCTCCTTTTCGGAGCAGTGTAGACGGCCATCCGGTGTGCTTTCAGGATGGTTCAAAGGCAATCGTATTCCAATACGAGAAGGCAGGTAAGGTGGTCTTACATGGAGTGTTGCTGTCGGTAATGCAGTAATGGCAAGCTGGGTCTTACATGGAGTGTTGCTGTCGATGAGGCAGTAAATACCAGTAATGGCAAGCTACACACAAGTAGATGGCTCACCTTGGTCTCTTGGGCTGAAGCTGCAGGGCCGCTGCATGTGCATGTAGATATGTGATGCACAACACACTGATGTGGACAGAACGTCTGGCCACTTGCAAGTGCATGGTACGTTTGCATGCAATGTGTAGGACAACAGGGCCGTAGAGCTGCTCACCCTGCCTCACACAGATCTAGGACACTGAACAGGGCCGTAGAGCTGCTCACCCTGCCTCACACAGATCTAGGACACGAGACACATCATAGCCCCGTTCACATGAAGGCGCAGTTTGCAATGAGCCAGCTGCCTGGCTATTCTTATTTCAAGGAGACAGGCACTGCACTGCACTGTAGCGTAAAACAACGTTCGTGACATTAGCAACATGAAGAACTGTATAGGTTCATTGGTCACGGAAGGGGGCTTTCCCTTGTTTGAATCTATTCCTGTACCGTGCTATCCAGAGTGTTGAGCATAGTTCTTGTCTGTTCTCTATGTAGCTATTGATGGTCAAGCCGATGTCCTGGCCATGCCGTTTCAACTGGAAGCCATGCCTCGAGCACGGTTCACTTCAGCCGCCTAAGCAAGTCTAATACTCGAATTGTGCCCACGCAGACGGTTATGACTGGGTTCCGCAGGATATGCGCAGTCATGTCTGCTGTGTTTCGACGTGAGCTGCAGGTCACTCGCGTTGTTTTTCGACGCGCGAGCCAAATTACGTGAGCTGAACTTTCGCGTGACGTCAGAAATAACGAGCATCGACATGTCCACGAACTTGAGCACGTCTTGAGCAACTGCCACTTGAATTGCACTGGTGTTTACTTAGCTGATGAAACTCAATAAATTATATCAGAGTCCCCAGTGTCCATACTGTCTTGTCGTGTGGCCGCTTGGCACCATATGAACAGCGTGATGGCCGTTTGGCAATGCCGAAGAGCAAACCATGCTGGTGATCACATGATCTAGCTTAGAAATACTTAATTAGGATTGACTCGGATGGAGAGCCAATGACTAAGTCATTTTTTGGAAGAATTTTCACCCGCACAGTCACCCTGCAGATATAATTATACATATTTTTTAATATGGAGTGATTTTGCTGTAGGATTTGCCACTTCAGCCGAAAACTGATTATGCGCTTCTGAACTGCATTGTCTTTGAGCACTTTTCAATGGAATTTTTTACTGAGCACTGATACATATTTTGCAGATATGTTGCTTGAGTGACTTTCTCCTGCTTCGGTATACTATAAGGCTTTTTTTATCTTGAGATTTGATCTACCACTCTTTTCTGGTTTCCGACAAGAGCCCTACTTACACTAAATCACAGCGTATACTGATTCTGACAGCAACTCCACACTCTGAACTATGCGAATAAGTTGAAATAACAGTATAGCACTGTATTTTGCCTGGCAATTGTAGCAAGAACAAGTGTGTGTGTGTGTGTGGGGGGGGGGGGGGGGGGGCATGCCCTTTCCACTGGTATTACATTTACCTGCTAGTGTGCATGCCTGTGTATTGTATACACAGTCAGTACAGTCAGTACTGTTGGGTGCTGAAGAACGAACACTAACAGGCTTGCGTGACAGCATACCAATGCCTACCAATGTCTATAACACTGATAAAAATAGGAACGGCCTATTGTAGGCTACGAGGTTGACCGGCAGTGCTGTAGTCATGCATTGGGATGTGTGTGTGTGTGTGTGGGGGTGTGGGTGTGCGTGTGCATGTCTAGCGGAAGATGAACTTGTGGAGCTTGCCCATTCCTTTATCACAGAGGTCGTGGAGGCTGGAGATGGAGGCAAACCCAAGAACTGGCCCCACGATTCAGCCTATTCTGTATCCAAGACACTGATGATAGCCCTAGCGAAAGCGCAGGCACGTGATATGGCTAGTCAGCGTCCAGGCGACAAGATCTGCATCAATGCTTGCTGCCCTGGTTTTGTCGCAACAGACATGTCTTCGCACAAAGGTCCTTTGACTCCAGACCAGGGTGCAGAAACCCCTGTTATGTTATCCCTCCTCCCAGATGCCAGTCCAACTGGGGAACTTTACTACCTGAAGGAAGTATTTGAGTGGTAAGACTATGGTAATGATGCGGAAAGCGTGTGTTAGGCTGTGTTTACATGAGGCGTTTCAACCCGGGTTGAGTTCGACCCGGGTCAGATTTCAACCCGCCATGTGCACAAAATGAATGGCGCGTTTACATGACGCATTGCGCTTGACCCGGGTTGAAATTTCGCCCCGGGTTGATTTCAACCCTCCCCCCAAGGGGAGGGTTGAAATCAACCCGGGTCAAGAAAATCGTACAAACGTACTTCTGTGCGTATCTCGCGCCAGGTTTGAACGGCACTGCACATGCAAATTTCGCGCGAACAGATTCACGTGACTATACGGAACTGTAGATTCGTGTAGAAGTGGACTTTTGGCGGCATATCAGTATTTGACCCGGGTCAACTGTCTTCATGTAAACGCTCACCTCTTTTGTCTATCGTACAGACTTTCAACCCGGGCTGAACTCGACCCGGGTTGAAATTTCTCATGTAAACACAGCCCTAGTCTCCTGTTCACTGGCTTAAAGTGCGCGCGCGCGCGCGCGTGTGTGTGTGCGCGCGTATGTGAGTTTTTAGTCGAACGGCGTTGAGTCTTGACCATTAAAGTGGCGATGGTGTTTCCACCCTATTGTGTTCACTTTGATTGCTTTATTTTATTTTATCATACAGATTATTATACATTATACATATACATGACTGTACCTACAAGTATTTGTAAAATACAGGCCACATTATTGTATAGGCATAATTTGGGTTCTAGGCAAAGGAGAATAGGAGTGTACACCACTTTCCTACACACTTTTGGGTTTCCTTCCTCGTCAAGGGAAATGGCCCGCCGCCCTTTGGCCGGGTTTCGGAGCCAGTGTCTGCTCCAGAGCCGGGTGAGCGGCCCGGTTTGGCCAGGTATACATGTACCTGGACCCGTTTGGAAAAGGAAGGTCACGTGTGACCCGGGTGGGCGTCATGTCGACTACTATAAACTATAGTACTGTTTTTGTATACACTGCTTCTTCAAGGGGATACGTATTGAATATTGATATGACAGGCTGTAGGCAAGTGCAAGCGCGCCCTCAGCCATACATGTGCATGTACACGTAGTGTCCAGTACGCTTGTGCATCAGGGAGTCCTACCGGCAAATTTTGTTTACGGCTCCCTGATGAGTACTGATGTACAGGTACAATGTACTAGTAATAGTTAGCCACACTTGAACGCAGGGCTTTAACGTGCCTGGCTCTGACCTGGTTGCAAGAGTTGTGCCGGGTACATGTACACGTATACCCGATTGGTTTGAAATCCTAGAGCAGACACCGGGAACCTCATGATAAAGCGCGGTGAAATTTCATTGCACACCTGGATGGGCCGTGTTTAATGATAGCTTTGCATGATGTAGTGCATGCATGACAAAACTTGAAACAGGCTGCGTTTTTTAACGGATATCGAAAATTCGTTGCAACCCAAATGACTGGTCAGTTCTGTTTCACTACAGTAGAGTCGCGTGCCGAAGAATGTTGTTTCCTAGGGGTTAGCCTCGGGGACGTTCTGATTTTTCAGCAATCTGGCTGCGTTCTTCTAGAATGTTCAAAGGCTTAGAAACAATTCGTGCCGCGTATGTATCCCACAAGATGCCAGAAAACCAACACTGCCGTTCTTAGCTCGAGGCTGTGGCGTTCTTAGTATTTCAGGCCGGACGATTGTGTGCTCCACGTTCTTAGGCGTGCGACTCTACTGTAGTTTATCGCTCTCTTAGTGTTGATTGAACTTGATTCCCATAGATTTTTGCTATGCTTAATTAATCAAATAACCCTGCATAATGTCACTCCTTTCTAATAGGGCTATAATGACTGCCCATACCGGTATTTGACTCCTTTATGGATTGAACACATCATGCTTCGGCTAGTCATGATACCGGTAAATCTAAACCTTTTATTTCCTATATTGACGTCACACTCAGTCAATAGGGAGGTTTCGCTCTACGTAATTACGTATGAAAATCCGTATGTCATACACACCAGGGAGCGAGGGCAACTTTCATACGTAAATCTCTCTGCGGATTTCTGTAGGAAAGCTCTTTCCTACGTTGGGTCCTCCGTAGGACTTTTTGAAATACTTTTTGGCATTTTCCGCATTTGTCCATTGCAACGTTCAAGCCGCGCGAAACACAAGGTACACACACCGTACACCACGTGCAAAATAAAATGCCGGGAAAACGCGGTTTCGGTTCATGGTGCATGCGGTGGGCGCATGCAGCCAACGCATCTCCAAAGCAACAACGCATGTTTAGCAGTCGTGGAGAAATCACGTAGAACGAAACCCAACAGGCAAACAGCTCTGATTTTTACGTATGAAAATTCCGTGCAGTTCCTACGTTATTTTCATAAGTAATTCCGTAGAGCGAAACCTCCCTTGTACTAGATACCTAATGTCAAGAGTTCATAAGTAATTAGTTACTCAATCTGCGGACAGCATGCTGTTTCGTTCTTTTTGAACTCATCAGCGCAGCACAGAGGAAATGAGGCAGAACCTGATAGCAACGGAAATAAAAATTTCCAATCAGGCCCGAACGTACCTTGCCAGAGTGCTCAAACTGACAAGTCAGTGAGCTCTGCAAGTAATTAGTTATGAACTCTTGCTAATATTGTCAGTAGAGTCGTAGATCTACGCCCAAGAACGTTGTTTTCAAGGAGTTATTAGCCTGGGACGTTTTTATTTTTTCAGCAATCTGGCTGCGTTCTTATCCATGACGTAGTTCAGACAAAATAATAATATCCACCTAGTACCTAGTACTCGTACCAGCTCACTGATGGAAGTAATTCTTATCCAAACCGTAAAATACCTTATTTTTTACGACTCCCCAAAAGTCTCATTGAGCTGAGAGAGAAGAAGGAGAGAGAAGAGCGTTTGGTTGGTCACGAATCGCTGAGGGCACGAGTACATAAACCTTTATGTACTCTTGCTGAGGGTCATTCTCGCTTGTTTCTTTTGAATAGTTGGTCCCATTCGAGCATAGGAATCACTGACTCTCTTTGGAGAATGCTCATTCCACCTCACGTGCTAGAATGAGCATTCTCCAGGCCCGTCGCACCGACTTTGGAGGTGGGGCGACCACGGAAGGGGGGTCCGGGGGTCCCCTCTGGAAAAATTTCAAAAATAGAAGCCAATTGCAAGCATTTCCAGGTATTTGGTGCCATTTCAGTGTACGGTAACTACAATGAAAATCTTTTTGATTCTGCAACAAACGAAGAAGACGCTACGATCGGGGACAAACATTACCCTCTCCCGGGAAAAAAATTCAAAAATTGAAGCCAATTGCAAGCATTTCCAGGCATTTGGTGCCATTTCAGTGTAACTGCAATAAAAGACTTTTTTCTGCAACAAACCACGATCGGGGACAAGGATTTGTCACGTTTGCGCTAAGCTGCGATCATGCATTGTGCTTTGTTGTATACATGTAATCAAGAGTGCATAAACTGTTTATGGACTCTTGATGTAATGTGCTCCAAAAAAACAAAAAAAAACTACAACAAAAAACCGCCGAAAAAGTGGGGCGGCTGAGGCTGTGACGGCCTTGGATTCTCATTCTTTTTCCGGGATCGAAAGGGAGAGGCTGCCATGGGTGAGGTTTTCTCGCGGTCAGAGAACTTTCTGGTGGTCTTATCTAATCCCACTTCCCCGGAGAAATTTTCTAATGTCAACTTCAAGAGCAATCTGACTACATATGTTGATAGAGTGCCGAGTTACCATTCACGAAACAATGCAAACATCCGATACCTGTAGATCCTGCTTCTCATACCGCTGTACTGCGTCGAACATTCTTGAGTGCAGGCAACCAAGGAGTAAGTACAATACTCAGCAGGCAACAAAATAGCAGTGCACTGGAAGACCACGAAAATCATGCTGCGTTTTTTGAAATCCTACATAATAAATACATGACTTTGTACTGTACTTGAGAACAACTTTGTTCTGTACTCCGGCAGGGTAGATCTACTGGTGGTGGCATTGGGAACAAACTGGTGACTGGTGAACATTGGGAATGCTGCTTGCAGGCGGTAACGTAGTAACAACCAGGGAGCCCTACACAACAAGAAAGGTTGACAGGATCGCTTTTCTAATAGTAATAATACGTATGTGTAGGCTCCGCTCCTATCCCTGATAACAGGGATAACGACGACAAAGACAATTGCTTGCAGTTGAGGTACGAAGGACACAAGTGCAAGTATTCGTTGCACCCTGTACGAAATCCCGCGGACCCGCGTCGTGTACCATGGTGTACACACGAAGGTTCGAAAGTCTGCTGCCGCCAACTCCACACATGTATGCACAGTGGTCGTGGTGTGGTGGCATAATGTTGTACGAAGCTGTGGCGGCCCGAAGCTTGCACTCGTTGGTGAGTGGGGAATGGTTTTGGAGGTCACTCATCAACCTCAATGCAAAGGCTGGATTTTTCTTGGTGTCCGAAAGAAGGCCGTTGAAGAACACACGGCCCATCAAACTGCTGCACCAAAAAAGGTAAGGGCTGTGCTTGCCGGCCCTGTCACGATCGAAATTCTACTGAAGTCGATCAAATCCGTCCACCGTTCTTTGCCAATGTCCAGATATGACCTGCCTCAAATTACCAATGTCACGCCAGAGAATGTCCGCGTAAGTTTTCTGCTTTATTCGAACAGTCGTGTCTACAAAGCAGAGTGACTGTGCTCTTTACGTAATCACATCCAATCACGTCTGCGAACTTTCTTGGACCTTGAACTCGAAGGTCGGCAATGTTATGGAGCTCTTCTTGTCATATAAGGGTGCTTATGGAAAATCGTATGACCCCATACGCTTGTGCTTCCTTGTCTATTTCTCTTCACTTGTACTTTCCTCACCGAGCATATGACAGCATCCTTATAAGTTTAGTCCTGAGAGTTGTCAGGTCACACGAAACAGGCGGCGCCGTGACTTCTATTCGTTGCCCCCCTCAAACCCAAGTGTTTGTGCTCCAAATAGCCTACAAAAAAACTGTACATACCTACATATGTACATGCCGACTATCTTCTGTAGATCTACAGGTACATGAGATGTACTTATATTGACTGCAATGACATGCATGCAGTAGACTGTACATGTTTAATCATCCGAATCTTGTGAAAAAAAGTGTATGGTGTCCTGGATTAAAATTCGTGCTGCTGGCACTGGGGTTGCAAGGAGGTGACATGCTGTGAGCATCCCCAAGAACAATCTGTTCAAAGCGCCCTTACTTGCTCCACTAGTACACTCTGTATCGGCTATAGAGTTACAGCGTGTACGGATATCGGTCGGCTTCTATCCTGTTCTGTGATGGCAGAGTTTCAAATCATGTGACATGGTTCAAAAGGTTACGCTGGCGAACAGTGCCAAGTGGGGCCCGGCGTAATATGCCCGAAACTTTGCCGAAAATGCTTTTGGGAAATTCTCGTAAACCTTGCCGAAAATGCTCACTTGTTTGTAATCATCAGCACACGCCGTCAAAACCAGGGAGTCAGAAAATACCGGTATTTTACGACTCCCTGGTCAAAGCCATATTTTCAATTCATAAACTACTCAACAAGAAGCTAACCCACGGAATGCGGAAGTGACGTTCTTGTTTGGGAAGTTTTTCTTCTCTCAATTTTGATACACAACGGCCAAGTGCTCCGTTTCCTCCAAAATGCTGCATCACGAGCCCAAAGTGCTGGGTTCGCGGATTGTACCGAAAATGCTAAAAAAATGCCGGCATATTCGCGGGGGCCTAGCCAAGTGACCAGTAGTACAGTAGAGAGTTGAAACCAAAGCAGGGTTGCATTTAATATGGACTTTTGATACAACCCTGTATCTATCATGCGCAGGGTGCTAGTAATGTGTACGAGCTTGTCACGTGATATGAACGGTTCTGCTGTCAAATCGAATGACGGCATACCTGGAGTTGCACACCCTTAATGGTAGTGCACTTTGCCAGTCTTTGGGTGTTTTAAAAGGTACATGTAGCTGGAACCACCAGTTTGACCATGAAAATACTTTTACAGAAGAAGTGCTGTTTTCCCTGTTCTAAGTTGTTCTCTAGCATGCATGGACTATGGAAATGATATTCGTATGGGGGATAAACTTCGAGGCCCCATACGTAGAACAAAATGCATAAGTATCCCCATGCGTATACGAATATCATTTCCGTAGTCTATGCATGCTAGAGAACAACTTAGTTAAGTGATAACGGAATGAAAGCCCAGGAGCCCTCGCTATGCTTTGTTTTACCTAGGTCATCACCGACATGTGTGTTGGTCGAACTGATAGAAACGTGTTTGCAATACGATTATGGCACATGGTTTTGCGTTGCAAAGACGTTTCTATCAGTTTGAGTAACACGCAATGATCACCTAGGTAAAAACAAAGCATAGCGAGGGCACCTGGGCATTCAAGCGCTATCGTTCTTAATCTTTGTCGTTAAAAAATAATCTTTAGCTTATAAGCACACAGTCATAGGCAGTGATCGATTGGTTTAATCCCGATCCAGATTCCTCGGATTTGGATCCAAGCAACCCTCCGGCTGCCCCAGGAGCAGGGTTGACTGGATTCAACGGATCCATTTGTGCCAAGCATGACGTTTGCAAGTGTCTGGCTGGTAATCAATCATTGTTATACGCATTTAGTACACATTCACTTGGAAAAGCGTGGCACCATGCAGGTCAGTACGACGAATACGAACCTGGAGTAACTTTTCGAACATGGTTTTTCTACCTCAGCATGGTCACGGTAGGAGTGTGCTCCAAGTGTGATCGGTTGATCGTGAGGGACCCAATGGATCTGGATCCGGATCCGACCAAACGATCACAGTCATAGATACATAACTCGAAACTCCCAGACAGGTACATTCTACCAAGTAGTTACTCTATGGTGCTAGTCTATCAATTTTTTCATTTTTCAACACCACATGGATTTCGAACCCGCACTATCGCCCCGCATGCATTCGCTTTAGATATTTCTCATTCATACACATTCTACCAAGTTGCTCCGTGTTATGGTCCTGTCGTTGAAAGCACTATTTAACAGTGTGGCCAGCTTTCTTTTCCAGGCATGGCGCATCACGTGATGAAAGCCCGATGCCACACATACTCACACACACATACGAAAAAGTGGTGTGGATCCTGGCTAGCCTAAAGTAATGTCTTTTCCATAGCTTCGGGATAAAGATGACTGTGTACATATATAATTTCGATTGGCGTGGCAAAACTTTAGGGAAAATACTCCTTTCGCTAAAATTGCTAATTTTTTCAGTCATTGTATTGTCACATACTACAATTGTGGTCCGTGCTCTTATTGTTGCTGACACACCCTTGCCCCCGGGTGACCACCTTTGGAGATCTGGGCTTGAACATACGGTGTTCCTATTTTGGCACCGCAGTCTGAGGCCTCGGCGCGCGGCAGTTAACGTTAAGCCAGCATCTTGTGAGCACCCAGGACCATAATAATATTATGTTGACATCAGGGCACGATTTGATTCTGAAACGCATCTCAGGCAAAGAAAACTTCGCTTCCACGCATCAAAACGCCCAACATTGGGTGTTGGAAGCCGGGGCGGTAAGCCGGTTATCAGAATTTGCCGGGGTGTCCATGATGTCTTGTTTCCACTTGGTTCCTATGGCTTGGGGTGGCTGCGCTGGTGCAGTGACAGCTAGTCACTGCTGTAATTCCTGAAGTCCGGTCATTTTGCTTGCCCTTCCCAATACCGTACCAAGTTCATGATAAAGAGCCCTGAGGGGAGTTGTGGTTGGCAGCCCTTTTCGACCCAGTCCTTTTCAACCAGCCTTCTTGACCTGTTCTCTGGCGGCATTCATCATATTGGTGCGTTTTGCCTGCTGTTGTGTTTCGTGTTTGTGTGCAATACAGACAAGATAAAGGATTTTGCCGGGACTTCCTCCATGGTTCATGTGACCGAGTGCATTGCAGGTTTGTCCATGCCAGCATTGCAGAGTTGATGGTGATGGGGGAAGACGTTGGACGCCTCATCTTCTGCCGGGACTTTCAGGAAAATCGCTGCGACCGCGTCAACTGTCGCTTCTTGCACGCATCAAAAGATGACGAGGAATTCTTCCGACGCTACCAGACGCTGCCACAGTATCTGATGTACAGCCTTCCGGAGCATGTGCAGCAGCTATTCCGACGTGCGGCCCTGGCCCATCCTGTTGTCAATGTGCCTCAGATGGTCCCTCAAGTCTACTACCAGCCACAGACAGCTCAGACTCCTCTTCCATCTCTGCTGCATGTGCTGCAGGCACCGCTAGCCTTTATGCCAAACTTGCAACAGCAGTATGCCGGTATGCCAATGGGTGCTGCCATGGGCGGAGTGCAGCTGACACCTGCTGTTATGCCTGTAGCCGGTTCACCGCTAAATCCCTTTGGATATCCCTAGATGGAGCAACACACAGTGCATTGCTTCCATGTCATGCATCACAGAGTTCTTCGAGTCAGAAAAGGAGGAAACAGTCAACGGTCCGAACCACAGTACCAAACCAAATCGCTTTCCAGGTGAGCTAAGCCAGTCTCTTGCTTGCCCACCTGCCAAACTTAATATACAGTGATCAAAACGTTCATTTCCTAGTTGTCTACATGTAATGTGTGCTTCCCTGTGTGCATGCGTGCCTCAGGACAGCTAGCAACAGCTTGTCTCAATTGTACAGTCATGATGGCTTCAACAGACATTTACTTAGCGTCAGCACAAGAGAGCCTGTTATGGCTCCAATGTGAACAGTAAGATGCTCCCCCTCCCCATACACACACCTCTGACCTGTCTCTTGCCCGCCTGTCACTGTTCACAGCTTTGGCTTCCTTTCGTGCAGCTCTCTTCTCTTTAGGCCTTTCTCACTTGACCGGCATGCCGTTTTTTGCACTTCGCATATTGGTCATGTTTCCACCATCGGGGCCTTAGCATTGGTCTCGGTCAACAGCACGCATGTCTAGCCTACATGTGCATGGGTGTCGGTATACAGTGCATGGCTGGAATGCCTGTTACTGTCTTTCCCACTATCCCAGCCCCGTCCACACAGGCTTACATCACTCCTTTCCTCTCCGTTCTCCCTTTTTCTTGCTCTTCTTGCCCCAAGCTATATGGACCAATCAGCAGGTTGTCTGTTGACTGAGCACTACTGCCCACGTTGAGACGTGGCTGTTCACCACTTTGCGCACATGATTCCATGCACACAGACACACACACCCCCTAGCTTTCTTCATCCCAACTGCAGTGCTTCTCTTCATGGCTAAACTGATGGCTACCGCGGCAATGATCTGACCCGGTGCTGGTCCTCTGACTGGTTATGCCGACACTGACCATAAGCCTGCCTGCTCTGCAGGTTGCTGCTCAAATGAAATAATGTGCAGTCAAGGTTTACGCCATATACTTATCATCATCTTTCATAGCCCAGTCAATGTTTCAATTCCCTTTGCCTTAAAGTTTTACATCTACTTCTTTGCTTTGCATTTGACTTTGTAATGCTGATACACAGTAAGCTTTGATAATGTACACCTCGAATATTTGAAGTAGAATCCAGGACTTCTGGCTTATTGTTGTTGAGTGTGGTCCTGTCTCGACACATCATTGGAGTGACACAAAGCCTCGGAATAGCTACAGCCTACAGTCGGTCTTGATCAGGTACTGTACTAATCTCGGGTCTTCCTGAAATGAAGTTGGCGTTATGAATAAAATGAACAGGTCAGCCCACTTGAAGTCCGGGGCATTATCCAGTGTGAATCGGCGGCATCATGTGACAACATGTGTTTTGTTCAGTTTGCATTGGCAAGTGCTGCTTAGCAGCCAACCAACAATGGTGGACTCGGTGTGGAGTCACCAGTACTTGCACCAATGGTCAGTCCACGCAGGAGCCCTGGCCATGATGGACTCACTTGAAGAAACTCATTATTTCTGGCATGTTATAATGTAGGGGTGATCCGGGTAACCCGGGTACCCGTCTGTTTAGCTGCTGATCCGTTAGCAAACAAGTACCCGATAGTCGTGTAGGGTTGTAGGGTACAGTATTATAACTATAAGCTTGCTTGTACAGTTGTACAGTTCAGTGCGCAGTTTTGAGTGTGTTTTTCCTCGTTCAATCCTGCTGCATATCAAGGTATCCATTGTAGCTATGACAATTTCGACTGTTAGCATGTAGCGCAGTGATTGTGCACACTGTGCTTGTCGCGGTGTAGTGTACTTGCATGACTTCGCATATCCTCCTGGCATGAAATCCGGAAGGCTACTGTAGCAATTGTTGCCCGCAAATCTCTCTCCTATCAGAATGCCTGCAAAAGACATGTTGCGCTTACGATCACAAGCAAATGCAACGTTTTGGAAAAAGTATGGCGGATAAAGGGTACCCGATAACCCGCCCGTTAAGCCAGATACCCGTTTGTTACCTAATTAAAGGGTAACCGTTTCACCCCTATTATAATGTAACTTGACTGAGGCAGCGGCACTACTTGTAGACTGGTATCAAAAAAAAGAAACAGTGCCATGCAGTGTTATCATGCGAACGCAAATTTACCCATCAAGTTCCAAACTGTGACTCAAAATATATAACGTTTTAGGAATTTTGGGGCATGTACATGCTTTTAATATCATACGATACCAGGCTCGCTTCGGTGTACAGTCAACTTCGCGTATAAACGACACTCGGCGGGGCATCAAAAAGCTGTCCCTCCAGGAAACGATTCCGCGGCCGCGGTAAAACCACGGAATTCATGTGTTTTTTAATATCCCGCGGAATTCACAGTTTTCACTGCAGAATCGTGAAAAATCACGGTTTGGGGGCAATGCGAGCACGCGCTTCATGCACATGCACAGTGCAGTGTCGTGTTGCTATTTTGTTGCATTCAAAGTCGAGGGAGTTTTGCATTTTTTTTGTTTTGTTTTCGACCACTAAATTTTTATTGATACTTGTACATAGCATAGCCATGTCTTTTCGCCGGTGCAGCGCCGCAGAATTCACGCTATCCACCGCAGAATTTCAACTTTCTGTCCGCGGATTCCTGGAGGGACAGAAAAAGGTGCCACGGTCCTTATTCGCGAAGTGTCGTTATACCCGAAGTCTCATTATAATAATTACACTGAGTGGGATGGGACTTTGCTCTGGGTGTGCAAATTCTGTCCCTATTCGCGAATTGTCGTTATATACGCAGTCGTTATTAGCGAAGTTGACTGTACATGTATCTGATCAGGCTGATGGGCTGTTTAAAAATGTTGCAGTTGTGGCTTGGCAATACAATAATTATACTGAGGCGGAAGCACCCCAACATTCCTAGCGTGATATACCAAGTAAAAGAAGGGCAAGAGTCACTGATTACTACTACCGTACTTGTTGAAGAGTGCAAGGCAGATGAGTAATTATTTTTAAAGACAGAGTGCATCAAAATGTTTATGGACTTTTGATAAAGAGTAATACAATTATAAATAATAAAAATTAATGGTCCCTTTAATGGCTTTATGCATCTGACGGCTCGTATAACATTGTGCTGTGCACTCACATCACAAACTTGGCAACGAACCAAAGTACCAAGAGTACATGAAAATGTACTCTTGAAAGCAGGGAGTAGTACAATACCATGTACTACTCCCTGCTTGAAAGTACTAACAAGAGTACATGAAAACGGTTTTCATACTCTTGGTACTACAAGTAAGTAGTGTTCCAGAACGTTTTCTTGTCAACCCCGCGACCATGGTGACACAGCATTCCATAATTTTGGACTTTTTTTGGACGATGCAGCAAGCGCGCATGAGTTGATGATGATGTCATGCAGCATGCACATTATTATGCTATGCATCTGTAATCTTTTGTTGTTTGAAACAAAAATACCAGTATTTTTACTACAATCAGTCTACATTCACATTTTACTACATGTGTCATATTTTTAGTTTACCTTTTTGAACTAAAACAGTAAAAGTAAAACAGTAACTCAAGGCATGGCCAACCTGAGCTTCATCTTCTGGTGAATCTGATTCTTCTCAAAAAGGCTAAGCTGCGCGATTTAGGTTTAGATTGTAGGTTAGTCGTCACTACATCTGGTATCATTGTCCAACTTCTTCTACTACTAGTACTAGAAGAGCTCGGTGGAGAATGGCAGCTCAGCTGAGCGCCAAGAGCGTTTTGGGCGTGCTGAATGGATTGTCACGACGATTGTACTTTGGCGACGAGAGCATGACCGATGAATTTCTAAGAGAGCAAGTGGAATACGGGGGCAGCATTGAAGGTGCGTATCGAAGCAGAAGTTTCAGACCCGTGTGCTTCTCAAGCAGTTACGGTGTCAGGAGATATTTGAGTATGTGTTGCCACAATCCAATGAAGGCACATACGTCAGTAAAATGTTACTTCTATGTTCACAAAACCCACTCACACCAACGAACAGCATTGTACGGCACACTAGCAGTAAGTAACTTTCACCTCCAAAGGTATGAAACAAATCGATGAAAAGTTAACAACTGAAACCAAGAGTACATAACCCCCAGTGTGTGCAACGCCTGATCTAGCTCTGCATAGGGTCTTGGTCGAGCGTAGTCAGATCTTCTGATGTCATGCGTACACTCCACACCAGCGCAAGGCCGGTCTCAAGGCACGGCACCGTTATTTTTGGTCCGAGAGTCCTCGCGACTGGCCGGATCCCCCTCAGATGTGTACGGTATTATCCTGTCCCTCCGGTAACTTGCGGAGAAATATTGGAAATATCGCGGTAATAATTGCGAGGTGAAATGCCACAAATTGCGGGGAATATTGCGGATACAGGCCAAAATTGCGGGAATATTGCGGTGAAATTACGAACAAGTGGCCGACGCATTAGTACCTAGTATTCCGGCGGGGGAGATTCCAGTGAAACATGACATGACAAAACAGAACAGAGGCACGCAACTAGAAAGAAAGCAAATAGCAGAGAGTAGCCAGCGAATTGAGGAAGTTTCACTTCACCAAAGATAAATAGAGAACCCCACGGGAAGCGGGAATGCATTCAAGTATTGCAGTAGGAATATAGGCACCGCTACCATTTCGGTTATCTGTATATCAATAAATAAATACAAACCGATGCACACACTAGCTTTATGCAGACCGCCGCACAAACCAAACGGGATACTGATAGCAAAGAACTAAAACGCGCCATACTCCACACCCTTGTTGTGGTACAGGAATACTAGCTCCTGCAGCGTTTTGTGAGACAAAGATCTGCGCCTCTCACTAAACACCAAATTAATTATACAGAGAAAATGAGCACTCTGCATCGGCAGAATTCGTAACAACAGCAGCATAACGTAAAGCAAGCTTTGATAGGATAGGCAATTCAATGCAAACTGACCTCTAGAAAACGAATGGATCCAGCTTGACTTGGTTGGCTTCTGCTGCCAGCACTGCTTCTGGAGCATGGTGGTCGATGTACTCCATGAACTCCTCAGTGGGTACGGTTGACAACTGGGGGATGGCGTTGTATTCCTTCAGGTCGTGTGACATTTTCACCACCTTGCTGGGGTTGAAAACGCGCACTTCCTTCAGGAAATTGGCAGCAGGCTGACCAGACGTTGTCAAATATTTTGACAGCTTCTCTCCGGCCTTCTGGTAAGCAGTGGTGTATAGGGTGCACAGCTCATCATCATCACCATCGAACAAGTGATCACCAGTCACAAACTCCTCGCAGTCCTCGGGTGTCATGAGCTGATGGGCTTGCATATCGTACTGAAGACGCTTCAGGACATCGTATGCGTCAAGACTGCATGGTTTGCGGCTTTGAAAAACATCAGTTAAGATTGTGAATTTCTTGCAGTGCTCGGAAATGAACGAAGCCTGCAAGCGAATGAGTTGTCGCTGATGCTCATCCTCGAACATGACATGCAGTTCACAGAGAGAAGTGGGCGGCTGTGCTGATTGTTCCATCTCTGTTTGTAGGAAGTAAGGATAGTGCTCCATGTGGATTGGATTGGATTGGATTTTATTTATAGTGGTGACTATAACAGACAATTGCCTAATAACAATAGACCCACTCGAGGGAAAGATGTAAAAAGATAAGAATAATTAATATAATAGACTCTTGGATAGGTGATCATGTCCGCGATAGAAGGAATGGTTGAGGCAACAGAAGATGGGCGCCCAACTTTTGCATAAATTTTGCATGTGATGGCTGTGGTATTAAACACAATCATACCAGCAATTCCATCTTGTTGATATGGGATTAGGAGCCATCTTGGCTTTCTCCTTGCCGAGCTTTGTCTGCAGAAAAGCAAGAAAGCGAGCTTTCCGCCGTCCAGCCTGGTAGAACATCTGGCTAAACTTGGTGACGAACACATTCAGCTGGTTGAACGGCTGCTTGAATGCGTCACCCACCAAGTTCATGATATGAGCCATACATGTAACATGTAGGCTGTTAGGAAACAGTGCTGCTAGTATGTCGTTGTACGCCTTCTTCATATAACTGGCGTTGTCAGTGTCGAAGCAGATAATGCGATCAAGCTCAGTAACCATAAGCGTTTACGGTTTGAACAATAGCTTGTGCTACAGTTAAGTGGTTAGTCTTGTTCAGAAAGACAGTGTCCAACACCACTTGGCCTCCAGTTTGCCATCGCTATTCGGTTTCAGGACAGAAACGAGTATGTTGAGGACGTACTGCCCGATGTCGTCACTCATCTCGTCCAAGATAATAGCGAGGTCCTGCCCTTCTAATGACTTCATGAGCTTTTTGCGTTCTTGGTCGTACACTAGCGGCAGGTAGGCCTCTTGCAGCTGCTTGCCACCAGGAATCGCCCCACCGTTCTTTACCCGTGTCTGCAGAAATTCCCTCACACATGGATGGTCCGTTTTTGACAAGGGAATGTTGACCGCCGTCAACATGGACACCCATTCACCACAGACATCCATCTTTTCAGCGCCGATGTCACTAACGCGTCTCGTCGTTCCTTGCACGGTTCGTTGCGTTTTCAACAGAGGTGCGTCAGCGCTCTCAATCGAGTCTCTCCTACGCCTGTGTTTTGCTGAGGACAGGTGAGTCTCAATACTCGATTTGCGACTGTGATCCACTACCTGATTACAGAGCTTGCAAAATAACTTTCCTCCATCCTCGTACAACACATGACGAAATTGCTGCGCACGTTCCTTCACAGAAATATGCTGAGCCTTTTTCGACTTGTCAGCGGCTGGTTTGCCCAGAAACTTTTCCATACTGGCATTTATCTCACAAGCAAACAACTAAACGGACTCAAAGAACTGTAAACAGTAAACAACATGGAACAGAGACTCCCCAAGGCCAAGGCAAACAGAACAGAGACTCCCCAAGCCCAAGGCAAACAGAACAGAGACTCCCCAAGCCCAAGGCAAACAGAACAGAGACTCCCCAAGCCCAAGGCAAACAGAACAGAGACTCCCCAAGCCCAAGGCAAACAGAACAGAGACTCCCCAAGCTCAAGGCAAACAGAACAGAGACTCCCCAAGCCCAAGGCAAACAGAACAGAGACTCCCCAAGCCCAAGGCAAACAGAACAGAGACTCCCCAAGCCCAAGGCAAACAGAACAGAGACTCCCCAAGCCCAAGGCAAACAGAACAGAGACTCCCCAAGCTCAAGGCAAACAGAACAGAGACTCCCCAAGCCCAAGGCAAACAGAACGGAGACTCCCCAAGCCCAAGGCAAACAGAACAGAGACTCCCCAAGCCCAAGGCAAACAGAACAGAGACTCCTCAAGCCCAAGGCAAACAGAACAGAGACTCCCCAAGCCCAAGGCAAACAGAACAGAGACTCCCCAAGCCCAAGGCAAACAGAACAGAGACTCCCCAAGCCCAAGGCAAACAGAACAGAGACTCCCCAAGCCCAAGGCAAACAGAACAGAGACTCCCCAAGCCCAAGGCAAACAGAACAGAGATTTTCCAAGCCCAAGGCAAACAGAACAGAGACTCCCCAAGCCCAAGGCAAACAGAACAGAGATTCCCCAAGCCCAAGGCAAACAGAACAGAGACTCCCCAAGCCCAAGGCAAACAGAACAGAGACTCCCCAAGCCCAAGGCAAACAGAACAGAGACTCCCCAAGCCCAAGGCAAACAGAACAGAGACTCCCCAAGCCCAAGGCAAACAGAACAGAGACTCCCCAAGCCCAAGGCAAACAGAACTTCGAATCGCTGGCGCTCTTCAAACAGCGGGCACTTTTCCAATACCGTTGGACTGTCTGTGGACTGGACAGCAGGAGCCCTACACTGTACAGCAGAGGTAGATCTACTACATAGAGAGTACTACAAAACCGTTTGAGTCCTCCCTGCTGGTCTGTACACATGCACGTAACGTTTAGGGCTCTCCCTGTACGAGTACAGTGTGTTTTCGGATATCGCGGGTGGTTTTTCTAATATCGCGGTAGGATTTTCGAATATCGCGGGTGTTTTTCAAGTATCGCGGACTCTGGTATCGCGGATATCGCGGACTTTTGTTGATATCGCGGAAAACAATGCGGCCTGGAATCGCAAGTTCCTGGAGGGAAAGATTATCAAGAGTATGTAAGCCCACAAGAGTGTGCAACTCTGCATATGGGGTCTTCGGCGGCGAAACTCACATCACTTGTCTCGGGTACGTTTTGTACTACGTACAACTAAGGATAGCGTGCGCGCAATCTGAAAATCTGCGGCAATTATGCTGGCGAGTTGCATACGTGCAGTGAGTTTCTGCCAGGGAGTGCTTTTATTATTACTCCGCTGCTTGCTAAAACCGGGCTGGAAACGTACAACTGGGACACTACACCACGGGATGTGAGTTTTCGCCGTTGGCGAACCCCATAGAAAGGGCATCAGGAGTTGCACACTCTTGGGGGGGGGGGGGGGGCATGTACTCTTGATATTATAAGACGCAAAGATCCGATTACGCTAGACCAAGACCCAATGCAGAGCTGGATCAGGCATTGCACACTTTGGGGGGTTATGTACTCTTGCTGAAACAGAACTCTTCCCCAAACTCGGGATCTGGAATAGGAGAACGTGCCGTAGAGATTCTCTACGGTAATCTCTCCACGTGATCTGATAGACATGTGATCATTATACACATTAACATCACACATACACATCACACTCAAATGTCTCTTATCCAGCCGCCTCGGATGCGGGTATGTCTCTCTACAGGGCACTTTCAGAATGAGTTTCGATGGCAAAAGTGCTTCGATTTGGGCGGGGGGAGGTCCAACCCAGTCAAATTCTCTCACTCAATGCTGCGATCCATGAGATACGCCACTCCATGCTGTATTCTGCAGGTCCTCAATGCCCTATCCTGAAGTCCAAAATGCCAAAGAGTTTTTAAGCGCGATTCTACGGGAAACGCAGTAAACATTATGTCACTGAACACTATGGCACATGATGTCACTGAACACTATGGCAGATGTTAGTAAGGTGCATGCACACCAGAAAGATCCGATTGAAAATTACCTTCGCCCAGATCAAATGCTCAAACTATGGAGAGCCCGGCAAATGCGGTATCACCCTGAGAAGGAATACCTCTGCTATCAAACCACACAACTCACAACTTTCATGAAAAAGGAGGCCGGAAGATCCTCTGGCATGCATGTGGTGTAAAATAGCAGAGCCGTTTCCTGCATATGAATATTTTGGCGAGTGATGGTAGGCAGATTTATCACTCTCCTTGTACAAACAACTTTCAAGGATCAAGGCGCAGATGGCGGCTGATGCAGCTCCTAAAGCGGTGGGGATTGAGGAGATCAGACCCACCAAAGTGGAAGGGTGGTGGCGTTCCTACGGGTGCGGAAAATGATTTTTTTGGTACAAACACAGGGCATGTAATGTTCTGATGGCATCTCTACGTGTGCTGAAGTAGCATGGCTACATGAATTGTTCATTATGTGGCTACAATGTATTGTTCATTATGTGGCTACAATGTATTGTTCATTATGTGGCTACAATGTATTGTTCATTATGTGGCTACAATGTATTGTTCATTATGTGGCTACAATGTATTGTTCATTATGTGGCTACAATGTATTGTTCATTATGTGGCTACAATGTATTGTTCATTATGTGGCTACAATGTATTGTTCATTATGTGGCTACAATGTATTGTTCATTATGTGGCTACAATGTATTGCTGCTTTGTTGTGTGTCATCATTCAGAGTTCTCTGCCATTCTGAAGCGCTATGAGTCTCTCCTGGTCTCCATCGCGGCAGCACACATGGAGTTTACTCAACTGCAGGCGTTTCTCTCCTCCCAGACTAAAAAGAGAGAGGTGAGTGAGTTCTGAACTTCTGAGTGTTACATGTTGCAAGTGGAGAGGCTATTGATGTTTTTCTTTGGACTATTTCCAAACACAGCAGTAAGCATGGGATTGTGAGAGAAATAATGAGCCCAAATATCCAAAGGGCTCTAGGCCTAGTCCTCTCCTTGTGTAGGAACGCATGTATCTCTTTCCTGGCTTCAGTTTTGGTGTTGACCCTGTGGTTAGACTGTTTGTACGAATGAAGTTGACAGTGCAAAGTTAGGAACTCAATGCCAGTAAGGAGACCCACCATCTGGCTTGCTGGCTTATGTGTCGCTGCATTCGTGTGCCTGAGGGTTTTCTCGTTGTGGACAGGTAGTTGGCTGGCTACATCTCCCCTTCGATTTTATTGTGAAGGTGTTGCTTTTCAAATTGTCCGCAAGGTGTTGCTTTGTTGGCTTTGATCTGTTGTGCATGTATGTGCCTCTGTTTCTTGGCATTCAGAATCCACTTTCAGAAGATGACGTTCCAGTTCTGCAGAAGTTTTGGAAGTCTCAGCGTACCAAGGTATGGCATGCTTGTCATACTGTCGTAAAACAGACAATGTTGGCATTATCTCGTATTTGTGTCTTCTGCTATGCACTGGGCTCTCCGTACTGGAGGCGATTGACACGAAAGCAGTACTAGTATTCTAACTGTTGGGGTGCGTCTATTACTATAAGGTGTATGCGGATCATTGCACTGTCCTGTTCCATGTAAAGGAAAGTGCACAGTATTAGGTGTATCCGGATCATTGCGCTGTCCTGTTCACGGCTGTTCGCGCACGGACATCTAACAATATGGAGTCGTTCAGTGCGATTTACGTAACGTGGTACAAACCTCATGAATACGATGGGAGTTTGCGTTTTGGGATGAAACTCATGTCACTCTCCGTGTGGTTCCACGATTTCGCAAGTCAAACCAGGATTTATTATTTGAAAGCGCTCGAGCGAGATCCTCAATATCCAGACAATTTGAGAGAGAAGGAAGGTAAAAGGAACTCCTGTCGTGGTCAACCAGCATCCTGACCTTTTCGAACCTCTCCAAGCTGTCCCTGGTAGTCTGGATATTGACGCACGCACTGATTTTCAGCTTCTCCTCGCCGGGATCACGGGTGCAACTTTCAAATTTGCCGATATGCACTCGAACAAACGCACAATAGGATCTACATCACAATTTCGGGGCTATCTGTGTGCTTGCTGCCTTTTTCAGCAATACCCCACATGTCTACTGGGCAGTTTCCACCAGGCCTCGGCCTCCTGGACTCAACAGCGACTCCAGCGCCATGCCATCTGTCCCCTGAATCGCATGAAAAGGTAGCTCAGCATCGAACGCACGGGACCTGAAGTTTGTGCACGGGACGTGATAAAACTTGGTGAAGATAGCCAGAAGATAGTCCTCTACCTGGGAAAACTGAAAGCTAGACTGGGAAAACTCCTGAAAGGGCTTCTTGACGCAGGCATGTCAACGATGAATCAAGGAACGAGCGAGAAAGAAGGCTTGACTTGTGCAACGCGGAACAAACTGTTCCTGAGACGAAGTTGGCCATGTGAGGTACCAGCGGAAAGCTAGTTTCAAGAGGAACACGGAATACCTGTTTTCCGGGTAAACCTGGCCTGGTAGCTTTCTAAATCGAGCGAAAACCACAGCGAAATCGGCTGCTGAGAATTTGAAAATTCAAATTTCCTTGCCGATCCAGCCCAATCGAGACTTTTGGCTGCCATCTTGTTAAATGTCCAAATTTCGCGAAAAAAACAGCCGTGACATGTTCCATGTAAAGGAAAGTGTACAGTATTAGGTGTATGCGGATCATTGCACTGCCCTGTTCCATGTAAAGGAAAGTGCACAATATTAGGTGTATGCGGATCATTGCACTGTCCTGTTCCATGTAAAGGAAAGTGCACAGTATTAGGTGTATGCGGATCATTGCACTGCCCTGTTCCATGTAAAGGAAAGTGCACAATATTAGGTGTATGCGGATCATTGCACTGCCCTGTTCCATGTAAAGGAAAGTGCACAATATTAGGTGTATGCGGATCATTGCACTGCCCTGTTCCATGTAAAGGAAAGTGCACAATATTAGGTGTATGCGGATCATTGCACTGTCCTGTTCTATGTAAAGGAAAGTGCACAGTATTAGGTGTATGCGGATCATTGCACTGCCCTGTTCCATGTAAAGGAAAGTGCACAATATTAGGTGTATGCGGATCATTGCACTGTCCTGTTCCATGTAAAGGAAAGTGTACAGTATTAGGTGTATCCGGATCATTGCGCTGTCCTGTTCCATGTAAAGGGAAGTGCACAGTATTAGGTGTATCCGGATCATTGCGCTGCCCTGTTCCATGTAAAGGAAAGTGCACCGGACTCTCATTGTACATGTATGTTGTAGACAATCTGATAAGTGCTAATACGCCAGCTATCTCGATCTATATGCTTGAAAGCATTCTTTTGCCAAGGTAGACGTGTGTTGTATGTACTAGGCTACTAGCAAGTAGTGTTGTATGTACTAGGCTACTAGCAAGTAGGAAAGGAACCTATAATGTATAGTGCAAACTGCCCAATGTTTGCGTAAATAAAACTTGGCAATTCCGCAGACCCAGCAGGTATGCAATGGCGAATGTCTGCGCCGTACTGTGACCACCACTGTTGAAGTAGGATTTCACGCTGGTTATTATTCGCGGAATTCTCTTCTCGCAAAAAGAGCCGAACATTTTTAAGTACATCACGAACCTCCTATGTTGGCAGCTTGCAGTGCTTTGAAATACATGTCCTGTATTCTTGAGCCGAGAGGGCATGGGCTCATAGTCCCTGGTGTTGCTGCCATGACCTACGTGTCCACAGGAAAGCGACGATGTAGATCAGGAATTGGTGTACAGGGGGGGGGGGGGGGGGGGGGGCATGGATCAGAGTTGCGCACTGTGGTTTATATGCATGCTTACACGGTATGTAAAGCAATTGTGAAATCTGTATTCATTTTACACCCAGATGTAAAACAGTAGTTTGGTCCACATGGCTTATTCAATGTTGCAATGTTTGCTGATCGTACTTCGAAGTACTTAAAAAAAGTACTGTATTTTCTGGAGTATAAGCCGCACTTTAAATATCAGTAATTTGCCCAAAAAAAGTTGACACGGCTTATAGTTATACTATGATGGTTAAATTAATGATAAACAGGGTAGATGTCTATGTTTCGTGATGCAATTCTGGTATTATGATCTTAATGTATGTTGTTGTTGTTGTTGTTGTTGTTGTTGTTGTTGTTGTTGTTGTTGTTGTTGTTGTTGTTGTTGTTGTTGTTGTTGTTGTTGTTGTTGTTGTTGTTGTTGTTGTTGTTGTTGTTGTTGTTGTTGTTGTTGTTGTTGTTGTTTGTGTTTGTTGTTGTTGTTGTTGTTGTTGTTGCTGCTGCTGCTGCTGCTGCTGCTGCTGTTGTTGTTGTTGTTGTTGTTGTTGTTGTTGTTGTTGTTGTTGTTGTTGTTGTTGTTGTTGTTGTTGTTGTTGTGTGTATCTTGTGCCGCACAGATCCATGAAGCGCTGGTAAGGCGTAGTCACGCTGACGGCCAGTTGACGGATCTTAGTTGGCGAATTGATGTGAAGAGCAAGGCCCGCAATCTGGATCAGATCAATCAGCCGACTGCCATAGTGGAGATGCAGATTGATCAGTCGGTGGGCAAAGTAAGTCTCAGTCGATTAGTATATCCAACTGCATTATGACTGTGTAGTTGTCGTCTGCACATGGTGAGTGACTTTTCAACTTAGGCTGTGTCGACATGAAAGTTCAACCCGGGTTCAAAGGCTGTACGGTGGAAAAAACATAGGTGGTGTTTGCGTGAAGAGAGTTGACGCGGGTTAATTACTGACGTGCAGACAAAAGTCAATTTGTAGAGTCCTCTTTGGTCTTGTGACTATTTTCGCGGGGAAATTTGCCTGTGCAGTGTTGTGCAAACCTGGCACGAAATACGCACACAAATACGGTAGATTTCTCAATTTCAACCCGTGTCAAGCACAATGCGTCATGTATCTACTCCGGCCAATCTGTTTTCATGGCAGGTTGAAACTTGACCCAGGTCGATCTCAACTCGTGTTGAAAACTCTCATGTAAACGCAGCCTTAGATCAATGTACCATTCGATCAACAACAGCCATGCGGACCGTGTGGTACACAGGGTTCTCAGAGCTCATGTACTACACGTATATGTACACCAGCGACATACATGCAGCATACATGTGAGCCCCAGTTTGCCTGATGTCAGCAAAAGTGATGTGCATCACATTATCGGCATAAATCTACTGGGAGGGTGGATGGCTGGACATGCAAGTCTGTTTCGCTTTTACGTCTTTCTAGCAAGGTCTAGAACTGTCCACTGCATTGTGCAGTGCATTGTGCAGTGCATTGTGCAGTGCATTGTGCAGTGCATTGTGCAGTGCATTGTGCAGTGCATTGTGCAGTGTTTGTCACTGAAATTCAGCACTATGTATAATGCAGTCTGAGTCCAGCTTTGGAGTGCAGAGCCTACCCAGTGTAAACTGTGTTGTGTTTGTACTTTGTAGTGTAGTGCTTGGGCCGTGCATCATCTAACACTGTTTTTGGGAGCATTTGGTTGGTACAATCAAGAACAGGATCGAATAGCTGGTGCACAAGGTTCAGCCTCATGCCAGCCAAACTGTGTTCCAGAATCAGAATACATTTGTGCGAAAAGGGCGCCAAACTTATAGGGCCGAAACGATTGCCCATTTTGCCTTAACGATTAACCCATAACACTAACGATCGATTTATTGGTTTTACCGATTTTCCGAACAGGTTTTATACGTGTCATGTTGGACATCAGTATACGGAAAAAACAATTGAATTTGTTCAACTATGTACAGGTACGTACGGGTGAAATATCCACACAGGCCCAAAAAAGACCAAAATGAAATTTGGAACGTGATATGAGCAGTGTTCCTCAGCCATTAAACATCAATGATCAGTCCTCTGTCTTCTACAATGGAGAAGGGTCGACTAGAATCGACAATCCAGTCGATGGTCGACTCCGTCAACATGCCTGAGCGCCTGCTGTCGCACGTTTCCAAGTAACTTAGTTACCTGTGCCGAAAAACGACGTGACGTGCTTCGTTCCAGCACTGGTCGTCGCAATGTCACTGCGCTCAACATTGCTGGTAGTTGTCGTTGCTGTCGACTGGGTTGCTGGTCCTTTCCCTACCGCAGCGGCGTACTGGTCTTTATGAGCAGAAATCAGGTGCTGTAACAAGTTGGTTGTGCCGCTTTGACGGACGAACTCGCGGCTGCACAAATTGCATCTCGCTACGCTACCAGCTTCCTCGAAGTATGCCCAAACTGGCGATCTCTTGGTCCGACTAACTTTCGTTTTTACAGGCGGCAGCATTGTCACTGCTCTCCTCGCCAAAAATCAAAACTAACTGTAAGTTTTTGCGAAGAACTGAACAAATTAGAAGGCCGGCAGCCACACTCACAGTTTCGCTACAACCTAATTATTCCCGTAGCTATGCAGAAGACGTTACTTCAGTAACGTCTGGCGCTAGCCAGGGTCCACACAGCTTTAATTTGGTGTTTGTTTGTGTGTTTGTTTGTTTGTGTCACGCCTGGCGCTATCCGTATCTGACGGCAAAAAAGCATAGGATGTTATAAATTTTTCAATTCTCCTTTTTTTCAGGCATATCCTGGGATTCGAACCCGCACTATCGCCCTACATGCATTCCCCCATACACTTCGCATTCATACCCATTCTTCCAAGTTGCGTTACGTTATTATCTTGCGTTTGAAAGCCCTATTTGAATATTGCGGGAAGCTGTATGTGGCCAGCTGTGTTTGATGGTACGGTACGGTACGGGAGACGGTGTCGTATTACCCTCGATCGTACCTGTCCCGTACCTATCCCCTACCGTACCGTGCCATCAAAGACGGCTGGCCACAATGCATATAAGGGTGTGTTTACATGAGAAATTTCAACCCGGGTCGAGTTCAGCCCGGGTTGAAAGTCTGTACGACAAACAAAAGAGGTGAGCGTTTACATGAACACAGTTGACCCGGGTCAAATACTGATATGCCGCCAAAAGTCCACTTCTACAGTCCTGCATGGTCACGTGAATCCGTTCGCGCGAAATTTGCATCTGCAGTGCTGTTCAAACCTGGCGCGAGATACGCACAGAAGTACGTTTGTACGATTTTCTTGACCCGGGTTGGTTTCAACCCTCCCCTTGGGGGGGAGGGTTGAAATCAACCCGGGGCGAAATTTCAACCCGGGTCAAGCGCAATGCGTCATGTAAACGCGCCATTCACTTTGTGCACATGGCGGGTTGAAATCTGACCCGGGTCGAACTCAACCCGGGTTGAAACGCCTCATGTAAACACAGCCTAACTCAAATAGGGCTTTCAAATGCAAGATCACAATGTGAAACAACTTGGAAGAATTAGTATGTATGCGAAGTGCATCGGGGGATGAATGCAGGGCGCGCGATAGTGCGGGTTCGAATCCCAGGTTATGTCTAAAAAAAAGGAATTTTTGAAAGAATTTATAACATTCCTATGCTTTTTTTTTGTCTAGGTCATCAAGGCAAAAAAGCATAGCGTAGGGCCCTGAGCTTCCAAGCTCTCTCGTTTGGTGTTTGTTTGTTTGTTTGTTTGTTTGTTTGTTTGTGTCACACTTGGCGCTATCCCGTATCTGTCCCGTACCGTACCGTACCAGCACAGAAAGCTGGCCACAATATTATTTGTTTGTTTGTGCCATCAGCATGCCCGGCGCTATCCCATACCTGTCCCGTACCATCAAGAGTACGGTACTATCAAGAGAATGAGTATATATACGAAGTGTATGGGGGAATGCATTCAGGCCGATAGTGCAGTAGCATCTTGTGTGGATTTGTGTGCGAGGCCGAGATCCCACTGGCAGGCTGGCTGGGCCGCCTGTCGACCAGCCCGGGATTCGCATGTAGGCCTATAGCATAATAATTATAGATGTATAGCAGGGATTCGTATTATGTAAACGACTCCCTGCTGTATAGGGAGATTTTCTGGAAAGAAATACGAAGTAGGGAGACGAGGAAATGCTATTAGAATGGACTTTAGTTGCCGAATAAAAGACAGGATGCGTCAGCAAAAACATACTTTTTAAGAGAGATCCCGTTATCTCCAAAATAATCCTGAACGGGCGAGTCAGCGCCGGTCACAGGAAACGTCGGAAGAGAGATCCCGTCGACTCCAGAACCTCCGTGATCGGCAGAGTCAGCGCCGGTCACTAGGGGTGTGCGGATAATGCTCGAAAAGGTGGCAGATTCTGCTCGAAAAGCAGTGAAATTGCCAGAACCATACAAACCTTATGGCGGGCAATTCCTCGAATTCTGCTCCATTTCTTTATCCACATACCAAACATGCATGAAACTTACACGAAAAAGTACCGAATTCTGCCAATTTTTCTGCCGGAATTATCCGCATATGCCTACCGGTCACAGGAAACGTCAGGACAGATAATAACTTCGACTCCACTCCAGCTCCTGGATCTTCTGTCCCTACCCCGGTGCAAGATTGGCACGTCGCAGGTGGAAAGTGTTCTACTTTTTCTCCAATAATCTTGCAACAAACCGCCTCCGCTTTTCCCTCTGTCGCGAACCGCTTTAGTGCGCTGGAGCACTCCATGGAGAGGAAGCGTAAGCGAGGAGCCAGGAGTGACGCATCATCCAGTGCCGACTTGTCCGCGAAGGCTGTCTGCCCGACCACCAAGACAGATGACTTCTATGGTACTGGGTCGGACTGGGAGGAAGAGTGTGAGGGTGACGACGGCCGCCGTAGGAGCCGTCATGAAGTGGTGCAGTGAACTGCACCTTGAAATAGTATGCTTGAACTGCCTGTGTATTTTTGTTTTAGGTTTTGGATTAGTCTCTAGATGTAGTTCTTCCTTATAGATCTATTAAATGAATCCACAATTACATAGAGCTACTGTCGGTCGACAGAAGTCTTGTAAACTTGCTTTTCTGAATGTATGCAGCCTTAGAAAGAAGTTAGGCGAAATCCAAAACTTCATAAACTACCACAATGTAGATATCTTCGGCATTGCTGAAACTTGGCTTGATTGTTCGATTTCTGACTCATCCATTCATATACCTCATTATAGACTCTTTAGGCGCGATCGCGGGCACAGACCTGGTGGCGGTATAGCTGTATACAGTCGAGATACCCTGGCTGTTTCCAGACACGCTGAACTCGAGAGTGACACAATCGAAAATCTGATACTCACCTTGAAGACAGAATCCGGTGAACCCATCACCCTCGCTACGTTCTACCTTCCGCCTTCCACTACTGCTGTAGTATGGCAAGACCTAGAAATCAGTCTGAACAATCTAACCTTGCGACGAAACAACCGCGTGGTCGCCATTGGTGACTTCAATGTGGACATGTGCTCGGGACACAGCCGGATGCACACCATGCTCCAGCGGTTTGATCTGGAAAACCACATCCGGACACCGACAAGAGTAACGGCATCAACTTCCACCCTAATAGATCTGCTCCTCGCCCCTAACTCTCTAGTTGGAACATGCACGGTCATCAAGTGTGACATCAGCGACCACTACGCATTTGTGGCCAACATTATCGTCGCCACCCGGCAGTCCGAACGAGTCGCATCTCGAAAGAGGCGAGTGTGGAGGATAAACTGGGAGCATTTTAACGCAGACTTGCAGGACTGCAATCTTGAGATTTTCAGCAAGTCGAATGATGTTGATGCAATGATAAGCGAATGGTACGCAAAGGTTGTTACACCAGCACCAGCCGAACGTGAAGCACCAGCATTCACGGAATTTGCGCCTGTTTCGACGGAGGACATTACGGCCCTTCTCCAGTCCGTTGACGCGTCAAAAGCAACTGGACATGATGACTTGCCGGGTATTGTCCTTAGAAACTCGGCATCAATACTGGCTCCCTCGCTCAGCATCATTTTCAATACTTCGTTATGTCAGGGGTGTGTTCCCCGTCAGTTTAAAATTGCTAATGTGTCGCCGCTATTCAAAGGTGGCGGCCTTGACCCTTGTCAGCCTACTGCGTATCGACCTATTTCTCTACTACCAGTCGTTTCTCGCCTCCTCGAGAAGATCGTCAAAGCTCAGCTTACATCCTTTCTGACCGATCACAGTATTCTCCCTGACTCGCAGTTCGCGTACAGGAAGAACCACAGTACGGAGGACGCTCTTGTGCTAGCTGTCAATCGCTGGCTGAAAGCGAAGTATGAGCGCAAACTCACAGGTGTGATATTCGTGGATATGTCGAAGGCTTTCGACTGTGTCAAACACACCATCTTGGCACAGGAGCTATCCGACATTGGGGTCGGCGGTACTGTCCAGCTATGGTTCACTAGTTACCTGAGTGAGCGGCTTCAACGCGTAGTCGTGGGCGGAAATTGCTCGGAATACGTCGCATGCAGTCGAGGGGTGCCGCAAGGATCCGTCCTCGGCCCCCTCCTGTTCACACTATACATCCGTAACCTTCGATGCTGCTTACCCCAGCAGGTCACAAACCAGGAATTTGCAGACGACATTGCAATTGAAGCCTCGGGCAGTTGCGAACAAGTGTGCTCTTCTCTAAGCACAGCCATCACTGGCCTGTCGCAGTGGTTGGAGGACCGCGGACTAATGCTGAACCAAAAGAAAACGCAAGCTCTGTTGATTACCCCAAGAGGCCCAGCCCCTCACACAGATAACATTCGAATTCGCTGTGGGAATGCAGCCCTTGCAGTTGTGGAACAAGCGCGGTACCTGGGCGTAATGGTAGATGGGCAGCTCTCCTGGGAGCCTCACGTCAATCACACAATCCAGCAGGTGCGGAAGTCAGTAGGTGCGCTGTGGCGGAGCCGCCGAAGCCTCACCCTGGCGTCAAAGATCCTGTTTTACAGGTCGATGATCCAGGGTAGGTTGTCGTACGCTTCCAACGCCTTTTATCCGTGCCTTCAAATTGGCAACATGGAGCCCCTCACACGTCTAACGAAGTGCGCTATCCGCGGCTTCTTCGGTCTGCCACCGTGGTCGCGCACGAGCCCGATCTTTGAACAGCTCCGCCTCACCACCCTGGAGGACATGTTTAACATTAAGCTCCTCATCTTTGTCCGTCGTTGTCTGTTCTCCCGCGCTAGCTCCCTCTTCACCAGCTTCTTCGTGAGAGTTACTGGTGACCGCACTCGGGGAGCAGCACAACACCTCGTTCGAGTACCATTTTGGCCCGGTCCTGCAGGTCGAGCGACCATGCAGTTCATCGGCGCAGTCCTGTGGAACCAGCTCCCGCCTGATCTCCGTTCCGAGCCCAGCCACCTCCAGTTCTGTGCCCTGCTAAAAGCGCATCATGGCTCCGTTTAAATGCTTTTCGGCTAGTGTGTTTCTGTGGTATAGCGGACTGAAGAATAGTAAACGTGTTTTGCAATATATGTATGAAGCTATTTTGTATATAGTATGTTCCCATTCCGTTTTTGCTTTGGTGTAGCCCTGAGGTTGATTGCTTATTTATTTCTACCCTTCCTCTCTCCATACTTCTGTCCCCCCCCTCTCTCTCATTCCTTCTGTCGTCCACATGTATCAAAGGAGGCGAAATCGCCTGTTTGTGGTGCGACGTTAAATAAACTTCTACAACAACAACAACAACAACTCCAGAACGCTAGCCAGGGCCATCACAGCTTTGACACGTTACATGCATGATAAGCAAGCAAAAAAGCATAGCGTAGGGCCCTGAGCTTCCAAGCTCTCTCGTTAATGAAGCTTTCCGGTTGTTACACTTTCCGGTTACGCTGACTAGTGCAGTGAATGCGCGGGATGTAGATCTACGACTACGATCGAGTACCAAAAATGATCAAGCACGCAGTGATTGTACGGACCTACGGCTTCATGCATGTGTACTTCGACGTTCATGTACTTGTGCGCATGACCTGATGATGCACGTGCATGATGCCATAATTATGCATCGTCTGCATGTACTGACGTCGTGACGCTCTCGCACTGTACAGTCATAATCGTTATCGATCATAACGATTATCGATTTCATCCATAACGAGTGATATACGAGTAATCGGTATAATCGTTTCGGCCCTACAAACTTAGTTGCATTCGTCAAAACGTGTACGAGTCACCATCGTCACTTTGTTCGGTATACAACGAGCACGCCAATTGGAACCCAAAAGCATATGCACATGAACATTTTGGACGAAAAATGATGTTCCCGCCAGGTTTCACGGTGAAAAAAGAAACCGCTCTGGCCTTGAGCCAAGCGGAACATGTTCTGGCCGATCCGGAACAGATATAGCCCCACTCAAACGCGCTGTTCGGATGAATCCTGTTATGGGTTGTACCAACCAAACGCGCCCTTAGGCTGCGTTCGTTTTAGCTACCTGGTAGAGTAGAGTAGAGTCACTCTACCGATAGAGGTAGATGGTAGAGGCAAGTGTACGAACGCTGTTCTACCGGATCTAGTAGTTTACACGATGTGTACGTGAAATGTTTCTTTTTTGTATGGAGTTGTGTACAAACCCTTGATCTTGCTGGAAACCCCGTAGCTCTACCGGCTTCTACCGGATTCTACCAACTTTTTCCTGGTAGAGCCGGTAGAGGAAAGTAGAATCTACCCTTTTGAGTAGAATTTTTTTTCAAAAAACGAACACCTCTACCGAAAGAAGTAGTTTCTACCCAAACCTGTAGATCAAAAACAAACTCCCCCTTAGTCATGAGTGCAAATTGGTCGCACTTGCCAGCAAGTTTTGTGTGTTTTGTTTGTGTGTGTACATGTGAGTACAGGGCCGTGAGATTCTACGATTCGAGATGGATGAGCAACACACGAAAGATATGTTACAACATATAAACGACATACAGACCCAGATTGACAAATTCACTAAGTAGACCTTATTTGACATCTTTATCATTGTTTTCAATTTTTCCTCTGTGCTGGCACAGATTCCCTTTCCTCTTTGCTTATATTATACTGTAGATTATTTGTTGTTGTAAAGGTAATAGTTAAGGTAATAGTTATGTAGTACGAAACACGCTGTCTGCTGATTTGACTAGTAGAGGCAAAGCGCATGAGGGCAGCTGATTGAGGAATGTGCACACTGCCGCCTGCAGGTATTGGCCGTGTCTTCTGTGCCCTTTCTGAACTTCACGGATTGCAAGATTCATGGGAACATTGTTTGCTTGCATATACACTTACTCGATGTGAGAACAGCTAGCTGTTTTGACCTTTTAGGTCTCATCAGCCAAGCTTGGAGTGATGGGTGGTAATGTTTCTGGTAAATAATTACACATCTACAACTCGAACAATGTTATGTAGCGTGGTGATGGCTTGCGGCGGCTTTTATACTTTTGATAGCTTTAAATTTCGGATGGATAGCCACGGATTAATTAATTTTACAGTAAAGAAAAGGACCAAGGAACTACAAGTGACACTATAAATTATAATGTCCACTAACACCACCAGTTACCATGGTTACTTGACACTCGGTAACAGTCAGTACTGTCGGTCAGTTTTCTGCAATGTTATCGCATGAGCTGATTGTCAAGTAACTGGCGGTGTTTATAACTCAGTTTATATACAGAATAGTTTTCCAAGCGTTCAAGCTGCAAATTGTGGGCTTCAACTTCAAGTGCTTGTAGGGTGACTCGTGCTTGCCAATGCTATTTTTTTATTGCAGATTGAAAAGCTATGTGTAGTCCAAAAATGCAAAATGATGCACGCATAATTACATGATTGTACATGTACATGTACATGTATGTGCATGGCCAAATATGATAATTATCGTAATACATGTAGAGTAGATACCGGATTAGGGATCGGAGCCCGGGAGTGGGGGGGGGGGGGGGGGGGGGGGGCACTTGGCACGTACATGTACATTGTGCGGGTGATCCTTCGGAGCCCAGGGGGGGGGGGGTCACTTGGCTTGTACATTGCGTGGGTGATCCTTATACCGGGATTTAATTCCCGTAGCTATGCAGAAGACGTTACTTCAGTAACGTCTGGCGCTAGCCAGGGTCCACACAGCTTTAATTTGGTGTTTGTTTGTGTGTTTGTTTGTGTCACGCCTGGCGCCATCCCGTATCTGTCCCGTACTGTACCGTACCAGCAAAGACAGCTGGCCACAATATTTTTGTTTGGCTGTGTTTACATGAGAAATTTCAACCCGGGTCGAGTTCAGCCCGGGTTGAAAGTCTGTACGACAAACAAAAGAGGTGAGCGTTTACATGAAGACAGTTGACCCGGGTCAAATACTGATATGCCGCCAAAAGTCCACTTCTACAGTCCTGCATGGTCACGTGAATCCGTTCGCGCGAAATTTACATCTGCAGTGCTGTTCAAACCTGGCGCGAGATACGCACAGAAGTACGTTTGTACGATTTTCGTGACCCGGGTTGATTTCAACCCTCCCCTTGGGGGGAGGGTTGAAATCAACCCGGGGCGAAATTTCAACCCGGGTCAAGCGCAATGCGTCATGTAAACGCGCCATTCACTTTGTGCACATGGCGGGTTGAAATCTGACCCGGGTCGAACTCAACCCGGGTTGAAACGCTTCATGTAAACACAGCCTTTGTTTGTGCCATCGACATGTCTGGCGCTATCCCGTACCTGTCCCGTACCATCAAGAGTACGGTACCATGAAGGGAATGAGTATATATGCGAAGTGTATCGGGGGAATGCATTCAGTGCAGTAACATTTTGTGTGGATTTGTGTGCGAGGCCGAGATCCCACTAGCAGGCTGGCTGGGCCGCCTGTCGACCAGCCCGGGAATCGCATGTACGCCAATACCATAATAATTATAGCAATAAAAACTGCTTTATGGCAGTTTTCTAAAAAAAGTTATTGTGTTCTAGTCCATGGACGGACCCCGTCTAAAAAGTAAGAAATTAACGAAATGTGATAGCCGAAAATTAAAATTTCACACAAAACCTCACAATAATCACAACACTTGAAATGCTGCTTTCAACACTAAACTTGTACTGCACCAACAATTGGCAACATGCATGCATAGGAAAGAGGATCACGAGGGGAAAAGGTCTTCTACATGTAGCTTTTCATTCTGTGTGTGATTATTGTGAGGTTTTGTGTGAAATTTTAATTTTCGGCTATCACATTTCGTTAATTTCTTACTTTTTAGACGGGGTCCGTCCATGGACTAGAACACAATAACTTTTTTTAGAAAACTGCCATAAAGCAGTTTTTATTGCTATAATTTCTTTTGTTTTTTCTGTCACCAATCAATGGAATGCCCTATATCAATATGTAAATGATGGCCTTCACATCATATCAATACCGTATTATACGCATTGATGTGCAAGCATTTTCCTGTCCCTCCAGAAACTTGCGGAGACATTTCGGAAATATCGCGGAAAAAGTTGCGAGGTAAAATGCCACAAATTGCGGGGAATATTGCGGATTTTGTCAAATATTGCGGGATTATTGTGGTAAAATTGCGGCCGATTTTGGTACTTGTACTGTAGTGGTGTACGATGTAAGAGTTGTACAGCATAAATCATGCATGACAAAACAGAACGTGTGCTGCGCTGACTGTGTTCAACTGCCTGACAGGAGCTTGCAAGACAGCTTTCCTCCATCCTCGGACAACACTCGACGCGAGCCTTATTTTGCGACTTGTCAGCCGCTGATTTGCCCAGAAACTTCTCCGTTCTGCTGTCGATCTCACAAGTAAACTACTGACGAGCTTGAAGAACTAAACAACATCGAAGAAAGATCCGAATATCGCGGTTACTTTTCGAAATATCGCCGTGCTTTTCAAGTATCAAGGACAGTTTTCTACAATAACGCGGATGATTTTTCAAATATCGCGGATACCACGGACTTTTGTTCAAATCGCGGAAAACAACGCGGCCGCGGAATCGCAAGTTCCTGGAGGGACAGATTTTCTTGCAGAAAATGGCGCTATCATAATGCAATTTTGTTGGTTCTGTGTTTATAATGGTTTATAATCATGGGTTATTGTGATAAGGTCATCCTGCATCATATTGCACTGAAATGGTAATCCTGTTGATGTCGATACAACTTTTGGAAGTAGTTCAATGACTTCAAACTGTTAGTCCACGATTTTCTAAAACAACACAGCAAAGGAGGAACAATAAACATGTATTAAAATGTAAACAATACATTGCTGAGTCCGACACCTCGTTCCAACAACTACACTGATCCTAAGGATAAAAGGGGCAAGGCTATGGTTGGAGGTACTGAGAGATAAACAAGGCACTCCACAATAATAAAATCTTACACATCTTTTGGTGAGTATGAATGATATCCAGTCGAACCTCTTTAGGACGAACACCAAGGGACCGATGGTATTTATTCTGTGAGTTTGTCTTAACCTATTAATTTTTATATCCAGTGAATACAATTATTTCTTGAATAGACATACGAATAGATTTCTTCTACAGCGAAAGATTCTAAGCCACACCGACTTATTGACTCGTCTGGTATGAAACAAATGAGTCACTAGAGAGGTTCTGCAAAACGAAAATGCGTACAAACTTTCGCTCTACGTCATGAAGTGCGAAACTTCGCACGAACTTTCGCAACTTTGGACGCGAAACTTGCAGGGAACGCGAAATGAACTGTCGTAGGAAATTTCGTGAGATCGTACGTGCACTTGGCCCCAGAAACCACGAAAATGTGCAGAACGCAAAGTTCGTGCAAAAATTCATACACACTTTCGCAAGGACTGTCGGGAAGCTTCGTTCGAATTTTCGTTTCGCAGAACCTCTCTACTGAACCTTTCTTTAGCAACATGACGGCAACTGAAACAGCAACAGAGAAAGTACGATACATGTACTCCACATTCTTGCAGGTACTACAAACAGATTGCAGATCGTAATTCTTGCTTTGGCGGCACGAAACTGTATTTGGGGCAGTGCAATCTCGGCGGTAGTCACAAATCAAAAAGCCCAGACTCTGGAGATTTTCCCCGATATGCGAATTTATTTTGCAAACTCGGTCAATGGGTCCTTGAACCTTTCCCTCCAGATTTCCCACCAGATTGGGAACTGCCAACGATAGTATTCCACTGACCAGTGCATTTCTTGTAACGTACTTATGTACAATGAATATGAGTATTTCGACAACACATCTAACATAAGCCTTACCGTCAAGAAGGTGAACTTGCGTCCTTCGCACACTGTAGACAAGGGCAAAGAGATAAAAATGGATCTAAATCCGAATAAGGTCAGCACACGTTTCCGTAAAATTTAATGAAAGGGTGAGCATAATAAGCAAATGAATCGAAGGAAACCGGTCAACTCAGAGATCCCCTGTCATCGAGTATTTCGTAAAAGGAGGCCTTGGCAGCGGAAAAGCTAAATTTAGAAAAGAGATCCTGTCAGCTTTTCCATATTTATTGCATTCCACCCAAAGTCAGCACACTTTTCGTAAATGAAAGAGTCAACACAAGCAAATGAATCAAAGGGAACTGGTCAACTCACCTGTCATTGAGTAATATTCCGCGAAAGGAGGTCTCAGCAGCGCCGAAACGAAACAGCTCATGCAAGAAGCAGTTCCAAAGAAGGAAGTTCCTCGTGTATGCACATCCGGAAAGGCAACAACAAAAAGTCTGCAATGCACACGCATGCGGCCAGCCGGCCCCGCGATGGTAGGAGCCATGGAGTAGCTCCCTGGTCCAGGACCAGGTACCGAGCATCTTACGTAGAAACTTACGTAGCTACGTAGACAACGTGTCTGAATAGCGGTGTCGTTAGGTAGCGCCATGTGAACACAATAATAGAAAAGCTGACAGGATCGCTTTTCTAAATTATAACGTATATACAGTCATGTAGATGTATAGCAGGGAGTCATAATAATTATGTAAACGACTCCCTGCTGTATGGGGAGATTTTCTGGAAAGAAATACGAAGTAGGGAGACGAGTAATGCATCAGAATGGATGTTAGTTGCCGTCAGTATAATAATAATAAGAAGAAGAACGCCCGTGATCGCCAGAGTCAGCGCCGGTCCCAGGAAACGTCAGGACAGAAATCCCGTCAAGACAGCGGGCCACAGTATTATACCGGGATTTAATTCCCGTAGCTATGCAGAAGACGTGTTTGTGTCACGCCTGGCGCCATCCCGTATCTGTCCCGTACTGTACCGTACCAGCAAAGACAGCTGGCCACAATATTTTTGTTTGTTTGTGCCATCGACATGCCTGGCGCTATACCGTACCTGTGCCATACCATCAAGAGTATGGTACCATCAAGAGAATGAGTATATATGCGAAGTGTATCGGGGGAATGCATTCAGTGCAGTAACATTTTGTGTGGATTTGTGTGCGAGGCCAAGATCCCACTAGCAGGCTGGCTGGGCCGCCTGTCGACCAGCCCGGGAATCGCATGTAGGCCGATAGCATAATACCGTAAAGTACCGTTGATCCGCCCCCTCTCTAATTCCCGCCCCCTGTCGATTTTCTCCTTGTGAAGCGACTTTGGCGTATACAACGAAATACGATGTTGAACCGACGCATGCACTGCTGTACACAATACTTGCCAATCCAGGATCAAAATGTGCACAATCCAGCACATTGAGTCGGATCCTCTACGTTGTTGTACATCGTACTGCACTTGACAGCTTTGATCTAATTCCCGCCCCCTGCCGAAAACCCAGCTGGGAAGCGACATGGCGTGGGGGCGGATCAACGGTACTTTACGGTAATTATAACGTATATACAGTCATATAGATGTATAGCAGGGAGTCATATTATGTAAACGACTTCCTGCTGTATGGGGAGATTTTCTGGAAAGAAATACGAAGTAGGGAGACGAGTAAATGCAATCAGAATGGATGTTAGTTGCCGTCAGTATAGTAATGATAAGAAGAAGAACGCCCGTGATCGGCAGAGTCAGCGCCGGTCCCAGGAAACGTCAGGACAGACATCCCGTCCACTTCAGAACGCCCGTGATCGGCAGGGTCAGCTATGCAGAAGGCGTTACTTCAGTATCTCATTGAAACGTTTTTGCAATACAATGATGTAGCTAATCAAAGCAAAAAGCATTTTCATCAGTTCTAACAACATGCACGATGAGCTAGGCACAGGCATAGCGCAGGGCCGGCCCTGAGCTTCAAAGCTCTCTCGTTTCCGGCCCAAGGGGGGTCCCCCGTCGGTTTCCGAGGAAGCCGTCACTTTTTTCGCTCCAAACTATTTTTCCGGGGTCCATCTAGATCTACTCACAAGAAGTCGTTTTGCACACCTTTTTGCCCATCCCTACAACTGTACTCTACTAGTATATAGTATATTGGGCGACATGACGACTTGCAACCAGGGAGTAGTACAATACCATTATTGTACTACTCCCTGCTTGCAACAACACACAGAGTGAGACTCAGTATTTCGCTTGTTGCAATATCGCAATCACTAGTGAGGTTTTGCATTCCGAAATTCGGCAAAAAGATTCGGCACGCGGGAGCGAGGTCGAAAATGCACACGAAGATTCGGAGTGTTTGTTCGGAAAAAGCTCACTTTGCCGAAAATATTTTTCGGATGCATTTTCTTGTAGAAGAGGGCTATTATAGCGCTAGCGCGTGATTTATTCAAAGAGGTTTCTTATCTCGGCATCGCTTGGCAGGCGTCTTTGGCAGGCGTCTTTGGCGACATAACATCGTCAGCTACCTCTGATTGCTCCTCTCCACTGCCTGTCGACTCTCTTTCGCCTGGAGTGTTCTCACCGTCATCTGTGTGGCTGAAAAGACTATGGCGACACGCATAACATTTGACTTGGCCATGGAGTTGGTTTTTCTGAGGCGACTGAGGAGGCAGGTTTGGCCCTCGACTCTTTGGGCGATCAAAGTTCGTTGGAATAAGCAAGAAAAGGAGCACGGGACAGGACGTTGCTGATGCTGGGGCTCACGAAATGAAAACACATCATTTTCGACTTGCAAAACAAACGTTGGTGCGAAAATTCGACATTTTGATGTTCGACAAATGACCGAAGAATGCCGAACCGAAATTCGGAATGCAAAACCTCACTAATGACTATTTGCGCGCTATCGATCATCATGATCACGCGATCGCGAGTATCACAAGTCAAAAGTGACAGTCATGGTTTACGACGTACGAGTACGTAACCATGGTAACGTTACGTTCAAATGCAGCATCGCTGAGCTACTGCAGCTGCCGCATATGCAGCATAGCGCGCCAGTTTTATTTTGTTGAAAACATTTATTTCGGCACAAATCCATTACCGCGGGAAAACTGAATGTGTTTGTATGCAGCGTAGAACAAGCCACCAACGACCAATGACGACTGCTGTGAGTTGTTGGAGTCTGGATTGGAACGACAAGCCCCACGCCGAAAGAGATGCACGATGAACGAATTTTTCTAGCCTCTGCCCTCCCTTTCCAGCTGTAGCATCTAAGGACTTAGGTGTTGTATAATTTGGTACATTCTCAGGCGCTTGGGTCAGGTCGATGTGGTTCTGCGAATGTTCAAAAACGGTGGAGTTTGCTGATGTCCCTGCACAGAAGTCTTTGAACACCGTTGCCTGGAGTGACCTGCTTATTGGGTAAGTTGGTCAGCAAGATTATTAGTGCTAAGTTACCCCTTTTATTCAATTGGTCGGCTATAGTGTGGAATGAAAGCGAGGTTTTTATACAAGTGGTGGATTACATGCATATGCAGTCGGCGCATTTCCGTAAATGCGCCAATGACATAATTATCGTACATGTACATGATAGTATTACTCAATCTGCGGACAGAACAGAACTGTTTCATCCTTTGTGGACTCATCAGCGCAGCACAGAGGAAATGAGGCCAAACCTTATAGCAATGAAAAATATATTTTCCAAAGCCAGATTTAAACCAGGCCCAAACGTACCTTGCCAGAGTGTTCAAACTGACAAGTCAGTGAGCTCTGCATAACGCAAACAGCAAAGGCACTACCCCAAATGAGAGTGCTCAACTGCTACTTAACTATTCTGTGCGCGTGCATTTACCTGTCCCCGGGGAAAATCGCGATTCCGCGGCTGCGTTCCCCCCGCGTTTTTTTGCGATTTTTTAAAAGACCGCGTTTTCCGCGATTTTCCCCGCGTTTTTTGAACTTTTTTGTTGCACTACACGTACACACAGTGCACTGTTCGGTCAGCAACGTCTCATCATGGCGGCTTTGTACTCAAAATATGACGAGTGCTTACACCAGAGACTTGTAACTGATTGATTTCACTACAAGTCTACATACTCACTGAAAATTGCCTCATATCAACTGCAAACTTGCCGCCGCGAGATGATATCAATAATATTCACCGCATATTTACCGCATATTTACTGGTGGTTTAGCGTGTGCGCTAAGCCCTGTTAACGAACGTGGAACATCTACCACTCATACTTAGTCTGATGATCATGCATCTGATTATGATGTCATTGCTATACATGCGCATGCGCAGCGCGCGCCACTCTCCCACGCATGCATTCCAAATCTTGCTTTAGAGAGAGAGAAGGAGAAAAGAGAGACTCCTTTGTCACTTTTGCTTTCTGACGACTTGACTGTTCACTGGTTTGTCCGTCAGTGTCAATTTCCCCTTCCCTCCCAACCCCATTCGACTGGGGATCACTATCTCTCCGTCACTGTCACCATAATTTCCTCAATAACAGTGTCAGTACAACTCTTGTCAATATACTTATATCGGGTGAGGGCAGTCTATCTCCGCAGCTGGCTCATTTCAATCACTACCGGTCGCAGCTCCTGCCCACGGCAGGCCGACCGTCTCTCGTTCACACTCTGTGTGCTCCAGGTCACAGCTCCTGCGCAGAGCAGGCCGACCTGTCTGTCTCTCTCTCACACACACTATGTGTGCACCGGGTCACAGCTCCTGCGCAGAGCAGGCCGACCTGTCTTTCTCATGCACGCCAGCTGCTCCGCCCAATATCCCTGATATGCCAACCAGAAAACAATGTGTTCTGAGCCGGGTGCATGCCTGTATGTGGAGAGTGCGTTAACGCAAATTCACCGCAAATTATGCCATATTGTCGCGTTTTTTGCCGCGTTTTTTGCGATTTTTTGCCGCGATTTTCCCCGGGGACAGATTTACAGACGACTTTCAGTACTGAAGTGGAAAGCTGCATTTATAACAATGTTCCAATTGACATACTAGGAGGTACTTTTGTAGTTCAAGTTCACGTACCCTGGGTGAGCTGTTATCAGGCTCGTGAGGGATCACACGCTGCATGTACAGGTATATGCAGCAGGATCATTGCAGTGTTGAGAAGTGAAAATATGCTAGAACACCTGCTGCCCCTGATTTAGCGGCTACATGTACACATGGCGAGGTGCCTAACCAGATAGCAGAACTCAGCAACACGACCGTCGTGCGTTAAGTCAAAGTGAAACTGCTGGCTCACGATTGGCCCGTCCAGATAACGCAAAGAACCGATTTGGATTTGGATACCAGTGCTGACAAAGGCCTCCCGCACCTAAGTAAATGTGACAGGATAAGTATAGTGTTTTTTTTCTTTTTTCTTTTTTTACGGTCGAACAGTTACTGTAGCTGGGGCTTCCTTGGCAACCATGGGCAAATAAGCGGGCCACAGAAAGGCACTGGGTGACGGATTCTGGCCTGCTACTATTCAGCACACTGTAAGAAAGTGGCGGTTTGCCGATGGTTCAAATGTGAACAAATCAGGTAAAACCTCCACGTCGTTAGAATGATGGCTTCCACATCACTGAGCGCCCAGGCCTTCCCATATTTTCCTAAGACTCAACATAATAATTATCACTATTGTTACGATTAATTGTCGCTCCGAGGTTATGGTGGTGTTGCCATACTTGTACGAGATAGGACATTTTTTCATGCAGCCCAGCGCTCAGACCTTGACTCTTCTCAATGCGAGACCATATGGGTTGAGCTTGGAGTCCCTGCAGACCTGGGTGCTAATCCTATACTCATTGGCTGCCAGTACCGCCCTCCTTCACAATCCCTACCTGAACTTACCTCTTTTTGTGCCATGATGACGGATACCCTACGGTCTGCAGACCTCTCATCCGTTGATATATTCCTCACTGGTGACTACAATGCTCACAACTCTGACTGGTGGAGCGGTGACTCTACATCACGCGCTGGGAAGGAGCTTTCGCATGTATTCTCCTGCTTTGGTCTCTCCCAGCTGGTAGGTTTTCCCACTCACACTCTTCCTAACGGATCCCTGTCGTGCCTAGACTTGCTCGCTACTAATCGTCCCCAATCTGGTAGTTGCCACCCTTTTCTACAGAACTGTAGCCCAAACACCTGCAGGGGAATGGCCATGCTATCCTGCCCGTAGTTCTGCAACTGCTCCAGACAGTTTTGCGCAAGTGTCACCTTCTGTCTGGGTAGCAGTAAATATGACTGTATCTTTCCTCGCTCAACTGGTATGATCTCATCGGCACACCACATGTCGACGACGCATTTAATAATAGCCAGATTCTCCTCTTCTTGAAAAGATGATGCATTTTCCCACTACCTGTCACCTTATCGGAAAAGACCCTCTTCCTCCACCCAGCGAGCTGTATCCAGGCAATATCCACCGTGGGTCAACCAAGATTTAGTTCTTCGAATCACGAAAACATCCTTCAACAGTCTCTTCACTGCATCCGAGAAAAAGAGAAATCAATATTCCATCATGGGGGCCATCATCAGGATTGATAAGAAACAAACAGTGAGGTGCACCTACAAGTACACGTATACAGGAGTACAGATACCGGTACATGCAAATACTACAACAGGTGACAAGACTACACCACTGGTATGGAAACTCTGCACTAACAATGGTGCACTAAGTCAATCAAAGTACATGTATCTTGTTTTGTGACACTGCCGCTTGAGGAAGAGATGGTGTGATAGCTAACATGTCACAAACTAGAGCTAGACGTGTTTGCTATGACATCACTACTAGCTCGACATGTTTGCTATCACATCATCTCTTCCTCACATGCCAGTCTCACTGCATAAGCGACGGTAGAAGCGACGGCGATTAACTTAGTGCAACTGTGTTAGTGCGTGGTTTTCATACCATTTTAGTCTTCTCACCTGTTGTAGTCCTTTGCATGTACCGGTATTATAATAAAAATGTAGGTCTACCTCACTGTTCCTTTCTTGTCAGCCTTGATGATGGCTCCAGGCCGAAATATCATTTGCTAATTTTCTCTCTCGAGTGCAGTGAAAAGACAGTTGAAGGATGTTTTCGTGATTTGAAGAATTGGTGTTTATATTAGAGAGAGAGAATCTGGTAAAGCTGTGCACGTATGAGTTATAGGTCAAGCACGTCATTCTGATCGTAGAACACATCATTCTGATCGTAGAACATGTCATTCTGATCGTAGAACACGTCATTCTGATCGTAGAACACGTCATTCTGATCGTAGAACACGTCATTCTGATCGTAGAACACGTCATTCTGATCGTAGAACTTGCGGTGCCAAGAAGAAGCCCCACTGTTCATACAACACGTTGGCAGCTATTGTATTCAGTATCATCTCACCTCCCATTGTACCGCATGCACCATATCTGTTGTGGGAAATGAATCGTTCGACTTACAACACATGCCTTCCAATCAGCGCTATTCAGAAGTTCAGGCACAGTGAACCAATTGAGTACCCTAGTACCCTGGATATAACATACTACTAACATAACTTACTGGACTACACCTTAGCTCAGTGGTTAGAGCATCGCTGGCCTCAAGCCAAGGTCCCTGGTTCGAGTCCTGGTGGTGACAGTGATTTTTTCTTCAGACTTTTCTCGTTTGCATACTTCCCTCAACCCAGTGGATATAATAATACTGTTGTGGACGTGGAAATCCGGTCGCATGTCTAGCGGCCCCAGGGCGCAGGCCATGCCGCCGTGGATAAGTGGCACACACATGCATTTATGCGCTGCAGTGCATTGGTCCCATCGGATACCGGTCAACAGTATATTGTGCACTGCACGCAGCGTTCTGTACGCGCTGAGGGTGCCGGCCCCGGTCAATCGACTGGATTTCCATGTCCGCTACAGTACTCTGGGCTAAAGTATTGTATTTTGGAGAACCCTGAATTATACTTTGTTAGTCAGTTGACATGGGACAGGCAGTGCCCTGGCCTGTAAACTACAGGGTTTTCTATATCCCTAGGTCACGCGGTGGTACGGTTCATATACTATACAGTGCGTATTGCGTCGGTTATAGTGCGGTTGTGTCAAAGAATATACTGCCTACAAGAATGAACTCTCATATTTTCATAATCATAACTTGGGTTTCAATGTTATCGCATAGTAGAATAATATCGGTCCAAGAATGAATGGACTTTGTGTAGCAAAACATGCCAGATTAGTACAAAGTGTATCGCTTGTGGTACTAGCATCTGTCCAGTGCAGTACTGAACCGACTCGCATTGCACCGCAGTGCTGCAGGTTTAACTGTTGTGGTCATGTAACTCATGTTGCATAGCCACATGGTAAGCCTACGAGACTATGAACAGCCGCATGCACAGTAGCACAACGTTGCATGTACGATAACCTTCCTGCCTCTGCGCACATGCGTATGATATGTCACACTTGATTTATCGTGTGTAAAGAGATATCAGAAATAAGAATAAAAGTCGTTTTTCAAACACCCACGCTATAGCCGATACCTACTTTATTCTGTACGCGAGGCCACTGAACCTATATCATATTATTATTATTATTAGACACAATCTCATAGCATGTGACAAGCATAGCTAATGCAGGGACAGAATCCCCTGAGACAAGGGCGTTGAGCCAGCCACGGCAATAGTAAGCTAGGAAAACAAAGCAAATATGAATTAAAGCAGAAAATGAATTGAAAATTGCAAAGAAAAACGATTAACGGAAGTGAGCACTATCAAAATTCGTGCATCACCCAGGTATTCGAGAATGTTCTTCGATGATAATTATTGCGTCTAGTTCAGTTGTGATAGTAGATCTTTAAACTGACCAATAGAAGAACAAGTTTTCAGACCGTATGGTAATGATAACCAATGAGAGTAGCCGGAAAACAAAGGGGATTTTAGATACTGGGCTGACTTAACAAGAGGCAGGATGAGCGCGTTACGGGTTGAGCTTGTCGAAAACCAATTGTACTTCATCATGTGTGAAGGGGTTTTATGAAGAAGTATTTTATGAACCAGTGTCTCTGTTGGGATTTCAGTGGCATCTACTTCAGTACTGTGCATGTTTACATTGCCTATTATAACCTATGGTTACAAATAAGGGAAGTGTGTGTTGCTCTCTACATGGGAGCTCGCGGTTTTCCTGCCGACTTAAGCTCCCATGTAGGGAGCAACACACACTTCCCCAACTATCGCCGAAGTCGCACCAACCTCTTCTTCACATGGTTACAAGTAAACAAAATTTAATCTGCCGCTTACTTTACTTTTCGTTAATCTGATGTGATCATGTTGTTTGCAATATGTTAGGCACCACAATGTCCCTGCTCAACTATTTTGACCGTAAGAAGGCTCCACCAGCTATCGGCACTGCAACTCCTGTCATTGTTGTTGGTGAGAATGTACCGCCGTCATCGATAACCGAGGTTCTATCCAGCACTTCAGATGAGGACCCTGTGTATGTGCAGGTCGTGGAGAAGACCAGAAGCGCTCTTGCGAGGCGAAAGCCTGATATCGATGTGGAGGTCGTTGACGTTGTGGACAGGTCCTCGGTAAGATGTTTCTGTTATGTATGGCCGTACTCGATTCTAGTATTCGGTAAGATGTTGCTGTTGTGTATGGCCGTACTAGATTCTAGTACTGTCTTAACTTCATATTCTGTATGGGAATACCACTACCAGTCGTACCGGTAATGACTTCACAGTACTGAGTAGTACTGAGTAGTACAGTGGAAAGTAGTTATCCACTCCACAAGCAATGTTCAGTGATCATTTCGAAGTAGAATACAGTCAATGTAGGCTTTAGTATTATAGCAGCTGACGTTTTTTTTATTGAAGTGTGGTATGTATGTGAAGGTAGGTATAAGTCGGGTAAACCCAGAAGCTGAGTGTTCATAGTCAGTCGAGCTCAGAATCAATACTCAGCTTCAGGCTATATTCTATACTTTTTTTCTTCTTCTTTTTTCAAGTACTGTTCTCGTTGTTGCTGCTATTTCGACTAGGTACGGTCATCAGGTTGTGCAGAGGATGACCGGCAGCAGCCCATCGCAGTCATCCAGGAGACCTACCGCCCTACATGGTCGCAGCGTATTGCTCCGCAGTCCGCAGTTGAAGTGGTCGGCAATGACACAAGCGTCAAGCAGCTGCTGTCTTGGCTGAAGGCATGGAGGAAGCGCAGAAAGTTGGTCAAGGATGCGCCGAGTCCCGTAGCTGCACCCAAGCGGCGACAAAAGTCCCGTCAGAAGAAGAAAAAGCGCAGAAAGGTATGCAGCAAAATCCAAGCCCCCATGTTATGTTGTAATTCCTCCATACTTCAATACATGTATTTCCTGGTCTTCTCAACATGTATGTTGATACTGGTCGCTGCCACCACTGATGCACATACACTTGTTTTGCTTTTAATCAAGCCCTACATCGTCTCATACATCTTCCCAACACTCTCCAACCAGTCTCTGGGCTACCCCAATCAGTAAAGAACAAGAGGTAATCATTCGAATTTATTTCTTTGAGAAATGTACTCCATCGTCTCTACATGTTTTTACAAATCTCTTTTGTTCTTTCAGAAATCCAACAGAATAGACTCATCGTCATCATCCAGCTCTGACGATGACTGGTTTGGTGCAGATCCGGATTTCATGCCAACTGGTCAGTCTGCCCACACCCTGCTAATGCTGCCTGCCTGAGGCTCTTTCTTGCAGTGTTGTTTTTGTACACTAGGAGAGTAAGCAGCAGGTTTTGGCTGCCACTCCATGCCATGTGGCGGAGTTTGAACTAAATCAATGTTTTTGTAGAGTGCAGTTTATGCCTATGAAAGTGCGCTCTCCGAGGGCAGGCAATTGTTTGCGCAGAGCAGCTGAACACACCGCGCAGTGCATGGCAACGTTTGCAAGACAAACTGCACTACCAACTCTTTCTTATCCGGGCACTTTGTGGACGAAAGGTGCTTGTAACTGAGAACCTGTGACTTAGAACACATCACATACTGTCATTGTATTCATTGTGGAGCGTCATTCATTTTGATGCCCATCGTGTAGCGATTTCTCAATATGCGAAGACTCCACTGTTGCCACCCATTTTAACCATACCTCCTCAGTCCTCACACCACTCTCCAAGCAGTCTTGAATATATTCGGGTGATTCTATTCTCTTCGTTTGGCCGTGCCTGTGTTTGTGACATCCTGCCCCGTCTTGCCACTGCCTGCTGCTGTTGTGTAGTGAGAAACAAGGCTCGGCAGCGCAAGCGCTGTCACAGCGAGGACGAAGAGGATTGGCTGGACGAGGACGAGGACGCACAGCAGCAGCTGTGTAGCACAGTGTTGTTGACGGGACCGCATGGCTGTGGCAAGACAGCCGCCGTCTTTGCCTGTGCACAAGAGCTTGGCTATGAGGTGAGATAGGGAGACAGGGAGATAAGGAGGCAGTGAGATAGTGAGATAGTGCGTTCGTGAATCGATTCAAGTGCATACAAGTCGTTCGATTTTCATGTCATGAGCCCTGGAATCGATTCGGAATCCATTCACTCTATTCACATGGGGTGATGTGAATAGCGCGAATCGATTCATGAATCGATTCGCGTGCATAATCGAACACACTCAGTGAGATAGGGAGACAGTGAGACACTGAGATAGGGAGACAATGCCTGCATGGCTGTGTGCTGTGTGTTTCTCCCATCATTACTGACCTGCTGTGCTCTAATGATGAGAGCTATTAACTGTATACCGGTAATCCAAACAGAGGGTTTGTGGCTGAGTGAATTACAGGCGAACCTTCAAATCCCAAAAAATCAACCTAGAAGCTGTGTTCACAACGTGTTTAATCTTGGTACTGTGCCAATTCTAATCACCACCCAACTGACTGACATGTACATGTACTTGGAATGGAAACACACGTCTGTGCAGTGTTCCATGCATCCACTTGCTCATCCTCACCGGTTGGACGGGTTGCACACGCCACCAGGCAGTAATTACTCCAGACAGACATGTAGCAGCAGACTTCACAGTATAGATGTACTGTATATATCAGAACACACTACATGCACATTGTATACGGCAATACTACATGACACATTGTGCATTACAACACTATTGGGCTATACAAGTAATTCTATAACAAGTAGGGAGGTTTAGTCCCACGTAATCCGTGTGTACTTTACGTGTGTGTACCACGTGATACTCAGTGACTCGCGTACAGCCGTTTTCTGATTCACGACATACCGTGTATGGAGGCTCACCCACGTTCTGCCAGAACGTGGTTGAAAATCAGAATGGAGCCCATTGTGCAAGCTGTGAGGGTGTTTAGCTGAAGAAGTTTCCGAAACACGAAATCAAAATATTCGATGAGCTTCTAAGCTTCGTCTTTGACCAAGTTTGGGCCTTTCGCTACATGCTTTTGTTTGTACCCGTGTGACTAAAAACAACATTGCGAACGTGCATGAACTTTATGTGTATCACCCGCGTCCCCGTACCCGTTACGTGGGACTATATCTCCCTAATATTTCCTAGTGACTTTCACAAGGGAAGTAGACACATCACTAAATGAATTCTCCAACCAAACACTGCATATTACATATACAAGTAGTAAATGCACCATACATCGTCCACACCATACCCGTCTAGAAGAACAAATCGAAAATGTCTGAACCAAACGTTCATGAACGACGTCACGTGTGGACAACGTATGGTGCATTTACTACTTGAATAATTGGGAACGCGTCCAATTTGTTCTACAAACACTGCGTATATGGGGCTGTATATTGTGCACAGGTGCTGGAAGTCAACTCTTCATCGTTGCGCTCGGGAAAGCAGGTCCTTTCTTTGCTGCAAGAAGCCACACAGTCACATCAAGTCTCTCAGAAAAGCGTCGATGCAGCAGCGCCGGCTATCAACACCAAGGCGGCCGCTGCCATGCGCAGTTTCTTCAAACCCGCCGCTTCCACCCCCACCAGCAATGCGCAACAGTCGAATAAGTCGCCGAATCCATCGCCATCGCAGCCCTCTCCGTCGACAATGGGGTCTGGATTTGCCGGGCCCTCTTTGATCTTGTTTGAAGAGGTAAGTACTGCTGACAATGCTATGTTGATTTCCCGTTCAGTGCTGCTCAGTGAAATCCGATCAAGTGAGTCCACGTTGTTGCTGCTGCTGCGCCCTGCACCAGTGAGCATCCCGCCCAGTCTCTGTGGGTCTAGGGCTGCACAGCACTCGCCACATCCTTCACTCACGCCCTCGGATTCCATTGAGCAGCACGGTAGCTGTGACGGTTACTCCATTGTCCTCTCTATCACCACTATGCCGTGTATTCCATTGTGTATACTGCTAGGGCTAACTGGTCACTGGTGGCACCCTGATCAATGACTACATGCACACGTAGACATAGACAAATTGGAATGCACCTACTGTAGTGCAGGACAGCATGTAGAGCGTGGAGCATGTACAGTATCATTTCAGTAATGGTGTTTTTTTTGCAACTGGGCCTTGCTTGGGAGTGGATGTATTCGTATCAGTGAACTGCTCGTATCATGTAACAGTAAAGCTAAGCAGAGCATTCTCTCTTGTCCACGTCTCGTACTGCTCCGACCTATAGGCGGATGTTCTGTTTGAAGAAGACAAGGGCTTCTGGACTGCGCTGCTGTCCGTTGCGGAAACATCCAAGCGACCTATCATCATTACCGCACAAGGTACCGGTAGAGCTTTGCAGGCATTTGTATTCTATACCTCATCAGTACTCGGCCAAAAATACTTGTTTGCTCCCAGCTTTTGGATACAGCCCTGCATTGATCAGCTTTGAACGTTATCAAGCTATTTTCTGATTTGCTCTTCGTGCCGGTGTTGAATCTTTCTTGGTATCATGCATGTGCTTATGGCTGTGTGTGCTTATGGCTGTGTGTGTGTGTGTGCTTACGGCTGTGTGTGCTTACGGCTGTATGTGCTTATGGCGGTGTGTGTGTGTGTGTGTGTGTGTGTGTGTGTGTGTGTGTGTGTGTGTGTGTGTGTGTGTGTGTGCATCTGCAGAGGACTGCATCCCAGCTGGTTTACCTTACCTTTCATTCCCAATGGTGGTGCCAGAACCGGTATGAGATGATTCCCCTATGCTCGTCCGTTGCTTTCTTTTGTCCCCCGCCCCGTGTGTGTGTGTGTGCACGTGTGTGTGTTTGAGTGCACACGTGTCTGTGTATCTGTGTGTGTGTGTGTGTGTGTGTGTGTGTGTGTGTGTGTGTGTGTGCACGTGTCTGTGTATCTGTGCTGTGGATGTGTCTGCGTTGTAGTATACAGGACCGATTTCAGTCAATACGATTACATGTACCGCATAACAATATCTGATAATTGAGAACCTCGAACTGGGCATGTACACCTTATTATGGCTTTGAGAAGTCCCACATAGTCCACTTAGTCTTACATAGACATGTGTGGGATTACTGGTGATAATTCCCAGCTAGCAACGCATAAGTCAAACCTCACTGTACACGGTACTTGTTAGTCCAGCACGTGACAGCAAGCTGTACTTGCCATGCAGTGTTTTAACCGCCATGTCTCTTCTATAATGCAGCATTGGCATCTTCACACCATTGGGTACAACATAGTGGGATAATTTATGTTCGGATAATGAGAAGTTTTCCGCGACAATGTGTGGTTTGAATTACCAGGATTCCGCCTGTACCAGTTTACACTTGATGATAACGATGCCCTTTTATGGTAGTATTGTGTATAATCCACAGTATATGATGATCCACAGACTTCATGAGAGTGTTGCTTGATTGATTGCCTGCTTCTTTTTGTTTGCTTGTCTTCTCTGGCAGCACACAATCTCTGCACTTCTGCATGACAAGAGCAGGGAATTGCACGCTGGTAATGCGGTTGCTCCAGTGAGACTTGATGACATCTCCTACGCTGTGGCGGTGTGCGATGGCGATCTCAGGCGCGTGATGCTGAATTTCGACCTTTGGCTTTCAAGCGGACACGGCACGGTGAGTGGACCGACTTGTACAGCACTACACGTAGTAAGCGCGGACACCTCACCTCACTCTGCGCCGTAGGGCTCATGTTGGATATGTTCATGTTGGATGTGTTCAAGTTGGATATGTTCATGTTGGATGTGTTCATGTTGGATGTGTTCATGTTGGATGTGTTCATGTTGGATGTGTTCAGAGTAACATGCTCCTATAGTGATTGGGTGTGACAGAAAGCTTCTTATACGGGCAATGACATAACATGGCATCACTAGCACAACAACTACAGCAACGAAAAAGGAACACAACAACTATTTTAAAAGAAAGAAAATGAAACTTGGTTGGAGAGCCAAGGATAACTTTATAGAAAAGAAAAAGACCAAGGAACAATGTGAGGAAGAGGTTGGTGCGACTTCGGCGATAGTTGGGGAAGTGTGTGTTGCTCCTTGCATGGGAGCTCGCGGTTTTCTGCGACTTGAATTCTCACTTGACTGACTCACGACTGCCATCCAGAGCACACGAGAAGTCCATCGAACCGTCCACTCGGCAAACCTGCAAGAAAGCACCACTCCCTGCTCAATACACAGTGTTTCGGGGAATTTACCCCTCATCAGTTGAGCTTGAGTAGGCTGAGGAAGATTGTGCCTGAAGAGCACCACTTATATAGTGCTCTCCAGGCACAAACATCACCAGGGATACAAACTTACAGAGACGCTCCGTTTCCAGCGCGACAAACACCTCGTGAACACCAGATAGCAGCGTGAGTCAGTGTCGCTCATGGAGGTGCTGAACAAGCGCTGAGGACCGCTGGCCATTCACAACGTTGAAACAATCAGCTCATGGGATAGCATTGCACGACTGTGACCGACGGTCCTTCACAGCTGAGAACTTCAGCTCGTGCTGGTCTTGGTTGTGCTCACCTTCCTTTCCTATGCTATTTCTATAACTTAGAACCTTCCAAGTTGGAAGGCTGTTGGAGTGCGTATCCAATATATGCTAGAGCTGATAGCCAGTTAGTTGTAGAACGTCAGTACTGTCGGTTACTATAAAGCGTGAAATTTTCGCGGCGTTTTTAGTTCGCGTTTTCAGAATCCGGACAGGTTTGCGAGGTTTTAATTTTGCGATTGCAGAATGGCATTCTTGCTAAACCTGTGGCATTCTTGCTAAACCTTTCATGGATCTCCTTTTCGCGCTGTCTAAATTTCGCGATTTCCACGCGGTCGCGAATTTCGCAGAAATTCGACCATGGCAATAATCATTCACAGTTTACAGTAGTGTGGTGCAATCACGGTTCTGGCATTGAGAGCTGATTGTTTGGTGCAATCACGGTTCTGGCATTGAGAGCTGATTGTTTGGTGGAATCACGGTTCTGGCATTGAGAGCTGATTGTTTGGTGCAATCACGGTTCTGGCATTGAGAGCTGATTGTTTGGTGCAATCACGGTTCTGGCATTGAGAGCTGATTGTTTGGTGCAATCACGGTTCTGGCATTGAGAGCTGATTGTTTGGTGCAATCACGGTTCTGGCATTGAGAGCTGATTGTTTGGTGCAATCACGGTTCTGGCATTGAGAGCTGATTGTTTGGTGCAATCACGGTTCTGGCATTGAGAGCTGATTGTTTGGTGCAATCACGGTTCTGGCATTGAGAGCTGATTGTTTGGTGCAATCACGGTTCTGGCATTGAGAGCTGATTGTTTGGTGCAATCACGGTTCTGGCATTGAGAGCTGATTGTTTGGTGCAATCACGGTTCTGGCATTGAGAGCTGATTGTTTGGTGCAATCACGGTTCTGGCATTGAGAGCTGATTGTTTGGTGCAATCACGGTTCTGGCATTGAGAGCTGATTGTTTGGTGCAATCACGGTTCTGGCATTGAGAGCTGATTGTTTGGTGCAATCACGGTTCTGGCATTGAGAGCTGATTGTTTGGTGCAATCACGGTTCTGGCATTGAGAGCTGATTGTTTGGTGCAATCACGGTTCTGGCATTGAGAGCTGATTGTTTGGTGCAATCACGGTTCTGGCATTGAGAGCTGATTGTTTGGTGCAATCACGGTTCTGGCATTGAGAGCTGATTGTTTGGTGCAATCACGGTTCTGGCATTGAGAGCTGATTGTTTAGTGACTGGTGGTGTTAGTGGACATTATAGCATAGCTTGTAGTTCCTTGGTCCTTTTTCTTTTCTATAAAATGAAACTTGATAGTCTGCAGACAATGATAACTCCATTTATGATAGTCCCGGTCATTGCTAGAAGCTAGAAAGTAGAAAGGCCTAGTAGTACTATATGAGCCCCAGCCAGCAGAAACCTGAACATGTGTAATTTTTTCAAAAATTATTTTTTCGCTCGAAATTGATTCTACACTATTAATCATTCAAGTTATCAAGTTTGGTGACAATCTGATAAGCGAAAGCATGGAAAATAGAGTTTGAAGTCACACAGGTCAAGATTCGGTACAGTCGGCGCAGCATCCATGCCTAGTGACCCCATGCAAGTTGATCCTACAGTTTCTGATTGTGATGTGGAACAGGTACATGTAAGTAAATAGAATGGAAGTCAGGCTTGCCCTCTTGGTGCTGCAGGCATGAGTAGTTCAGAAGTGTGACGATATTCCGTATACACCACTACCTTCTTTACAACACCAGACTCCAGAGTGCAAAACGATGATTGGTAGCTGGCCTTCCAAATTGTGTTCAGGGACCTCTGTGCTGGCAGTTTGAGCGTTGTCCCGAAGCTTGCCATACTGATAGATGTACTGACCAATACCACTGACATCCACTTCCTTGCACACTTTCACTCAGACCATGATTTCAGCATAATTGTATTTCAATGATATGAGCGAATACTCGCGTTTTGTAGCACGTGAAGATGTTGCCCCCAAGCGTTCAGCCGGTTTGACTTTTTAGGAATCCCCCTTTCTCAGCACAGGCAGCAGCCAGCTTGGCGTCGTCCGACAAGGCAGAGTACTGATAATACTACGCTCTGTTTTGCGTCGTGAGAAGCCCTCCATCAGTGTCTGCAACATCATTGTTGTTGATGTAGAAATACGGATCGCTCAGCGGGTCGACATTCAGCTTCTCCTCGCAGTCGCTATTACTCCAGCACCGACTAGCGTTGCCACCAGTATCCAGTGTCGATTTTATGAGGACTCTTCGTTGCTATGAATATGAGACTCGCCACTGCTGGACAAACTCAGCGAGATCGCCACCAAAGAAATAATTCCGATCGCGAACAAACTTTCAGCGCCGCTTCGTACAGGGAGTCTCACGCTGACAACTCTGGACCTAAGTCCTTGTCGCGACACCTGTCGCCATCGCTGTGTCTAAACTCAACCTCCGTTTGACGAGCACTCACCTAGCGCTAAAATCAATTGACCAGACTCATTTGAAGACATTTGAAACTCCTTTGACAACGAAGACACCCACTCGATCGAAAAAGAATCTTCAAAAGCCAGCTCACTGCGCGTCCCAAACTTTGACGTCACATTTTGATGATTGATATCAAGTACACAAGTGCTGGTTTTCGCTGGCCGGGGCTCATATATTGGCAGTGGTAGTCACTGTCATAACATTTGAATGCGCTAGGAAAAATCACATGTACCGACGGCACCGGAAATAAATCTCCACCGGAATTTTCCGGTTTTACAGTATGTGGTGGACAGTTGGTCATAACTCGTAACACTTTGTCCTTCTCCTTTTTCACCATAATTTAATTGGCTCACCCGCCGAGTTCAACTTTACAGTATGTGTTACTCTTTGTTTGTTGACTTCTTTGGTGTCGTGTGATACCTGACTGCATCTAGGAATCACCCGTAAGCTCCTTCAAGTCATGGATGTCATCACAAGTTGACATACGGACACGCCTTGCTGTGGACTTTGCCAATAGTCGCACGGTGTTGCTACGGCATAGCCTTGCAAGCTCAGCAGAGGAGATATCACCGGCGGAACGCTATGCCCAGCTGAATGCCACCGTCAGTCTCCTGGAGGGCCAGTCCGCCGTGGACAGTCTAGCTGCCGCCGCCGCTGCTGCGTTCACCTATCCTCCGCCATGCAGGCAAGCAGGAACTCAGCAGCCGCCATCATTGTCATGGCAGCCGAGTGTAGCATCATGGTGGTCTGCCACTGTCAAGCCAGGTGTGCTGGACGCTGTGCCGGTGCAAGAAGCCGATACAATAGGTCAACGGCTTGCTCATGATCTCAGTATTGACTTAGGCCGGGCGCTGGCTGATTGTGCTATTCGTACTGCAACGCATTTCGTGTCTTCTGCTGACACGACGCAAGAAGCGAAAGAGGACACCGTTGGACCTGTCGGTGGTGACCTTGCAAACTTGGACTCCGGAATTGCCTCATGTGGCGAGGAAACTGCACCTGCACATGGTTCTAATGATTCGGGGACTACAGCTGCTGGACGGTTCTCAACTCTCAGCGCAGAGCAGGAAAGGTAAGCGTTGGATGTGCTGTCATACGTGTAGCATCGTGGTGATAGGAAGCAGAATAACTCTTTGTGCTCATACATTACTGCATGAGCGAGCATTGTCTCTTTGTGCTCGTACACTACTGCATGAGAGATCATTGTCAAGATATGCGTGTGGTGTGGTATTCATCTTGTTGAATGTTCTATTTAGCTACCTTGAAACTTCAGTACGTGTAGAACATAACTACTGTACACTGTTACCACAAAGGCAGAAGAGAACGGAGACAACCGGCTAGAGCAATGACCTAGCCAGTTGCCTCCGTTCTCTTCTGTGCCCTTGTGGTATTGCTCCATCCTTGTGGTGTTGAGCACTCTGGGCAATCTGGGAATTCTCACTATTGTTAACTACACAGGTATCGTATTGTCCGGAGTATAAGCTCAATAGGCCGCACCCAAACCTTTTGTCATGAAATACGGACATCTACTCTATTTATCACCGTTTATTTAACCACCGTAGTATAAGGCGGACGGATTTTTTTGGGTGAATTGCTATTGTTGACAGTGTGGTTTATACCCTGGAAAATACGCTACATGTTCATGAACATGTACATGAACCTTCAAATCTTCAATAATTCCCATCCGCTTATTTATTCAAGTGGGTGGTGCGCTGCTCTGCTGCTTCCAGTTGTCCGTGGCCGGCACCGCGTGTCTTGTTGGTCTCGTCATCATCCCGTAACAGTCATCATTCTTTGCTACTGTGGGGCTTAGCTTGTGCTTATCTTTGTTGTGCATTTGAGATGTGCTGGAGCTAGATGTCAGGTCATTGAGTGTTTCACTATCGTACTCTGTCAGTTTGGTGTCTAGTTGTCGCACTGCGTATACTACAAATTGTAGTAATTGTTTCCTGCAAGTAGTTACAGTGGTGGACAGTTGCTCCTAACTCATCTCCAAGTAGTGTCCTGTCTCCCCTCTCTCTCTCTCTCTCTCTCTCTCTCTCTCTCTCTCTCTCTCTCTCTCTCTCTCTCTCTCTCTCTCTCTCTCTCTCTCTCTCTCTCTCTCTCTCTCTCTCTCTCTCTCTATCTCTCTCTCCCTCTCTCTCTCTCTCTCTCTCTCTCTCTCTCTCTCTCTCTCTCTCTCTCTCTCTCTCTCTCTCTCTCTCTCTCTCTCTCTCTCTCTCTCCTCCCCCCCCCCCTCTCTCTCCCCCCTCTCTCTGCTGCTGCTACTTATTGTACCTTGTTGCAGTGAATTCCAATCCAGACTAGTGTACTACTCCGACTGTCTACGCTGGCCTCACGTGCCCGACATCATGGCGTGTCAATCACGCAGCCTAACACTGGACTATCTACCTATGATGAGGAGCGTTTGCAGGGACCAGCAGTTGAAGAAAGTAAACCGTGTGAAGCGAAGGTGAGCACTGTCTGATGCTGTGCTGGCTTCGATTTTAACCGCTCTGTGCGCCCGTGCACAGCGCCGCTGCTGTGTTTTTCTTCCTGTGCAGTCGTGTTAATTAACTCAGCTGTGCTTACTTACTGTAAAAGCCATTATTCTAACGAGGCGCATATATAACGATTTCCCAAAATTGACTGGTTTACGTGTACCAAAGGTAACGATTCTCACTCATTCTCAACGCTCAATAGGACAGTATATGTGTCGATTTCTGTATAACGATTTCTATTTTAGCGACAGATTTCTCCTCGTTAACTCGTTAGAGTTAGCACTTCGTTATATATATATATATATATAACATATGGCTTTTACAGTAGTGCATGTACTGCTCAATGAAATCCAGTCGTGTCAGTCGTGTCGGTCGTGTCAGTCGTGTCAGTCAAGTACCAGCCGGGCGTTGTGCAGCCATAGACCTGCCAACACTGGGCTGCGGAATGATGCAAGGCGCACACTTGAGTGACGACGCGACTGGATTTCATTGAGCAGCACTGTACATTGAAGTGCGCAGTTACCGCAGCCAGTGGATGCTGAGTCATTGCTGACACCGATTTTTGGGTTGACTAAGAAATCATTGTTCTCTCGTCACCAGAAGCATTGGTCATTCGACGCGGCTATCTTTGGCTGTACCACAACTCCCGTGTTTTGTAGTATGCATGTGACGTGGTTGGAGTATGCTTCCAAGAGTTTCTCTTGCTACTGCAGTTTTTCCTTGGGGTGCCTACCACATGCAAGCAGTCTCGTTTAGCATGAGCAGTGAAAAAGAAGGGGCACGTTGCTTTCCCCCATATCTAATGCTGTGTTGCCACACCTGCCGACATGTCAGTAGCCTGCCGATTTTTGAGGCATGTCACGACCTGCCGACAACAGCCATGAAAGTGTCCAAGTTTGACCTTATGCGTGGTTTAGAAGTCATGATCCAGATTTTTGGCTTTTACTGCTCATTACGCGTGTTTCCATAGTTCTCTCCTAGGGCGCTAAGCGAAATCATCATCTGTCTCGAGAAAAATCGGCAAACTCTGCAAAACGTGAAATTTTTTTCTTATCAGTGCTGCGCGTGTGTGTGTGTGTATCGAGGTCGCTATATAGGGGAGGGGGTCCGGGGGCAAAGCCCCCGGATGATGCATTTTGTTTTTTTATCCTACTGATATTTGGCTATAATGATGTGGCAACACTGCTAATGGGCCATTCACACTACGCCATTCACACTACGCCCAAAACGTGGCGTACATGACGTTTTCGTCCGGTTACCCGTGACAACATGGAACGGGGCGGGAAAATCGAGTGCCTGATACGAAAACGTAGACGACGTATCCAGACCCCTGTACTGAGATTTGTGCTGTCGTTCCCGGCAGCTTGTGTCCAAAAGAAGCTTTACGCACAGCTGTACGAAAAGTGTGTGCGCGCCTGTGTGAATGCACCTGCGCATGAAAACGACGTCTGCCAGTACGTGCAATTCCAGAACGTGACACGTATTGGACCGTAGTATGAATAGCCTATTACACTACACCGCTCTAACAGTATAGTTACTGTCTGGTGCAGCTTCTTGCCATGTATGCTGCTGTCACAGCCGCTGTGCAATTATGACTCTACGATGCCCTGTGGAGAAGAAAGACAGCAGGTGTGTGTTTCACCAGCTGCTGTCAATGGACATCTGTGTGTGCAAAGCAACATCACACTGAGGTGCATGCCAGGCATATTGATGCCGGCGTGCACACAGTACGCTTTGCTTTTAGTCTTGTGTCTACTCATTCTCTTGTTTGTTTTTCAGGTTCTTGGCCATGCATGATGCATAGGATTTCTGCCATGCAGTTCCAATGCCAAACCCTACATGTACTGATGGTGTTTTGCCATTCATGAGTTTCTCCCCTGTATGCGTGGGTATGTGCTTGTTGTTTGTGTCAGATTCATACATCATTTCAACACTATGGAAGATGATATCTCAATCCGGCTGGCTCAAGATCACTTGCTATGTTGAGTCACAGCACACACTGTCTGGGGTTTTCAGTACCTGTATGGTAAGTAGTGGTCGGCAATGTAATGTGCCACTCTGTTCATGCGTGTGCGTATGTCTGGGTGTGTGTGCACGTGTAATATGCCACTCTGTTCATGCGTGTGCGTATGTCTGGGTGCGTGTGCACGTGCATGCGCTTAGCTCTGATTCTTTGTGCTCCCATTGGTTTGTGATGTTGGTCACTACTCATTATCGTTGACATCATTCACATTGGGAGTGCTGAATCACCTGGAGTGTAGTATGGTAAAGTACGGAGGGAGTGCTGAATCACCTGGAGTGTAGTATGGTAAAGTACGGAGGGAGTGCTGCATCACCTGGAGTGTAGTATGGTAAAGTACGGAGGGAGTGCTGAATCACCTGGAGTGTAGTATGGTAAAGTACGGAGGGAGTGCTGCATCACCTGGAGTGTAGTATGGTAAAGTACGGAGGGAGTGCTGAATCACCTGGAGTGTAGTATGGTAAAGTACGGAGGGAGTGCTGCATCACCTGGAGTGTAGTATGGTAAAGTACGGAGGGAGTGCTGCATCACCTGGACTCCTCCAGAGTGTTAGCATTAGAGGTGAGGCAGATGACTGCGGCGTCTTAGCTGTAAGGCATGCGGCACGTGCATTTTACATACGCTGCATGCGGACAGACTCAGACGTGTAGGCGGAATGATCCGTGAGGGGGTTTCCAGATGGGAGTGCGGGGTGTCCCCCGGCGGGGGTCTATCTTGCGGGGGTGGGTGGTGGCAGAGTCCCCATCGCAACATCTTTAGGGTATCTTCAAATTCTTACAGCCTGTTTGGGCGCGTTCCTGTCGCTCGAGTTGAACCTTGGTGTGAAAGTTGTAGCCTGCGTGCCCAGTGACCAGGTGACTGGTGTGCGCATGAGCACGTGACCACTTATTCAACCATGTTCGTTTGGGAATAAGAGCAGGACGCTGCATCGCAGCTTTCTCAGACCAAAACCAGTCGACTCAGCGTCCAACAGACTACACCAGATGGGCCAATCGCGGTCATCCGTGCTTTTACAAGAACGAAATGGCGCTTTTGGTGACATTTTGCATACAAATCCCCATCTAGTAGGGCACAGTCACCCAGTTTCGGTGGAAGTGCGCGAGTTCGATTGGGATTCAAGTAGGAAGGGAGCGTCTCAGCTTCCTCGGACCAAGACTATTCAACACGGCACCCTGAAGACTACAACTGGTGAACATTTTATTTTAGGCTTTACTTCCCCTTTAACATTTGCATTGATAATGTGTTGTGGTTCATTCGCATCTAAGAATTCTGTATTAAAATACGATGTTTTGGTGTCTGCCCTGCACCCTGGAAACACTGACGGCTACTGACGGTGCACTCAATCCGTCCTCATTCATTTTTCTACCTGGCTGTGTGTCAGTCATGATGTCTGAGATGGCCTTGGTGCACTGTCTAACGCCATGCACTTTGTCTGAGTTTCACTCAGCCAAGTGAACATGCAATTCCAGTAGCTCCATTTCCCTGGCTGTCAATCAAGATGGGCTGCTCTCACGCGAGTTGACGACAGTTGTGCACGCTGCAAGTAGTTCACGATAGTTGTGCATGCTGCAAGTAGTCTTGGAAGTTCACGATAGTTGTGCACGCTGCAAGTACTAGTAGTTTGAGTGGTTTGTTTTCTCTGCAACCGACTTCTTTGTTCCGAAGCCAAGTGGACATCACAATTAAAAAAAAAACCTTTTTGTCTTCCTCTGCTCCATCACTTGTTTCAGGACTGCAGCCTAACACGCTCCTGTTTCTCATTTCATTCAAGTTACTTCACATCGTCAGCCTGCCATTATCTTGAGGAAGCTGCCTTTTGCTCCCTCTGTGGGAACGTGCTCAGGTTTAATGGCTGGTGTGATAACAACGTATTTAGCATTAACATTGCCATTGGACTGTGTCCTAATGGAGTTAGACTACTCTCAATCTAGCTATCACTTTAGATGAACAGCCCGTGAAACATGCGATGACAGTATCGAAATCATGCAACTGATAGTTTCCTCTTGGCTGTTGGCGTTTTTTCTAGCACATTTAAAGCATTTTTTTGAAGCAAGAGGTAAAATGACGCTTACGTAGTGTGTGCTTCAGCTCTATCAATGTAGTTTTTTAACAGTACATGTGTTAGCTCAGTATCGGGTAGAAGTGTTGGTGGTGGTGTAGATTTGAAGAGATGTTCAACTTACAAGTACTGTCACTGGCAACGGTAGCATATATAGTTAAGTTACTACGCGTGTCCTGTGCTTCTATGTTATCTGCTTGTCTTGAACCATTAATTATTGTGATCTTTTGTGATAACTATGCACTCTACTTGCTCGCTGGGGGTGTGCTGGTGGCGGTTGGCGGGCGATGGGTGGTTGGCGGACGATGGGTGGTTGGCGGGCGGTTGGAGGGCGATGGGTTGTTGGCGATGAGTGGTTGGTGAGCGGTTGGTGGGTGGTAGGGACTGGCAGATAATGCTCAGCGAAAGAAGTAATTCTGCTTTTCAGTCTGCTCAAAATTCTGATCAACCAATATCATTAACGATCGATTTATTGGTTTTATCGATTCTTGTTGGCTCTACCCGTGTACCTCGAACACCAGTTTAGGAAGAAATTCCATGATACCTTTGCTATGTTAGAGATTTGTGGCACTGCACTGTTGATATCTGAATCTTGTCATCACCCTCTGGCAACTGCTCTTATCTCCGACCTCTCCCAGAAATGCACCAAAAAGCCAAAGTCTTCTCTCCCAATCTCTTTCAAAGCCATACATCAATTGTATTGCTCTTGAAAGTACATGATTGCACTCGTATTCACTATCGGATGGAGTGCAAGGGCTAGAATGCTGTCACTGATGTGCATGCATAAAAAATCGTTAGCACTCGTTTTGAACACTAACGATTATCGATTGCACTCTTAACGATCGATATGCGAGTTATCGGTATAATTGTTTCAGCCCTAATTTTTTTGCTCAAAATGTGCTTATCCGGGTGCATATCATTCTTCATAATTATTATAATTTTTTTTAAATTGAGGAACCGCCATCTTCGGTGCGTGGTACTGTAAAAGCCATCATTATATATAACGAAGTGCTACTTCTAACGAGTTAATGAGGAGAAATCTGTCATTAAAATAGAAATCGTTATACAGAAATCAATACATATACAGTTAGACCTCGCTTACCCGGTCCTCTTTTATCCGGATCCCTCGCCGTCCGGAAGAAAATTGCTCGTTACCAATGTGCTGGCATTATAGTCCCTTTTTCCAGGTGGCATAATGCTGGCATTATAACACCATTTCGCATGCAAAATTGGCATTACAAGCATAATTGCCGGTCAACAATGGTGTCATGCATGAAGCTGGCTAGGTCCAGTTTAGGCACCGGCGGATTGTGCCGGCATAATTATTGGCATAATTTGGTGGTTGAAAATTTGGAGCATAATTTGGCATCTTTTCGGAGGTAGGAGCATAACTACATGATTGTACCACAATTCTAGTATGTAAGCTGAGTACAATGCACCTGATCAGTGCTGGTGGTCTGCATGGTAGAGGGTTCGGAGTAGCCCTTTTCCAAAGATGCTCGCCACTTTTTTTCGCAACTTTCCGTTGTTTTGGAAGAAATCACAACTTTCTTCATTTTCACAAACAACTACTTCGCAACTTTTCCGCAAAGGTGTGCAAAGAAGCGCGCTGGAGGAGACCATCGACTGTGCAAGCTATGGTTATTGCTCTAGTAATTAAACAATTGAGGTATAGTTGATGTTCGGTCATGGTGGAAGGAGAGGTGGAGCTACGGGAGAGATGAGCTGATTATTCCCAGGGTGAGGGTGACATCGGTTGGACGAGTATAACGAATACGAAGACAGTTGAACATGATAATTTTCAAAGGTAACTCAAAATAATTTGGCAATAAAGATTACAAAAGAAATCAACTAATGATTAGAAGAAGTCATTTTTTCTCCTTTCCATGTTGATCTCTAGCATGCATGGTCATCTTGGTATGGGGATATTCATGTATTCTCTGTCCACCCTGCACTCACTCGTTGCGCACACATCCGCACACTCACTCATACGTGTACACCACTATTGAACACGTGAACACTGCCAGTGGGGGCCACCACAGCACAAAGACGACCGTCCAGCCTGCCTCAGGCTATGCACCATGTGCGTCTTGCAGAACTAGCCTCTAGAATCTGCAGCCAATCAACAACCAACACACAGCAAAACACAGCACCGACAGCCCATGATACTACAGAACCTGATTGCCATGACTTCACACCTTGGCACCTTCCCATCAAACCAATTCCATTGGCAAGAGCCACTGTCAAACAGACCTGATATTCTAGGCAGGAAAATAAAACTCCTCACCAACGTGGAGCTTTCAGTATCTTTGAATAAGTATGGCCACCACCATGCAGATGTCCATTTTGGGACAACCAATGTCCCATGACTGACAATCACTGAAATTCTGCTAATAACGTCTCCAATAAGGTAAATGGGGGGGAGGGGCACAACCATAAGTTCTCCCCTTCCCAGCACATCGTGAAAGCATCCACGGCCAAACATCCTGGATTCCACCAACGTGAGCAGAAACGAGGCAACTGTGCCGACTCTGCACTGGCAAAGCAGTCAACAGTGTGCGGGCCCCACAAACCGTCTATCTCGTCGAATACCTCAGACGACAATTTCCAGTCATCAGTATCCACTACCTTGGATAAAAAATCTGCCAGAACATTCTCCTCCCTTGGAACCCATTCTGGCACAAGTCGAATGCAATTTTGCCTGCAAAACCTGAAAATCCGACATGCAATCTCCTGCAGTTCTGGAACTTTGCTGCCCACCTGCAGAATACGAGCTGCCGCCTGATTATCCGTCCGGTGCCTACATTCCTTGCCTGCCAATTCTTGGACCACCGATTGCAGCACCAACTCGGTAGCCCTCAATTCCCTCCACGTAGAACTCTTCTGAGCCTCTAACACCTCTTCTGGCCAATTCCCTCTTGCAATCGTTTCCCCGCAGGACACCGCAAAACCTCCCCAGGCTACATCGCATCTGACCACGTGTCTACAACTGCTGTTATCTTGGGATCACCCACAACCAATCTTCCATGAAACTCATTGAAACAATACCACCAGAAGCTCACTTCTGCATAAGCCTCATCAGACCACTCCTGTCTATGAAACCAGCTTTTCCTCCTGAGAATCATGTCATACAATGCCCTGGTTCTCAACCTTGCAACTGGCCCAATGGCGAAAGACATTGAAATGATGAACCCAGCCAGCCTAGCACACTCTTTGGCATTCGGTCTCCTCTTGCTATGCAAAACCCTCAGAACTCTTGCCTCCGCCACACTTACTCTCCCGTGAACCAGGTCCAACACAAAACCCAGAATGGTAGGCTTCTGAGAAGGCAGAAGACACGATTTCTCCACATTGATCTTCCAACCCGCTCTTTCCAACGTTTCCGTGAGCACACCTGCTACCCTCACTGTCTCTTCCACAGTGCCCGCTCCTGCAGAGCCATCGTCAAAGAACATCATGCACTTAATGCCCTGAGCCCTCCAGTAACGAACCATCACACGGACCAGTTTGTTAAAAAGATACGGAGCAGTGGAGAGCCCAAACGGCAATGACTTGAAACAATAAAATTCACCTCCCCATGAGAAACCCAAATATTTCCAATGGTCCCTTGCCATATCAACATGGTGATAACCACTCTTCAAATCGAATGTTACAACAAAGTCGTCTTTCTGAAAAAGCTTCACTACCATCCTGATATCATCCAATTTAAACCTGAATTTTGCCAAACATTCATTCACTTGCCTCAAGTCTAAAATCAGTCTCAGCTTCCTAGCACCTTCCACCACTCCCAGCGGGCTAACACAATTTAACTCGGATTCGTTTACTTTCATCGCACTCCCGCAGTCTACCAGCCCCTTCACTGCCTCATCAACAAATTGTACATGCTTCCAACAGCTTTTCTGATTCCTTAAAAAACCAGACGGAGGGTCTGTTACAAACGGCAACGCATAACCGACCTCCAAAATACTAATAATCCAAGATGAAGCCCCCATCTCCCTCCAAAACGGTATGCACCGCTTCAATCTCCCATGCATCACAGTTTCACCCTCTGCCCAGATTTCCCCTTCCCCTTCCGCACCATATCCGCTTTCAACCACAACATCTGAATAAGTTTGAACACTCTTTTCATCATCCTCATCCTCATCATCATCATCAACATGCACATCAAACTTATCTTGTTCATCGTGGCTGCTGTTGCTGTTGCATCGGGAATGACCTGGCAGGTGCTGGGCCTGGGGCAGGCTGCGTGCAGTCCCTCTGCACGTGCCCCTTCCCTCCGCACCGCCAACAGGCCAGCTCCTTGAACGGGGCGCCGAATCCGGGTGGCTTCGGTGCGGCCGGCATGGTCTGAGCTCGAGCAGCCGCTCCGAGCCCGACCCCGGCTGGGCGGCCTCCTGGAAAGGGCTTGCCACTGCTCCTCTTCCCCTCCTTGGCCTCCGCCCTGGCCCTCCTCATCCTCCGCTCATCGTCCGTATCGGACCCGCACTCCATTTTACCATCATAAATGTTTGCGGCCGACCACCCTTCGGCGTCCGCAAACAGCAATAACTTGACTCGCCGCTGGAGGACGCTCTCACCTTCCTCTATGTTTCTGGCGATGTCCTTCTCGCCTCGACGCTCCGCCTTCTGCCTTGCCTTGACTAGAGGCTCCAACGCCTTACTTATCACGCAGAACTGCTCCTCGTGAGCCTTGGCCTTCCAACTTCTCTTTCTTGCCGCCGCCATCCTCTCGTCCTGTCTCTCCCTCTTCACCTGCTTACTTTCCTTGCTCCTCTTGCTCTTCTTGCTGTTTCTCCTCTTGCTACTTCTACTCCTGCCACTTCTCCTGCTCCTCTCTGACTCACTCTCACTCTCACTGTCACTCCTATCCTCTCTTTTCCTCTTACGACTAGACTTCTCCAACTTCCTCTCCAACGTCTCCAATCTCGCAGCCATCTCTCTCATCCTCCTACTCTCCTCAACATACCCTTCACTCTCACTACCACTACCACTCGGCGACACACTTCTCGACATTCTTTTCACAAAATAAAACTTTCAAATTAAATAATTCACAAACTCTCACTCAACTCTCCGCACAAAGACAAAAGAGGCCGACCCTGCACTCGTCACCTCCTTTTATCCCACACCGTGCTCCCTCGTATACCCGTTCCCGGGTGGACAGAGAACACTACTTCTCTGCTAATTCTTATACTGTGACGTCAACCGCAGAGAAGTGACATTTTTGTTGTACTAATGGCCACTTGCAAGTACCAAAAGGCACCATTTTCCGAAGTTTGAGGCTCCATAAGTGCAACAAAGTGAATATGTATCCCACGTGCGCAGTCAGACCTCGCTTAGCCGCTCCTCTTTTATCCGGATCCCTCGCCATCCGGAAGAACATAGCTGGTTACAGATTTACAGCATACGTGGTGCATCCAACATAACCGGTGTTCGGTTATCCGGTTCCCTCGCCTATCCGGATATTTTGTGGTCTGAAAATCGTGCATCTGAACCCGTCCGGCTTCGTCCAGAGACTTGGCGTTGCAAATCAACCCTCTCAGTGGATTGTTTCAGACAACATGCTCACCGCTGTTTTTAAAAGTTTTTTTCTTCTACGCTTTGGCCTTGATCCAAGACGGCCTTCTTAAATCGACTCTTTCAAACCGGCATTATGGAGTAGTGTGAGCATTATAAGTGGCATTATATCCTCATTATTATGAGCATTGCCTTTAGCATTATCGCAGCAAATAACTAGCATTACCCGCCCATGCCTAGCTGTTGGCGGGCGGTGGGCTGTTCACGGGCGGTGGGAGCCATCCTCTTCTGTACTACTCTTCATAACCAAAGGCAAGACCTGATCGGCGCTGGACATCCTGACAGAGGGACACGCTATGCTAGCGCTACCGGCGTGCTGCACCTTGATGATCGTGTAGGGGACAACTCAGTCCTTGAGGTCGGCCGCGGTATCGTGGGACAATCTGGTTGCGAAGGGTCCGATGTATGGTTCCCCAATCCCAGCAAATATGTGCTGCTGGTGAAGTCGAGTTCCACGCGGAAGCAGTCAGGTAACTGGTTGTTCACAGGCACTGGTGTAGCCGTCCGTGCCGACGGATGTCGGTATCTTTGTGCAGCCATAGGTTCCGCTGCATTCGTTAAAGGGGAAGTTAAGGCAAAAATTAAAATTTCACCAGTTGTAGTCTTCAGGGTACTGAGTCGAATGGTCTTGGTCCGAGGAAGCTGAGACGCTCCCTTCCTACTTGAATCCCAATCGAACTCGCGCACTTCCACCGAAACTGGGTGACTGCGCCCTACTAGATGGGGATTTGTATGCAAAATGTCACTAAAAGCGCCATTTCGTTCTTGTTAAAGCACGGATGACCGCGATTGGCCCATATGTTGTAGTCTTTTGGACGCTGAGTCGACTGGTTTTGGTCCGAAAATGCTGCGATGCAGCGTTCCTCCTTTATTCCCAATCGAACATGGTTGAAGAAGCGGTCACGTGGTCCTGGGTGCCGAAATCACCTGGTCACCACGCCAGCAGGTGACAACTTTCACACCAAGGTTCAACTCGAGTTCAACTCGAGTGACAGGACTGCACCCAAAAAAGGTCAAACAGGCTAGTAAGTTGTACCCTGCAGTGCAGGCACGATGACCAGGTGACTGGTGTACGCAGGAGCACGTGACCGCTTGTTCAACCATGTTCGATTGGGAATAAAGGAGGAACGCTGCATCGCAGCCTTTTCGGACCAAAACCAATCGACTCAGCGTCCAAAAGACTACAACATATGGGCCAATCGCGGTCATCCATGCTTTTATAAGAACGAAATGGCGCTTTTAGTGACATTTTGCATACAAATCCCCATCTAGTAGGGCGCAGTCACCCAGTTTCGGTGGAAGTGCGCGAGTTCGATTGGGATTCAAGTAGGAAGGGAGCGTCTCAGCTTCCTCGGACCACGACCATTCGACTCAACACCCCGAAGACTACAACTGGTGAAATTTTAATTTTTGCCTTAACTTCCCCTTTAAGCAGTACATCACCACAAAGGTGAATGAGTGGGTTGCTCAGGTTCAGCAGCTTAGTGAATTTGCTCGCTCACAGCCACCGGCAGTTTATTCAGCCTTTGTACACGGCCTACGCAGCAAGTGGTCCTTCCTTTGTCGCACTATGCCCGGGCATGTCCACCAAAAATACAGGCAGAGATAGACAGATCCGGACAAAGACGTACAGAGACGGACAGAGCCGGACAAAGACGGACAAAGACGCAAGTTGTGCGCAACTTTTTGGTTTTACAAATATTCGCTAACCTTTTCGTAACGGAACCACGAATTTTCGTTGTGCGTAAAGTATTCATTTTCTTTGAGTAACTGTTTCAATAGTATAGTACTCACCTTGACCAATAGACTACAGTGATGAGGAGGGAATTTCCCGACACACTGTGTTGAGCAGGAAGTGGTGCTGTCTTGCAGGTTTGTCGAGTCAAACTCGAAGGTTCGTTGGGCTTCTCGCTTGCCTGTGGCCTGAACGGCAGGCGTGAGCCAGAGCCAAGTCTGCACTCAAGTATCGTTAGTTGGTATCAAGTGAAAATATTTCGGCTTTCAAGGGTCGAATAAACTGTCCATTCACGTCGAAACAACTTTCGAGGAAACTGCCAAAGGAATAACACAAGCGGCTATCGCTATGTCAGCGACCCATGTCACATCGACTGGTTATCCTCTCGATAGGGAATGTCATGTAAACGTACCGGTAACAGGGAACTGAGGCTGAAGGAGAACAGGTTTCACAGTTTTGTTCCGAGACTCGAGGTGATAGATCTAATGGCGGTGACTCTGAGTTGTGATAGGTCAGTGTCCATGCAAGGTGAAAAATGCTCAATGTCTGTCAACACTGAGATCACACCCGGTGACTGTTGGCATGTTGCTAAGCCCCCCACAACCCCGGCCCCGTCAGCGCAACCAGGTGATAGATCAACATGTTGTTGCCTCGCAAACAGGGGCAAATAATTAGGGCTCAAACGATTAGTCCGATTAACTGGTTGCAGACCGGTTACGAAGAATTAACGGTTAACCGATAAAGATAACGGTTACGCAGTAACTTTTCAGTCAATTTTCCAAGTATCAGGTTGTTGCAAAGTGTGCACTTTCGCGGGCTGTCGCACGCGTACGCAATTTCTGGGCTGTCAACTTGGTCATATCTGGTCTCTTGGTGTGAGAGTATGTATGAATGAGCGTGCAAGAGAATGTAAATGTGTGTGTTGTACTGAATAGGGTACATTTTTTGAATGAGTATAGTCAAATATACGGTTAAAAAAGAGTCCGCAGGATTGCCGTGGCTTATAGGTTATTTGAAACTCGGATGTTGAGCCATAAATAAATGTAAAAGAGAAAAGGACATATGGATACGAGTTAAGAGTAACTCTCCATCACTGTAACATGATACTATATACAGTCAGAAAGTGCAATAACTAAGCACAAAACTGACAGAGTACTGAGACATTCGACGTCCTGACACCTAACTTCAACACATCTCCGTAGCGCTAACCGACAGCCTTCCAACTTGGAAGGTTCAAGGTTATGGAAAGACCAAAGAGGGGAAGGCAAGCGCAACGAAAACGAGCAAAAGCTACAGTCCCAACGGAACAAGGAATGTCGATTGTTACTGGACGATGACGAGACCTTCCCCTCTTTGGTCTTTCCATAACCTTGAACCTTCCAAGTTGGAAGGCTGTCGGTTAGCGCTACGGAGATGTGTTGAAGTTAGGTGTCAGGACGTCGAATGTCTCAGTACTCTGTCAGTTTTGTGCTTAGTTATTGCACTTTCTGACTGTATATAGTATCATGCTACAGTGATGGAGAGTTACTCTTAACTCGTATCCATATGTCCTTTTCTCTTTTACTTATAGGTTATAACCGGTTAACCGACCGTTAGCTTAGCAGTTAACCGTCTGGGGTAAAACCGTGACCGTTTGAGCCCTACAAATAATAGAACACCCTGGCGTGAAAGTAATAATCATGTTGGCCGGGGATTCACCCAAAAACAAGACGGGACAGTTCAAAGTCTTCCAAAGGTATTGCGCATTGCACAAACACCCAGCGGGTCAGAATTACTTGCCGTCACGTCTGCTCGGCATACGTGAAAGCCTACGCTCCGCATATTTGAAGTACCTACATGCACGTGAAATTCTGTCACAGGCTCACAGCCTGCCAACGCTAAAATTGGATATTTGATTGAACGTATAACTATAATCCCATTATCTGTGTGATAATATCAGTCAAGGTAGTGATCATAATGCGATCAAGGCTCAGGGGCTCAAGGTGAATAACATTAATTAACTCGATGACAATAATATGCACTAAAAATACATCAAGTATTTTTTAATCAATAATATTGTGTTCATTTTGCCCGTAAAAGAGGCTTGCAAAAAATTACTTTTGGGTGGCTTCACACTAGCAAAATACAACTTTGATTGCTGTGTTTATGTGAAAACCACCTGTTTCACAACTTGCTGCATTTTGAGATATGTGCCCAGTGGCTGGCTGTATGGGTGGTGAAGAAGAGAGAAAGAATAGAGGCAGTTATCTTGTGGCTGAGCCACACAACCGTTTTGTAGTGGATGTCCACATGTCCACGCACAGCACTACGGCCATAGCAATTGCATGTATTGTAAAAGCCATTATTCTAACGAGCCGCAAATAATTATAACGATTTCCTAAAATTGACCGGTTTACGTGTACCAAAGGTAACGAACGATTCTCACTCATTCTCAACGCTCACTAGCAACAGTACATGTATATGTAGCGATTTCTGTGTAACGTTTCGATTTTAACGGCGTTTCTCTCCTTGTTATTATTAGTGGAATTAGCACTTCGTTTTAATAAGGCTTTTACAGTAGCATGGGTATGGGTTAGGATTATTCCACAGTCTTCACTAGGGAACCGTAAAATACATGTACGGGCATTTCCTTCTCCCTGTTTCTACTGTGTGCACTACCCAGTGCAGCGCTGGCAGGCCTTATCAAGGAGTAGTACAATGCTGA